CCACCCCCCAACCCTAAACAGGAAACGAGAAAATGCGTGTTTATGTTTCTCCTCCTACCCCAGTCTTTTCTTCAGGAAACTGGAAACGTGATATTGCTGGAATATTGCTGAAAGCGGCGTAAAACCAAACTCACTCTGTATGCGGATCTTTGTATTAGTCGCTGTAATGCTGGTTAGATAGTGATGGCACATTGAGATACAATGCTGTAGTTTTAACATGCACCACAGATACAGTATTTTGACTCCGTGTCAACCTGTCCTTGTGTTATCCCCCTCCATACCAGGGGAACAACAAGTACCACAGTCTAACGGGTTTTGAATATGACGCGGCCGGGATCGAACCCCGGCCTTTTGCCCTCTGGACAAACACTCTCTCCACTATACCACGGAGGTGTACCAACACAATAAAATCACACGAATGTTTACCTGCAAGAAACGAACCTTTGTGTGACTTGATCATGGTGCGTTCAAACTGAATTCTGGGCGGTGTGGTAGCCAAGTGGTTAATGCTTTCGCTCGTCACGCCGAAGGCCCCGGTTCGATTCCCCACATGGGCACAATGTGTGAAGACCATTTATTGTATCCCCCAACGTGATATTGCTGGAATATTGCTAAAAGCGGCGTAAAGCTAAATTCACTCACTCACTCACTCAATCAATCACAATTTTATTATGGTAACTCGTTTAAGTGGCATGAACCGGGACGTATTGCCGCTAGCCCCTATATGGAAGGTGATAACATTACCCAAGAAATAACCATAGCCTGCGGTATATCTAAACAATAGTCTTCAAAAGAGTCATATCTATAACTACACGAACAAACAAAAGATGATGAGGCGAATTTGGGTTTAACGTCGTGCTTGAGAATATTTCGCTCTTATGACGACGTGCATGCATGTGTATAGGTATGTGCGGCTGCTTGTACTAGCCCAGACTTCAGCTGGTTTCATAGTGCTGGCCCACTGAGATACCATGCCTCAGTGAAGCATGAATACCCCACTCAGACACATTATACTGACTCCGAGCCGACCAGTCCTTGTTACACCCATTAATGCCGAGCGCCAGGCAGGGACCAACAAGTACCATATTTTAACGTCTTTTGGTATGACTCGGTTGGGGATCGAACCCGCGACCTTCTGCTCTCCACCACTACACCACGGAGGCCATCAACAAACAAAAGAGATCAAACTTGACTCTATATATTTCTCGTAAGTCCGTGAATTCCAAATTAGCGTGTACGTTTATGGCCCCTGCTTGTATAAATGCTGTCCCTTCTTTAAAAGCAGTGAGGGAGTGAGTTTAGTTTTACGACGCTCTCAGCAATATTCCAGCTATATGGCGGCCTTCTGTAAATAATCAAGTCTGGACAGAACAATCCAGTGACTTTTTCAAAGCAAGTGGGCTTGACTCAATGTACGCCAGTTTTGCTGTTGTTAGTGGCATTTCGTGTGTCAATTCAACCAGTTCAGAGACTACTCCTGACGTAGGGATACGAACCTGTTGTAAAGGAGTCTGGGAACTTCATCCCGATTAGTTTCTTGCACTCGTTGCGATCGAATCCCTTGGCTCCCATTACTAAATAGACAAAACATTTACCAAAGGGAGGCAACTACTAAAATTTGTTTCCATTGCATCGAGTTGTCGTGAGAGCGCCCTGCCAGGATACCGAGACGAATTCACACGACACAGATAACAACGCTTGTTGGAAATGTATATGAAAGGTACCATGTGAAATTAACCATACATTTTGTTTCATATGTTCTTGATATGACTGTGGATGATTCGCGATTTGGAAAAGCATTAGGTCAAGATGGTTTGCTGGAAGTAAACTGAAAGGGGGATCAGTTTTGTCATGTTTCAATAGACTATCAGCTATCAGTTGACAATCACTTAATTCCACCTGTCTGGAAATCTTCAAAACATTCTGTACCGAAAACAAGAACTCACTAAACGACTTAACCAGATGCTTGGACATTGTGTGCTGGCGATTAGGTGCCGGACTCGGAGGATGTGGGTTCGAATCCCGGATGGGACTCAATCCAACAAAAGTACTAGAATCTGTACTTTACAAAGAAAGTGTAATCCCAAATATAACATATGTTACAAATGGACATTTGGTTGCTTCAAAACAAAACAAAAAATCTGAAGGGAGGAACCGGACTTTTAAACAACGCATCTTTTTTCGATACACCCAGTATGTCAAACAAACAACTTTTCAGGGGAGCAACATCTTAAACAAATTCACGCAGACAGATTTTCAAATTATGGGTCCCTAGATCAAAGTGCTTATCTTAATCTTGACTATAACTGTTGAGGGATTTATTATCCACAGCTGCTTTGTATTGTTTTGCTTACTCCAGAAAGAAAAACTCGGGGTCCAAAAAACATATTACTGGTGATATATATTTGTATTCAGAAACGTTTTACCCATAAATCAGCCGCAGAAATGTCGGAAAGTTATCGTAAATACTCCAGGTACGACGGTAAACACTTCATGAAAATTTCATGTTGTATATTTTATAAAACAGAGGTGTGCGAAGGTATTGAATGGAGAATATGGGGTTTAGCTATTCTTTGGAGATTTTGTTCAATAATCAAAATAATGTTATGATAGCCCATATTGACTTTGCCAATCTAGTTGCAAATGATGCGGTTATCTACCTGCTGATCATAATATCATGGATCATACTATCGACAGAGCTATGTTACAGTACAGGTTCGTGTCACATATGTGATTGTTAGGAGAACCTTGTCGCATGAATCAAGGCCCGTCTATGTTTAATTTGATTTTTTATATGCTCCCATTGTCTTCATTCTGAGTGGTTTACATGTATCTAAACATATACAAAATCCAGCGTATGCATTAGTGCATAATGAACATCATTCGTCAGGAATTTCTCCAGAAATGTTTCTTCATTACGAGAACACATTTGATTTATGCTTAGGTTACAATATGTTCCCGGCGACCAAGTTTCGCCGAAACGTCGTGAAACGGGGACAAAACGAAATGGACGTGAGACAATGTAGGGGAACTGAACGAGCAAACGTGACAGTCCGTGATTGCCGTGGATGCCAAGCCAGATTTTTAAACCTTTTCAAAAATTGGCCACGGCAGTCACGGTACTAATGAGAAACCTAGTTGGTCGTAGTAAAACGGGGGGAACGCAACAAAACGTGACAGCACGTAATAGGCCGTTACAAAACTTGTAAACGGTCCGTATCGGGTCCGTAGTGGGACAGGAGGCATGTGTATGCCCCGGCATCTCACGGTCCTTTCAAGTTTTGTCACGATTGTTTCACCATTGCTGCCCGTTTTGTCCCGATTCTCACGGCAAGCTAGGTTGTATGGAAGCCGGTTCGTCCCGTTCTATCACGACGTATCCATGCGTGTGGCGGTTTAAAGGGCCCGCGAGATACGCACCCCGTTTATCCCAACGGCCCATCACTGATACCGTGATAGCATAACTTAGCAAAACTTGACTTTGGAGGGCAAAAATGGCCAAAATCCCACGGCGCACTACGTTTCGGTGAAATAGGGCTGTCGTAGCCGCCACAACATAGTGTAACCCTAGCATCAATAACTACTGGTTTTAGATTTTACATTTCCCGGTTCATACTGACAGTAACTGCAGTATGATGGCTGAAGGAGCGGTGCGGTGCGGTGCGGTGCGGTGCGGTGCGGTGCGGTGAGGCTCGGTGCGGTGCGGTGCGATAAGGTGAGGTGAGGCTCGGTGCGGTGCGGTGCCGTGCCGTGAGGTGAGGTGGGGTGCGGTGCGGCGCGGTGCCGTGCAATTGACCATTTAGCAACGCATGTTAAACAGCGATTTTACTCTCTGATGATGTGATAATGTTGTGATAAGGTTTCGCACAGCACGAGACTATACCCATTCGTGATGCTGAGGGTCTAAACTGCCTCCTTGAAATAGTACAACTTTGTATGCAGCAACACCATGTCTACCACCTGTGCAGTCCTCAACAATTAATCTACATTGTTGTTCCCACACGCGCCCCCACCAGGCCACAGTTACAGTTACTTGAAACCCCAGAACACCGGATGGATTCGCATTCGATCTCTAAATCGTTGATGACACATAGAAGCCAGGTGTTAAAGGTGTGGAACACCAAAGGCCAAGAGAACAAAATTGGCGAATTGTGTAAACTACAGTGCTGATATTCATGATATCGCCACGAACTACGATACCCCTCCTTTACGTCCTCCCGCCATCGTCGCAGCCCAACTCACTCACTTACTTATAACAACATCATCCAACAAATAAAGCAAACTATCGTTGAATTCGTGTCTTGCAGGTCTCAGTCCCGTCGTGACACAGTTACTTCGCCGAATTAGTCACTATGACTGATACAGTGGGAAATTCAAATCTAGATTTTAAAAAAAAGAGGAATATATTTTCAAAATATATGTTTTGTAGGCTTTCTGCATCCATACATTTTACCGTGGGTGTTCACAACATACTTCTTTACACTATGGCCTAATGTAATCATGAACGGGTAAGACAAGTTTGTGATATTTCACGGAGTGTATATGAATACTGCATTGCTTCGCATCGAAAGACAGCTTTGACAAGGCAAGGAGGCCACACCCCATCTGTGTATACGACTGAAGCCCGGCCTTTAACCTAGCGTAACAGAAGTGACAGAAAAAATGAGACACAAGTTTGCTATAGCCATGCTTAAACGAAATAAGAAACACCCATCGTGATTGACAAACACGTCTCCTGACCAAACCAGTCCAAACCAGTCTCATCCAGTTCAGGGCACATGTCAGAACTGCAGCACGTGCATGGCGATTAATCACACTGAGAAATATGTTTTTTAGTAGGCAATATATTATATGATTAACAGATCGAAGGACCACTCGTATTTCATACATCACATGATGGATACGGCCCCTTGTCAGGTGATGATGTCAAAGCTGCATGTCTATATAAATGTCTTCAACAAGCAAAGAATGCATTGTAGCCAGACACCTGTCCGAGAAAAATGGCCACAGCTTGGTATGCTATTCTTTTGACCCTAGGCCTATGTGCATCTCTGTACGACACTACATCGACAACGACACCGGCCCAGGCAACGACGCTGGGGTAAGAATCTTCTCACAACCGCGTCATGATACGTCAGTAGTTTATACAGAAATGTGTTAAATGTATTAATGGGTGATTGTAAAGAAAAGTAGAAGTACACCGCATGTAAATTGTAAGTCCAGTGTATTTACGGCGTCCTGGTGTTTCGAGCGTTCTGTCGTCACGCTGATGACCCAAGTTTAATTCCAAGAGTGAGCCTAAGAGTTCATCGCCACTTTGAACAGTACTCATTTCCCTATGGCCCGTGAAAGCCAAATCTGGACCGAACCACCTCAATTTAGGTGTCGCTTTCGCGGGTACGGTCAAGCAACAGTGAACACTGAATTTAGCGTTCCCGGGTCTCTCAATACACAAGAAAAACAAAGAAATGTGAGTCGTCGTCTGATACCGTAGTCATGGTAGAAATTTCATAAATAAATAAATACTACTTTTTATGCTTGGTCGTGGAGTGCCAGAAAGGTTGAGGTGAGTTGGGCTTTACGTCACATGGGCATTATTCCAGCCATATAGTGACGAGAGCAAGTCTGCATTCATAAACGTTTTAAGTACAAAGTCCAAAAATATAAAACTATAGTTAATAAAACTATAGTTAATACCTATTGTTATGTTTTTTTATCTGGGCACATTCTGGATTTAATTGTAAAAAGTATTTGGATGATTTTTCACCTTGTTCAATCCATTTGGCTTTTGATCTTATAAAGGAGCCTTCAGTCTTTACTTTAATAAAAATTTCTTATTCGGATTTAGCTTCCTTAAATTTCTCCATTGGTATATCTTACTGAGTTGGCGGAAAAAGTCTTGAAGTTTCTCTAGAGAGATAAGATTCTTCTTTGTAGAACATATCACTGATATCTCTAACGGGGCGGTGGGGTAGCCTAGTGGTTAAAGCGTTGGCTCGTCACGCCGAAGACCCGGGTTCGAATCCCCACAAGGGTACAATGTGTGAAGCCCATTTCTGGTGTTCCCCGCCGTGATGTTGCTGGAATATTGCTAAAAGCGGCGTAAACCCAAACTCAGTCAGTCAGTGATATCTCTAACAGCATTGTCGATTGCGGTGGTTGGGTCACTATGACCTGCACGTGCATCTCGTATTCCTTTCACAAGTGGGGTCACGTACGTGCTGAAACTTGAAACAATTGAAACTTCATCTCAGTTAAGAGGCTCACAGATCGAGTATTGGGGTCGCGCGCTAATCTTGTGTACGGTAATCCGATGTTTTCATAGCAATTCGCGGCTCTTCTAGCACAACTTTGGTTTTCGCTTTGCCGGGAATAGGGAATATTGAAATTTCGCTTTCTCGGACCGACACCGTCTCAGGCGCTGCCCACGAGAATGGGCGTGGAACTGACGGCCTTGCGCGCCCAAGGTAGGCAACTCTGCACAGCATGATTAACGGGATTCACACATAGGAATTGTCTGATCTTAATGACGATTGCTATCAAAATATATTGAAATGAACTGCTGAAAACGCCTGGGGTGTTTCTGTATTTTGTTTTGGTTTTGTTTGTTTGGTGTGTTTTTTTATTAAGAGTGTATATAAACAAGTGTAACTATAGCGTAATTCAAAAGTTCAAACACACCTTTATGAACCTATGCACTAAAATGCACTAAGATGTTGCATATCTTTAACCAAAGGAAGTCAAGGACGAGACAATAGACCTGACTTCATTTAGATTTGAGCACTTGCATAAGATCTACATTTGACCAATGGCCAAGTCTTGGCGATAAATACACCATAGCAGAGATTAACCCTTTTTACTGACAAATGCATTAAGACATGCAAGTGAGACAAGAAATGTTTAAATAGTTTATTTTCCAGATCTAGTTACAATGTTTATGGTTATTCTATAATTGTTGCATAACGTATGTTGTATTCGCTCTTCACACCGGTTTGATAATCCACGTAGTTGCGACAGTCGAAACCGGGTTTGATCCTCCACATTGTTGCTGCAATCGACGCCTTCTTCCCGACCTGGATATGTCTGGGATAACGAAGTTACTCGGTCTTCAACCCCGACATGGGTACAACGTGTGAAGCCCATTTCTGGTGTTCCCCGCCGTGATATTGCTAGAATGATGTTGTGAGCAGCGTAAAACCATACTCACTCACTGACTCATTCATTCACTCACTCACTCACAGATAACCCGCCTTGTACATGTTAGTTATGTGGTTTTATTACAATGAATGTTTTTCAGTCCTTATCACACACCATGCGGACTGTGTGGTCGTAAGATCGACGTGACTCTGCGTGTACAGAACTTCCTTCGCAAGCCGTACTTCAGCTACACTGTCCAAATCAGACGCATGAGAAAACGACAGCTCATCTTCTTCCTCCAGAAGGCGGCAGATATGCGTGTGGAGTTCAGGTAATTGTGTATTTCAGTTAACTGTCTGGAGGTAAACTCAACACAACACAACGTTTTCTCAAAATGTTTCGATACTATTTTCAAGATGGCCTCCGCGACTGCCATATTGATAGGAACATTTGTGACTGATGTTTGAAAAAGGATTTTTTTGTAATCTTTACAGTTAGTATATTGAATTTGTGGTTTTATCCATTTTGTAATATGGTCTTCAAAAAGGGTCTTTTTCCATGAGGCCATTCACCGTTCAGTGTTCGAAAAGCCTATGGTCGAGGGTTCGAATCCCTGATACGCCACAATGATATTTTTATAGTTGTGGACCGTCCGCGAACTTGTGGGTTTCATAAGAGCAGTAAATGTCCGCATTACCTACATTCCCCACCCCTTGCTGACAAGCAGCCTAAAACACAAACTCCCTCACTCACTCTGCAGGTTCAGCGCGTCATACGGACAGTGGGGCTACTTCATTGACACCATGAATGGCCTGGAGACCAACTATGACAAGGATGAAACTTGGTGGCACATTAAAAATCAGACTATGTCTCTACCCCTAGGTAAGTTGGTGACTGTAGAGGTTCAGGCAGTGTTGCTTGCATATGTGGTGAAATTAAATTACAGGAGAAGCAATATGATGTTTTATGGAAGGACAGAGAAAGGGATTTTGTTAGGACATTAATCATCTGTTCAGCTACAGCATTAAGTGATTAATTCATTAAGTTATTAGAAAATGAGTCTCTGCCTTAATTCTAGAACTTAAATTTGTATTGCAATGAAACCACTTTCGACAAATATTGCGTTGTTGCGAAAATGTTTTACAAGTAGATGAAATAAAAACAACGAGATTGCTGCGTGACTAATTGTAAGAAACATTATTCTAACAAAAGCAAAGCAATGAGTTATCTTTGCAATTCCGTAGTGTTATCTGAATTTATTAATAGTTTTTCTCAATCCTGCAGTGGTACTATAAAACCGGAAGCTGTAAAATATGTTTTAATGGATCAACAACATATCATTTAGGGCCAACACATTTGTAAGCTTGTCCCAAATGTGTAGATCGATGCTCATGATGTTGATCACTGTGTTGTACGGCACGGACTCGATCATTTACTTGACAACAACAAACAAACATTTGTAAGCCATTCATAAAACATGAAGTACATACGTTTCATATGCGAATGAATGATCGAACGTAGTTTAACATTGTTGTTCGTGTCGCTAAATATCATAAGCTAAATATAAAAAGAAAGTTCGCGTTCATTTCCAGGTTCCAGTTCCTACATCCCCTATGACGGAGAGATCATCACGTATGAGTTTGTGCAGAGAGGCCCCCACTAATCACCCACCGTCACTGCAGAACGTCCCACGTGTAATGGAAACTCATATTGGGTCGCAAGCACTGTGTTTACGTTTCATCCGTGGATAATTGTCCTTAATATTAATCAACGCAGAAAAATGATTCACTGTGAACCGAGCGAACCGGGACAATGAGTGACCCCATGGATGGAGTGACCCCATGAGGTTCATTTCTGTGGACAAGGCGCCTGACCGCGGATCCCATGCTCGAATCCCATAACGTGGCGTCTGATGTTACATGATCACACAGACAAAATTATTTTTGTGAATCGACCAGTGAAATTTACATCGAAAAGACACATTTCTGAATCATATACATATATAAATTTTATTCTTAATTGTGATTAAATCTTATTTTCTTGCATGATGTTGACTTGAATGTTTTACATCAACATCGGACGGAACAAACAACACCCTTATATCTTTACTGTTATTTAGTAGGTACGAGAGAATGAATGAAGACATTGCCATATTTGGTCATTGTAGAATTGCAGACCTTAGGCACGAATTATCTCTTTGTGTAACGGGAAACACACAGTTCACTGGACCACCTCCGTGGTGTAGTGGTTAGAGCGTCCGCCCGGAGAGCGGAAGGTCGCGGGTTCGATCCCCGGCCGCATCATACCAAAAGACGTTAAAATATGGTACTTGTTGGATTAATGCCTGGCGCTCGGCATTAATCGGTACAACTAGGATTATAGACAGTATAATGTGTCTGAGTGGGGTATTCATGCTTCACTGCGGCATGGTATCTCAGTGGGCCAGCTTCAGTCTGGGCTAGTACAAGCAGCCGCACATACACATACACACGCATGCACGTCGTCATATGAGCGAAATATTCTCAAGCACGACGTTAAACCCAATTCCACCACCACCACAGTTCACTATTTGTTACGAGGGAGGGGTGCAAAGAGAGGAACAGCCAGGTGTGCGAGAAAGGATGGAGACGGCACAGCACGGGTAAATGATTCAATAACTTTGTCGGCTCTTGTGCACGTGCTCCGCGTACACCTGGCTGTTCCTCTCTTTGCAGTCCTCCTTGTAACAAACAGTGAACTGTGTGAAAATTTTAATGATAGTTTGTTAAACAACTTTTTATATTTAGGGCATAAATTCTGCAAAAAATAACAGAGTTGGTCTGATGTTTTGATTAGTGTTTCATTGTGTATTATATGTTTAGTAGTTTTCGAGTTAGACTGCAATTCATCGGTCCGCTTTTGAGCCAAACGGACTATACCAGATAAGGCTATCTTTATTTCTGACACTAGGGTTATCTTGTATAATTATATATTATAAGCCGTACAAATACCAAAACATTGGCAAGCCCGTGCCAGATATCTGGAACCATCTCAAGGTAAGGTAAGCGTTAATACAGCATGTAATTGCGTCATGCAATAGTGTGTTCGAAGTTGAGAGTTCAAGTCTGATTTCGCTTTGGCCAGTTTGAACAGTATTTCAGTCATATAACCGCTCTCTATTGTGAAAATGGTTCGTGACCCGGCCGGTTCCATAGAACGATAAGTCGTAGGTCGTCTATGTTGAAGTACAATTTCCTTATAGTCAGATATCTACTCCGAAGGTTTGCCCCAGAGTTAAGGTCTAAGGACTGGGATCACTTAGTGACGTGCGTGTGTACAGGTGTGTGATTGTTTTCTCGAGCCGGTATAGCAGTGTAACGAATAATACTAAGCCTATAAGTTTACTTAGACTGCACGAGTCCAGACACTGGTCGGTAACGTGTAGAACTGCATGACTGCATGTTTGTGTTTACGCCTAATCCACCCCCATACCTGGTTCCCAGGCCTCTCATTAAAAGTTATTATGAGAGGCACGGGAATCATTGAGATGTCAAGGTCTATTTACATTCAGTGTTTTAAAACCCTCAAACAGGAAACGAGAAAATGCGTGTTTATGTTTCTCCAGCCACTACCCATCCTGGTTCCCGGGCCTCTTTTCTTCAGGAAACGGGAAAATGCGTGTTGGTCTACCACAGTCTTTTCTTCAGGAAACGGGAAAGTGCGTGTTGGTCTATATGATTACTGCCCAGATAACATGAGAGTGAATGTTTATGTTATGCTTATATTCTAGGTGACATGTGAAAATGCTTGTTATGTTCATATTCTAGGTGACATGTGAAAATGCTTGTTATGTTCATATTCTAGGTGACATGTGGAAATGCTTGTTATGTTCATATTCTAGGTGACATGTGAAAATGCTTGTTATGTTCATATTCTAGGTGACATGTGAAAATGCTTGTTATGTTCATATTCTAGGTGACATGTGGAAATGCTTGTTATGTTCATATTCTAGGTGACATGTGAAAATGCTTGTTATGTTCATATTCTAGGTGACATGTGAAAATGCTTGTTATGTTCATATTCTAGGTGACATGTGAAAATGCATGCTATGCTGATATTCCAGGTAACATGTTAAAATGCATGCTATGCTGATATTCCAGGTAACATGTTAAAATGCTTGTTATGTTGATATTATAGGAAATGAAGGCATTCTTGCTGGCGCTCTTGTGTCTCTCAGTACATACTGTAGGTACGTATGGTTTAATCACGTGGATGGGCATGCAACATTCAGACAGATCAAGATTAGCGAAATGTCTAAGGGCATAAACATGATTTTAACGTTTCAAAATGCATAGAAAGATCATATAATATGTTTCCTTTCAACAGAAACGTAATGACATGATTTCGTCCGTGTCATGGAATGACAGTATCAGGTGTTGTTTATATCTTGGGGGTTTTAACAGAACTTACAATGATGGTTACATTAGATTGCATTACATTACATTATAAGCCCAAATTCATGGATGTGATTTTGAATCGCTTCTTCAGTATGTCGCCTGAGTATCACCGGTGATCACTTCTACGAGGGCAGCACACGTGTATTCCTGAGCGGTGTCAACGCTGCCTGGGTGTACCTCGGAACCGACTTCGGCAACAACCAACTCGACAACTACAGACTCTCCAAATACACCGACTACATCAAGCAGATTCACTCCAACGGAGGAAACTCCATACGTGAGTTCCTATACAGTTTCATACTCCTCATAGCATTATCCTTAAGCCGAAGTAACACTGCTAATGACAGACCGATCTCCATCACATACCAGCATATGCAGTGTCATACATCTGCATGTGAAGTCCCGTTCGCCTATAGTCATTATTTCAGTGTTCGGTGTAGAGTTTCATCAGTAATTGTGATAACATAGATATATCCAACGAGTCAAGGTCCAAAATTGGTCCCTAGTATCCCGTTCATATCGTATGAGCGGGCGATCGGTTGGTCAGGCTTTGTACCTGCCTATCATCGCAACCCGATCGCACTGATCGCCGCCCATCGCCCACGTGGGCAAGTGGGTAGAGTGGCTTCTCGGGGAGCGGAAGGTCCGTGGTTCCATGCTCTGACCGTAATGCAAAGGGCTTAAAAAGATGGTTCTAGTTGTTACCCTGTTTTGCGCACGACATTCATCGCATAAAACATGGATTCCCGTTCGCGATCCTAGCGCTTAAACGATCTGTTCACGCGTAGATTTACGACAGTCTTAGCGGGGAAGGTCGTGAGGTGGAAAGGATACCGGCTCAGTAAAGTCAGTATAACGATTTGGAATATTGTGCCCATACCTTAAACGGATGGTACATCCCAGGGCTAGCAGTATAAAACGGGTACAATCAGCCACCCACATACACACGCGCGCGCGCGCGCACGCACGCACGCACGCGTATGGTTGCCTGTTTACCTGGTCCATGTCTAAGTGGTATATACATGTAGTATGAACAGAACGGGCTGTGGCGTCAAACACCATCAAATCACTTCGTTAAAGGCATCTTCGTGCATGACAACTGCGAGACTACACCCAACATAGACTCCAACGGTATCACCCAGGGTCCAGACAAAGATGGAACGCTCATCAGTGACCTCAAGAAGGTCCTTGACGTTGCCCAAGCAAACAACGTCCTCGTCTTCTTTGCTCTCTTCAATGGAGCCCAGAAGAAGCCCGACCACTGGAAGCTCCAGGGCATCATCACCGACGACACCAAGAGACAGAAGTACATCGAGAAGGCTCTGCAGCCGATGGTGAAGGCTCTGGGCAACCACATTGCTCTGGGAGGTTGGGACATCATAAACGAACTGGAGGGGATCATTAAGATCGAAGATCATGGAGGGGACAGCTGCTTTGATACCAGCTTCTTAAAAAACAGCGGGGCGGGGTTTGCTGGGGCCACTTACAGTGCTCAGGATCTTCAAAGGTAAACACTAAACAGCATAAGAAAACACGGATTTACATGTCCTTACGTTTGCGGAATGTCTTCCCTTGGAGCTCCTTGATTTATAATGTGTTTTCACCTTGTAGCAGTGCCTTCCTTTGAAGTATGTTAGATTTGTAAGCGTGTATTTAGGTTCGGTAAGAGTTATGATTCAATGCTAACATCTTACTTGTTTGACCGTCCTGACTACGAACTTGAACATTTCACATCACTTAAATTCTTGGACATTATGGCCTGTTTTTTTAATTCCCGCATAAAGCAACCATCTCAAAACCTTTTGAGGGGTACAACTTAGCATATTTTAATCCAGCTGATGTTTTGGTAAACCAAGTACTATCATTGATTTATTAAGTGAGTGAATGCAACATTACGCTGATGTAGTTTAAGGATATCACAGCGAGGGTACCAAGACCGGGTTTTTGGAAAGACATGCCGAGAATCGAACAGTCAACGCTTTAACATAGAGGCTGTCCCACTGCCCATTCGATCTAACAGCACATTGCTAAAAGATATAACCTTCTTTTAGAATGGTTTACACGCTGCCTTCTCCTGTCCTTAAGGTTCCTGAACCACGTGGCCGACGGTATCAAGCAGGCAGACAGCAGTGCACTGATCACATCCGGGTCCTGGAACCCAATCTCCAACACAGACAAATTTGGTTCTCATAATCTTTACAAAGATAGCTGCCTCCGCAAAGCAGGTGGAAAACAACAGGTAAGATTATATTGACCCATCAAGTCAAATCTGATTTCGCTTATTCATCAATTTGGCATCAAACTGTGTTCCAGTCCCGTTGTTTCATCGGACTGTGTTATTTGAGTATGACTTTACACGCTCTGACGCTTTGTCAAGGCATGGCGTGCAGACCTGCATTGCACCATTGGTGAAAATTGGAGCCGGTGAACTCATTATTCAAGGCCACTCTCAAACAGCATTGAGTAGTTTCAACAGTGATGTGGTAGTGACCTGCTGGCATCAACCGGTGTTCATCAACCACTAGTTCGCTTGTCTAGGACTTGATTAGATTCTAGGAGCCATGAAACACAACTGATTGCGGTGTAAAACAATCTCCACTCACTCTATACGTTTCTGTTGCAGGGTGTCCTCTCCTTCTATTCAACCCACACATACGCCAAGGCAGATCAATGCCAGTGTCACTATGACAAGATTTCCCCCTTCTACGGAGCAGGAGTAGGTATTACCGTTACTCCCGTCGTCGCAATAAATATTTTTCAAAAGTAAACCTAATAAGATAGAATGTTTAGTTAGTCAATTAACGTCACTTCTTTTTCTTCCGATTGGTAGGGATCCTAAGGACAGGTACAAGTACCGCATATATGAACCGGAAGCGTTATGCCGCCATCTTGCTTTCCAAAACAGCTTCCGTTTTTGCGTTGAATCCTTTTTTCAGTTTCTATTAAATATGTATATTTGGTAGTAAGTTGTGTGGAGAGATATTTGGTAGTACGTTGTGCGGAGAGCACTGTATATATAGTCCGATGAATTTCACTTTAAACAAAAAAGTGAATCAAATAATGTGAAATTAAAATTGCGAATCCTCATAACTTTACCTTGCCAGTTGAACATTAAAATCTCAGAATTGTATTCAACTTAGGATAAAAGTTGTTTAACAAACGATCATAGTTTCAAATCGCTATTATTGGTGTGTATTACAAGGGGGTATGCACATTAAAAGAAACCCCGAGAACAAGAAGGGTTGGTTTCTACGGTAGTCTAAGTTAACGCTCATCACGGACCGCATGTGCATTTGTTTCACTATTCCAACTACTGCGCGTACCCCCTTGTAATACAAACCAATAATAGCAATTTGAAACTATGATCGTTTGTTCAACAACTTTTATCCTCAGTTGGATAAAATTCTGAGATTTAAAAGTTCAATTGGCAAGGTAAAATCATGAGGATTCGAAATCTTAATTTCACATTATGTGATTTACTTTATGTTTAAAGTGAAATTCATTGGTACGTTTTCACTGCAAACAGACTATAGTTACCGTAAATGTAAATTTATAGCCAACCATCGGTCTGCAGTAGATACACAACGCACTAACAAATCCAAGTAGTTAAAATAGAAAGAAGTAATTATCAAAGATAAAAGAACAGATTGCTCTGACATACAAGGATACTAGACTATTACTAGTCCCATACTGATACCTGCCTTTATATTGTATTCATTTTTTCCTTGATCCCATCAAGAACCGTGTTTTAAGATGGGTCCCAAACAGCATGTGCCTGTTGTAAGAGGTGGCTTAATGGACTGGTTGGTTGGTTGTCGTTTAATGCCGCACTCAGCATTATTCCAACTATATGGTGGCGGTCTGTAAATAATCGAGTCTGGGCCTGACAATCCAGCGATCAACACCATGAGCATTGATCTACGCTATTGTGATACGATGACATGTGTCAACCAAGTCAGCAAGCCTGACCACGCTATCCGGTTAGTCGCCTCTTACGACAAACATGGGTTGTTGAAGACCAATTCTAACCCGGATCTTCACGGGTTTGGCTTTATGGAGGAGATGGTTAGAATCAGACCTATTGACCTGGCTACTGCATGCCATTGTAGACATAGAACGCCATTCATAATCACTGACTTGTCTGATCCAGATTCGATTATTTACAGGCCGCTGTCAGACAGTTGAGATATTACTGAGTGAGGTTTTAAATTTAAAATAATGCAGTATTCATGTGTTGCTCCAGCATCACATGAGTGACTATGGTCTGGACAAGCCCCTTGTAATCGCCGAGTTCAGCGAGAAGAAAGGTGACGGGTGGACTACGAGCAAACAGTTTAACCACGCCTACTACAACGGATATGCGGGAGCATGGGGATGGCAGTACAAGCAGGAGGCGACGGATAATGACGAAGATACAGCCGCCGTCATCAACGCCGGCCTCAACTACATTAAGGGCAAGACGGACGCTAGCAACGGGGGAACAGTCAATTTTCAATTGTGATCGATTTGTGTTATGGTGTAAGGGATGCTAATTAAAATTATATAGTATTGACAATTAAATCTTTGTATTTTTATTGAAAATGTCATTCTGTGTTGTATGACATCGTCAACCACGTCATCCTTATCCCGTATATACAACTCTGGTATACAGAAACTCACAACCAGACATGACATAAGAACATAGTTGCTCTTGTGTCCACCACCGGGGTCAAATAAGCACTGTCCGGTACATCTTGCCCGGGGTGTATGGATCAGGCGCCACTGAGTGTTCTCCCACACGGCCTGTAGACGTTCAGACTATTAGGGCCGGTGGGGTAGCCTAGTGGTGTCAAAGCGTTCGGTCGTCACGCCGAAGACCCGGGTTCAATTCTCCACATTGGTACAATGTGAAAATCACATTTCTGGTGTCCTCCGACGTGATATTGCTGGAATACTGCTAAAAGTGACGTAAAACTAAACTCACTCACTCACTCAGACGATTGACTTCGTGGTTGACTACCTCTATACCCACATGTTGGTGGTGACATGACTCACGCTTTTTGTACCAAAGTCTAAATGCTTCTCCGATAGTCGTTGCAGATAATCTAATTTTAGTAGACAGGTTCCTGTCTTAAATCTGATGGTGGTTATTGATGAACAAGTAATATCTTAAGAAAGTCTGAGGCAATGTGTGCTGTCTTTTGTAAAAAAAACGTGAAGGTGATCGTTGTAATCTCTCAAGTCACTGAGTGGAATTGTCTCCCAACCACTGACCCATACTGAAGGGTAGATCTTAGCTAAACTACCCATGCTGCTGAATACTGCGATGGCTCTGCTACCAGTCTCCGTGAGACGTCGCTCGATGTTTCTTTGTGATTCAGTCAGTCGTGGCAAGAATACTTATCACTTGGTATCGGAAAAGGTACTTGAACGTGGGGCGGTGGGGTAGCCCAGTGGTTAAAGCGTTGGCTCGTCACGCCGAAGACCCGGGTTCCAATCCCCACATGGGTACAATTTGTGAAGCCCATTTCAGGTGTCCCCCGTCGTGATGTTGCTGGAATATTGCTAAAAGCAGCGTAAAAACCAAATTCAGTCAGTCAGTCAGTACTTGAACGTTCGTTGAGAGTTGTCTACGGTTGTTGGCGTTGACGTGCGCACCGTTCAAAGATATCCCTGACATGTAAGATGGGTGCACTGAGTGCTGGCCATGGTAACGTAACCATTGTTGGAGGTACTCAGTAACAATACGGGCCCTGTGTACTGCTGTGTTGTTATCCTGAAACACAAAATGATAGCCATGTCGGCGTGCAAAGGAGATCACGTGTGCCTCCAGGATGTTGTCACGGCAGCACTGCCCTGTGACACGTCCGTGAATAACACCTGAAGGTGTTCTGCCATTCACAGTGATCTCATAAAACACCATTACTGAGCCACGCCAAAACGAACATTCTAACATTAACTACATGTACATGAAAACCCTTATGCCGTCCACTCTACGCTCTGTCTGGCCTGTCAGGGTAGTCCACAGTACACCTTGATTCACCCGAAAACAAAACGTCTACCCAACAGCGATTGGTCCAGCGCTGCCAACGAGGTCTTGCTGCAAACGTGGCATATCATGTGGCAATCTAGGTTCCATCTGTGTAACAGATTACGATCTGCCCACTCACTCTAACACTTACAGCTCTATGAAGCTACTCTTCTGTGTCACTTTGACCACGGTTTCGGTTTCGTAACACAGTCGTCGTTCTGATGGAACTGGTGGTGGTGGTTGTGGTTTAGGGCAACATGCACCAGAAATAAGATCTATTTGCGCCCAACACATTAGCTGATGTTGAACTATCATAAACATAAGTAGACATGCTGCACCAAAAGATTATATATATTATGTATAAAGATGTATTCATTGTATTAGGAAATTTTAAAAAATGACAGGACTCTCTGCTTAGTAAAAGGGATTGGAACATCAAGCAACCAATTTCTGTTTTGAAAAAATAAGAAGAATAAACGCACAAAAGGATGATGCTATTTCAATAAAAAAAAACAGAAAATCAAAAGAAAAAGAAATCTTAAAACAATTTAAAAGCAATACATATGTTTGGTTTTATGTTTCTAGCAGACGACATATGCTTCGATTGTCTTACCTGATGCAGTCACGTACTCTAGTATCGATCTTTGAATTGAACAATATAGAATGTTGGGGCCCAATATTGCAAGAAGGGAAAATGTATCACTTTTTCTCAATCACTGCACTTCTGAAATTTTGTCATGTTACATAACGGGACATTCCAATTGATAATGTTGAAATGTGTAGGGCGTCTTATCAGTACATTGGTCATGGTAGGGAGCGGTGATACTTCCTTATCAACAACACTTATGTAAGCATTTAGTGCACAGTGACCAAGACGAAGTCTAGTTATAGCAATTTCATCACTTCTCTTATGACGGCAGTCTGTACATATGTCGTCCAATATATTCCATCATCCAGCAAGTTTTGTCATTTGATGGAGACCGACTTCCCAATGGCACATTAAAAATATCTTTGGCAAGGCTTCAAATTCAAAACTATCAACCTCATCCTTTAGCAATAGAGGCCAAGCAAGATCATCTGCTGTACATGTTTCATTACCCTACAAACGACATGAGCTGGAACCCATACAATATCACATGAGATATATTTAGTATTCAAAATTGTGTCTAGTTTCACAATTTCGAAAACAACATCACTTCTGGGCCCTTTAACTCCAGACTCAATACCCTTAATGGCCGCCAATGAATCAGTAACAATGACTGCTTAATGATTATATTTATCCAATCATCTGAGTGCTTGTAGAAAAGTTCTGATATATGATCATGAAGTCATGAAGACATCGGAGATAGTATTATCCGGGATCCGGAAAGATCCAGCAGCAGAATCATGGACGAATCCTTGGAGACGTCAATATACATGGAGGCGTCAGTGTCAAACCTGCATAACGTTCCAGCATAAAATCCTCAGAAATTGCTCTCATCACATTTGGATTCATATCTTTCGAAACAATGGAACCATTTCATAGCACAATCCTGGCTTCAGCAAAATCCAAGGAGCAGGTTTAGAAGATGTAGATGGCTCCACTGGATTCAGGTGAACAACTCCATGTTGTGTGCCAATTTCTGAATGTTTAAACCAAACGGGATCTTGCCATGAGACCATTCACACATGACATACTCCACACAGTCATTCACTATATCCGTGACTGAATGATAGCTGTCCATAGCCTTCATCTCCATGAAGTATTAAGGTATACATGTTGACGTCTGCGAAACAAGGGTATGTCAGAACACTCAACCTGAAGAGCCGAGACTGGAGTAGTTGCAAACGCTCCAGTGCAAGCTCAAGGTTGAATGCGATCAAGCATGAAGACGTGGCCTTTAGAAGTAGACGTGTAGACTTAGCAGGAATAGTTGATTCTCGATAAGGTAAGTGTTTTATACAGCAATAACATGGTAGATTTATCAGCTCCCCTGGTGGTTGGGACACACACTTCAATAGATCAATAACACTGTGACACCGGCTGCAAAGATAGGATATATGTTTTAGCCATGTGAGTCTCCGATGAAACTGAACTCTGCTACAACATCCAGGTAATGGTTTCCAAGAGATAACTCAATCTTTGATGGAATTCCAGTCTGTTGTACCACTAAAATGTACAGCAACACACTGATACGGTTCACTGTGCACATCATGAACCTCCGATGTCTGCACGAAATTCATAACACATTGCAAATTTAATAACAATTTTCTAAATGATATACAGTGAAGCCTCGTTAATCCGGACGGTTGCGTTTCTCAACAAATTCGTCCGGATTGCGAATAGTCCGGACTACTGAATCAAGACCCAAGTTCAAGCAAGAGTTGCTTTCCTTACTATTACAAAAACGACACGAATCTGGATAAAACAAATAAGCATTTTATGTAAAGCTTATAAAACGATGAATAGCAAGTACAACAATAATATAGTCATAGCAAAAGGGGTCTTTCATTGTTGTACAGTCATACAACTTGGTTCCCAAATAGTCGCCATAAATGGAACATCCCTTACTTTTCAATGGTATATATTTAGATCTATCAATAGTACTACAAGGTCATAAATTATATAAAACTCCTTTTCACTGTACACAGCGTATTTGTGACCACCTCTTTTACTTATGTACGGCGATCAAAGGTTGTCATATTCTTAAATCTTTTTAACTATTTATAAGACAAAATTTTGACCTGGCGCAGGGCAAGGAAAAGCCCAGAAGAAGTTGACATCCATAATATTTTGTCTTATACTTGAATACCACCTTCTATATGCCTCTCAAGAACCTTTAAACTATTTGTTAACCATCACGCATAACAGTCACTCATACAAACCTTGAAAAAAATTGGATAATACTTATTACTTTTCATTTTTTAATTGTTATTACCAGAAAAAGATTCGTCCCAAATTTCAAAGAGTAATAACATTTAATAATACAATTTACATAACCTTGGAGAGTACATTCTAAAACAACATTATGCGAAACGACATATATGCAAAGTATCAACATTCTAATTTGGGAAGTTTTATAGTTTACATACATTTTAAGGTTTTTGACACAGCATATCATTTAAATATCGGCAATGTTCCTCTGACAAAAGTGCTTCCTTTTGAATCAAATCCAAAATTGGGGGAATGAACCAAGAATCGTTACAAGTGAAATTAAAGCTCTCCTGATTGATTTTGCTCCTGAAAATGAAGAGAAAAAATATTAGTGTCGGTAAATACATATTAGATCGAGCCTCTTTGGTCATTGGGTTAGTTGTGTTAGAATAGGTTACCCCCAGCTCTGTCCTTAGTTTCTCCCCTTAAAGAGAGAAGAGAGAAAGAGTAGAGAACATATACGGGCTCCAATTTTGCCAGGAAAATAAAGTACAATCGATTGATTAGCGGGCTACCAACCTAGAGTTATTTGCCCTTGACAAGGTGGCGCAAACGTCCAATCGTCGTCCGCATGAAGAAAAGTGGATTCATTTTCAGGTTGTAAACATTGGTTAATTCTGATGTAAGATGATGGAAATTGGATCTGAGATTAGTCACAAGATCCGGGTAAGATTCTTCGTCGATATGCGTTGTAGATTGACCATGCACACAACATAAATCCAATGTCAATGGCGTTCAATGAAAAGGTACATACGTGTGTACCCTAATTTCGTGGTGCTTTTACTTGACTTCGAGTGTTCAGCTCGTGCACTAGCTACATAATTGTCATCACCGTAGTAACGAAAGGACACGTGGTATGTCAAGTATAATGCTACACTGTCTTAATCTTGTCGAATGCGTATGATGTCTGGTGTAAAGTAACAACACTAGGCGTGTCTTATTGTCACCGGTTCGGTCATTGAACGACACTTGCCAGTTCAGGTTCGCGTGAATATGTGCACATTTTTGAGGATGTGTTTGGTAACACAGATGAAAGTGTCACTTGAGAGGGATTCCATCTGGATATTAATAAAACATATTTTTGGGTTTCTGGGTGAAGATGAACAGTCACCTTTTGATTCTTCATTGCAGTTTCTAGGGCATATTATGATGTTCTTATGAGCCAACATTCAGATTGGTCAAGCTCCATTTTTGGCATAGCCCAAATTCAACGTTATTCCAGTTTCCACTGCCATGGTCAATTGTCCCTTTATCAAATTCCAGCTCTAATGAGTTTATCCATAAATAGTTCTTTAGTTTTCAGAATTCAGGTTTAGTTTGGATGCTGTTAGAACAGTCTGATCCAGTGACTATATGGAGTCGTCTTCCATCTGTGCTGGTTTAATCTTGTAATGCAGATCTACCTGGTTCAATTGTCTGGGGTTCGTTTGCAAACGTTGAACTTCTGACTCTTTGCCCCATACTTTACGTTGGTGCTCAAGGCACTGAATATCAGACTGGCCCCAATTCTCCATTGCTAATGCCAACACCAGCACTTCCCTGTCTTTGTTATATACTATGTGTTGAAAGGCCTCAAGCTCCCAAGAAAGATTACAGTCAGCCTAATGGTCAAAGGGAGAGAATTCACTTGTTTACTAACATATTTTTCATAATAAGGAAACCCATTACTAAATGGAGACTTGGGTGGGTAGAGAAAAACCAGGGAAGGAATTTCCTATGAGCTCATTTGGGCTGATTTGCTTTGTTTGTTGGTAATGCCACACTCAGCAATATTCAAGATGTATGACATGGGTCTGTATATAATCATGTCTGGACCAGACAATCCAGTGATTGGCTTCATCATCATGTGCATCTATCTAATCTGTTGGGATATGATCACATATGTCAACCAAGTTAGCGAGTCTGAATACCCGATCATGTTTGTTGCCTCTTACAACATTGACAACACGCATGGGTTGCTGAAGACCAATTCTATCCCAGATCTTGACAGGTCAGGCGAATTTGCAGTCCTAGCAGGTTTATGTAGGTCAATACAAACTTTCTGTCTACTACTCAATTTTTTAAGGAAGGTCAATTTGGTACTAACAATGTTTATCTTTTGTCCATAACCAGCTGACAACAGTGTATAAGGCACGATAATTATGTTATGTTATAATATTTCATTTCTCTCAGTTTCGTCCTCTTTGCACTGCTGGGACTGAATGCTAGAGGGTAATGATCCTTCCAGCATCTGTATCTGTGGTGTGTATCTTTGTCTCATAGAAGTTACCCATGTTAAGTCTTATTGTGCTTATATATACTTTTGTAACCAGTGATATGTCTGTTGTTTCTTTTTCAGTCTGCTATTAAGGCAAAACTGGTTGAACTTGGAGCCTATGTAGGTGCGTAATTCCATGTTGTGGTTTTTCATTAGGGACTGTTAAGTTTTCCCCCTTGATGTATAATACAGGCTCCGCTATCCCATTGTGTATACTGCAGGCTTAACTTGTTGGCGCTTTTATCACAGGCCGTGTGTTGTTATTGTGTCTGGCTTCCTAATCCCCTATCATTTGTATTGTACTGTACAAACATCTACTTGTATTTATACTTCTCTATCCTCATGCTGTTCATCACTTGCTTGATAACGGTGTTAGAACCATACACCGAAACGTCGCTCTCACAGCAATAAAGAAGTTGTTCATCCTTATATTGTTATCCTTTCTTAGAGACTGTTATGTTTGTGTAATCAAAATAATCTTGATAATAATAAAAAAATAAAAATATATATGTTATATTTATTAATGGGTGCATTAGGTAATGAACATATTTCATGGTTCATATTGTAATATTGTATCTTGTAATTATATTTGTAATCACAATGGCAGATGTAGAGGAGATCCCTGTATAGTGTGTATTTGTGATGTAGATGAAGAACTACCAGACTACATCATGGTCATGGTGGCCAACAAGAAGAACAGTTTACAGATGACGGAGGACCTTAATCTCTTCCTTGGATCAAACACAGAAAAGTTCACCACATGGTAAAGTTGATTTCTTTAATACTGATGTATTTTTGAAAGAATTGCAAAATGTTAAATGGTTATCTTGGTTACTACTGGCAGCAGACTTTGTGTTTAGATTATCAGGTAAATATGACTATTATGATATGTTGTCTTCATCTCTTCTATGTAGTGGTTTTGAAAATAAGGATTTTCAACAATCTGCATGTAGTATGACAAGGTATGAATAAGTCTTGGTATAGTGTTTTCATCTTGATCATGTCAGTCTATGATTGTATATGTACTTTGTTGAATAAAATCTAAATTTGTTTAACTGACCTTTTGTTGTTAGAATTAGATTCGAGGCTGATACTAAATGTTTGTTTGCAGGCTCCACAACCTGATCAACAAGTTGCAGTCTATATCAAATGGTAAGGCATGTCCTTGAGACTGCTGTGAAAGTAAAATAACAAGGTCAACACAAATTCTCAGTTAAACCATACATTGGAAGTTTCAAAGTGAATTGGCACTACCATCATGATCATTGATCATCAGAACTGGAAAAAAACACATTGTGAACTGAAACAGATTAGTAATGCCTGTAACAGCACTTTGAAAATTGTGAAAATGTTTAAAGAAACACAGTCAGAATTGTACTGTGAAGCATACGAGAAGTTAAAAACTATTTTGAATGCTTGGCCGGGACAAAAATGTTCAGAATCAAACAAGAATTTCAAGGGTCTTTGTTGTATGCCTAATGATAAAAGTTAAAGATTGAGGAGTCCCCAGATAACTTGCCAATGAACCTATGGTCCCCTTTGATTTTGAACACTTGTTAAGTAATGAATCTCTCTACATTAGCACATATTTAGTGAGTATAAGCATAATAATTATCTTTCAGAAACAGTATCTGATGACAAAGAAAAAAAGGAGAAGGAAAGAAAGAAATCCACAGAAAAGAAGAAAGTCATCTCTAGTGATGTCCCAGCTGCTGTGCCAGTTAAGAAGGTTGAGAAGGCACCTGTTGTCCAGAAGGAGACAGTCAAGCCTAAAGTCAATAAAGTGAAGGAGGTAGTTCAACCGAAGGAGCCGTCGCCTGTGCCTGACCTAGAAGAACCAGAGTTTACTGTCAGGGCAGATACAGGTGAGGTTTTTGGTTGGTTGATGTTGTTTAACACTGAATTCCCCATACATTTTAGAATCAAATTGCAACTGGTCTGTGTCACCAATGATAACTGTCTAGATAAAATGAGGCGAAACATATTGGGTGTGAAAGCGAACGCTGTGCTTGAAAGACTCATCATGATAGTCTGAAATGTAAACAAAGACAATTCCGATTTACACTGGGCGTAGCATTTTTCTGGAAATTTTCAACATTCATCCGTCTATTCATTTTGCTTGCAATGGCTCAATACCTTTGGAATATGCATGGAAAGAGTATAAAGCAAGAAATAGGAAATTATAAATAGATACAATGCAATGATTTGATAATTCATAAGAAATTGTCAAAGTTTCTGAGCAGCGTGACGTCATGACTGATGCCAAATCAATAAAAGCGATACGGGTAATTATCTGCATTTCTGGCCTTTTCTCTTACTTATAGTGAAAACAATAAAAACATATAACAACACACAGATAGTCAGAATCATTCTGATTACTTACATGTCATATTTATGTACAAGCGATCCCTGAATCAATGGAAGGGTCCTAGCAAAAATCCCTGTGTACCCTTGTCAGCAAAGCAGCCATTTTGTAAGAACTTCGGTCAGCGGTAGTGATGTCATCACGTCAACATTGTTCTACATATTAGGCAATTTCTTTGAGGTGAAGGTCGGTTGAACAAGAGTAAACACAATCGCCATATCCTTCCGATTACACTGTCAGTATTATGGTGCATATTTTATGTATTAGTTCAGATACTTTTCATGAAACTGACTTAAGTACTAAGTATCTACATTTAGCCTTGTTCAATATCATATCATACGTGCATATAGGGTTTACGGTGTTATATTCTTTGAAAGTTTTGATTGTTTGAATCATATTTACATAAGAAATTGACATATTTAGTGCAATACACCATATTCAAACCTCTACACAAGTGTTAGAAGATCAAACGAAAGTAGCAATAACTGCAACTACTTTAGTTCCTATGATGTACAATATTAACTTTTTTATACTAATATTGCAATTTCATATGAACAGGTTAATGAAAGTTGATTTAATTCAACCTTATATGTAAAACTGATAATATTAATGACAATGATTTATATATGGTATGAAATGTATATGCACACATATTTAAAGGAATTGTCTTGTTCATTGCATAATTTTGTGTCGTTTTATAGACAAAAGAATTATGCATATTGATCGACAAAGGTGCAGTTTGTTGGAAACGCTTTATGATTCTCTATCATTGTTTTCGATAATATATTCAATTCATATTCGATTAAATAATATTGTGATGACAGGATATCAAACTCTAACTACATTTATAGGAAAATTGTTGAAAAATATATATACCATCTCATGTGTTAATTCGGACAAATCTTACATCCATATTCTAATATATAGTTCCATATATAAAAAGCTATCTTTTTGCATCTTTCATTGCATAATTATGAAGAGAAATAGCGACATAATCATAAACAAACAAAATTCTTATCCCAAACAAAATATTCGGGTGTTGTGAAATATTATTTTTTATTTACGTTACATTGATGCCAAACAGGTGCGTGTTGTTCACAAAAAAGATGCTGTCAAACCGTCTAATTGTTGATATATTCAGGACACTATTTAAATAGAAAAATCAGTCATTTTATGTTTTGTCTAAAGAGTGTTAAATTCTGACATAGAAGTCTAGGACCTTTTATACACTTAATGGAAATTAAGTGACATATATACTAATCAGCATACCAATGTCGCCCTTTTCCGACGCCGCATAAAATGCATAAAACAAGCAATTACGCCAACTAAAATGTTGTATTATTTTCAGCAATTTCATTACATTCTCAAGATATGGCTAGTATTCTGGTAATAACGATGCAAAATTAGTCAAAATACATCTACACAAACAGGAGAATATGGGAATCTAAGAACTAACTTGTATATCGGATAGGGCCATTCAAATCGCAATTAGGTGCTTTCACATGTAGTAACGCTTGTCATCTTTTCTTATAAACTGTGAAACTACCAAACTGCATCCGGCTCACATTGGGGAACTTTGAATTGGAATAGTTTGGTTCACCGTGAACAAAAAATAACGAAAAATATAGCGTCCATGATCCACAACAAATTCTCTCCTTGTGAACTGAGTTACATTGACCTAGTGTTACGCATAACGGAGTTATGCCCCTTATCATTATATAATGCGTGTATGACCTCTCTGTCGTTGTCTGACGCCATAGAAGAAAATCCATTTTTGACATTTATTGCGAAAGTAATTTTTAATGTTGGCGATAATAATGCATGCATAAGCACATAAATCCAATTCATATACACTTATGTCGTTCAGATATCAGGCTGTATTTTCTTCAGCTCACTCTTTCCGAAAGATGTCAAAATAAAAATTCAGAGCACAGTGCTTTTATCGGTGCTTGTGATAAAAAGCGGAGAAATTTACTGTTTTTACGCGATAACAAAATTTGGACAACATTTAGCAAGGTCTATTTCTCAAACCGCAGAGGTTGTTGCACTTATATTTATACCAACGGATAGGAAATTTAATATTCTACATTTCTGTGTAATTTTGTAGCCGTGACGTAGATCCAGCACCACGCGGCGCAATTCTCGCGACAACGTTCACTTTTCAAAGCATATGAAAAATGTGCTCTGAAAAAAAACTCGCAGCCAGGGGTTAATGCCACACTCAGCAATATTCCAGCTATATTGCAGCGGTCTGTAGATAATCGCATCTGGACCAGACAATCTAGCGATCAACATCATGAGCATCGATATATTCTGTTGGGATACAATGGCATGTGCCAATTAAGTCAGTGAGCCTGACCACCAAATCCTGTTGGTCACTTCTGACGACAAGCATCAGTTGCTGACGACCAGTTCTCACCAAGATCTTCACGAGTGTACAGGTAAAATAACCAGGTGGAATAAAACAAGATGTGTAAAACCAAGGGGTCAAAGATTTTGTCATGTGCTTATACATACGTATGTATTCTTTCAGATGAATTCAGTGAAGAAATGAAAGAGATAGAGAAACAGGCTGAGGCAAAGAGAGCCCCCATCCAACCGACAACCACAGCTCCCCCTGTTGTAATCCCCACCCCTAAGCCTGTAGTCACCACCCCACCAGCTCCCGTAACCGTAGTGAAGGAGCCACCACCGGTGCGACCCACAGCTACTGCTGTGTCGCGACTAAGTGACAGAAAGACTGTTGTGCGATCAGAGTCCCGGCATGAAGGGAGGTCTGTTGTGTCATCAGACAAACCAGCCCAAGTCGTCAGAAGGGTAAGTCTCTGTTCTGTACCTCTGGACACTGAGGTTATTTCAGTCTGCCAAGTAATTTTCAGTCTACTGGCCAGAATCTTTATTTTTCAATTATATTCAGTGAATTCATTCTTAGTACATGATATAAGATAAGTTGATCTTAAAGACCAGAAGAAATATTACCATCCTAGCAATGGACTAGTGGCCAAAACTGTTCATTTTTCCTTATCCTGACTCATGCTCTTTTGCTTGTCTTCTTCTTCTTCTTGCGAACATAGTGGAACACTTGTATCTCCTTATTTGAAGCCCCTTCAAAATAAAATCACTAATTGGTACTCACCACGAAGTTGCTCTCCTTTGTCTCCCCTGGGAAAGGTGTCAAGCCACCCTCTGGCCATGTGCTTCACTCTCTCCTTCTTAAGCCCAGTGAGCAGGATGTGAGAGCCTTGTGTCTCCTTACACACATATCCTTTGATAATCTCTTAGTTTTACCTCTCATAGGTTACTATAGAGGTATAGCTAGTATCCTTTACTATTTGTATTGATTAATTATCATTATTTCTACTGTTTATTCACGTGTATTCGATTGATTGTTCAGCTAGCTTTTACGCTTCATGAAAATCTGTACGATTTGTAGATTACGCTTTTTCTGCCTCCGATCCACATGTAATATGCCCTAGTTGTTCTACTGCGTGTGCGTTTAATTCACGCGTTGCAGTTACTGCATTAATTTATCTCATTCTGCATTTAATAAATATCATCTTTGCGCTCTTCTTAAGGCGTGCTGCAGATAGATCACGCAAAACAAGGGCAAAACATGGCAGAGAGTCCAGATATTCCATCCAGTCAGCTGCTAGCGATCTAACCCTCTCCCCGTCTGGTGTTCTGCTAGAGACCCCTGCGGCAGAGGAGCGATGGGACGAGTCCGTTACTCGAAGAAACGACCGGCCTCCCAGACATCCCGCCATTGCAGACTAAGTCTAAGAGGGCCTCATCGCCGCCTCAACGCAGATTGAGGACACCCAGGGCAGCGCAGACTTCCAAAGGGAAATCATTTAAGACAGCAAGAACTTTTCTCAGCCGAGATCGCTCCAGCAGCAGAGTTGGGCCTCTAACGATGATCAGCCGATAATCATCCCGACTTACGGCAGAAGAAGCGACCCGGTGTCAGCGACTGTGACTTCTGCAGAGATCACCATGCAGCCTGATGCCTCTACACCGACGTCAGGCGCCATTGATGTGAACCCCATGCGCAGAAAAGACGCCCTAACGACTTCATCACAGATCATCCCAGAAGACATGATGCGGCAGATTATGAACATCATGGAGGACCACTACAAACGCGCAAGCAGGGTCCGAGCAACGGTACATGAAGGCTCCAACGTGAACAGCACCCCAGAGGCACCCCCGCCAACGTAGCAGCCAAGACGATGTCACCTTCGCGAAGGAAGTCCCGCACCACCTTGACGAAGGACCTAGATGTACAGCTTTTCGAGGGCCTCTGGCGAAGGCGGGAGATCATCACCATCTTCGATTTCATCTCTAGATATGGACTCAGACCATCAGACATCGCGGAAGCCTTCAGCGAAGGTCATATCATCGATCCCCGGACCGACGCAAATGAAGCTTCAAGGCATTCTGAAGGACATATGATTCCAGATCTTCATCGCCTAGAAGAACATCGAGGACTGCCGAAGAGCTTCAAGCTATCAACATTCACCTCACAAGTCTCGAGAAGATCATCCCATAGACGATCTCCAATTCGCTCATCACCAGGTCAATCACCCATCAGATCTCCACATAGAGTGGCGCACAAGTCAACTAGATCGCCACAAACCTCATCAGATATACAGACAGCTACACGCAGTCGAAGAGCATCTACAATTTATTAATGATGATGGTTTTGAGGATGATGGAGGAATCATATTTTCTGATGCAGAGATACGGTATTGGATGGTCAATAACCTAGATCTCACATCACCATCTAAAAGTGGCAATACAGCTCAGGACGTATTTGATGAAGGAAGATGATCCAGATGCAATCACTCTACCCCCGATCGACCCGATGGCGGCAGTGCCACAGAATCTAGATGCAGCTTTCCAGAAAGCTACGAAAAGTTCAGATACCACATCTGCCCAACTTTCAAGCCAAGAAGTTCTCCACGCATAACATGGACTCCTTCTACAAGGCCCAGGACATCGATGAGAACTATAAGATCATCAGCGCATGTAAAGAACAAGATTTACAAGATGGATGATCGCAGTTGGCTCATATAGAAACCATGACGACGACGATGTTCTTTGGGTTAAATAGATCTAGGACGCATCAATGAGACTCTTATTACTAGATTCCGGGATTCCACGACGGAAGATGATAGAATGATTTATTCTGCCTTACTTATGCAAAAGAAAGATCAGCAGTTTTAACGGATCATCTTACATCTGTTTCAGCAGCATTCGACCTTAGCTCGCCGCCAAGGCCTCCTCGCCTCCTGTAATTGGGGAGAACTTTACAGCCCCACTTTATACAGCCCCCTGGTCGACAACATCCATCTTTGACGGAGAAATCACAAAGTCGCCTTAAGGAAGTCTCTAAGGATTCCAGGGAAGTCCTTATGATTAGATCGATGGACACACTAGCCTAGCAGCGCCATTCGGCCAGACTTCACAAAGATACTCAGGCAGATCTAAGTTCACGGGCCTACAAAGAGCAAAGAGACAGGAAGATAGCCAGCTCTAGAGGTAAGATTCTTTCACGCCCATATGGCAACTATAGAGGAGGATCAGGAAGAGGCAGGACACCCAGAGGTTCCCGCGAATTATAGACGCTGAAACACAGGTTCGAACGACTGGAGTCTTCCACCCCAGCCGTTCCAGTACAACCAGCTCAAGTGGGTGGCGCTTCCAACTACACTGGGAAAACTGGGGAATACTGCAAGACCCTTTACGCCTCCAACATTCTTCAACACGGATTTCAGATCCCTCTACAGGTTAAGCCTCCGCTGACAATCAAACCCCAAGTTCGACATGCCGCAACAACTACCAAAGATAAAGAGGCTGTTTCATCACTCCTATCCAAACAGGCCATAGAAGTAATAGATCAAGCAAACGCCGAACCAGGTTTCTACTCCCCAGTTTTCCTAGTTCCCAAGAAAAACTCCCACGGAGAAATACAGACTCATCTACAACATGAGCTTTTCAACAAGAACTATCTCACGCAAACCAATCGGGTTTCAAGATGATACATTGCACCTCAGTTACGCCTAGATGATTCATCCTATGGACTACATGGGCAGCATAGATCTACAGGATGCCTACTTGCACATCCCCATTCATCCCGATTCCAGGAAATACCCTACGATTTACTCTAGAAGGGCTACATTACCAGTGGAAAGTAATTCCCATTCGAATATCATCAGCCCCTGGCTATTCAATGAGGATAACTTAAACCGATTATCAAATTTCTACATCACTGCAAGGGCTACGCGAGTGCTTTACCTCGACGACGGGATACAAGTAGATCAAGATCCACTTGCGCCTCAAACTACAGTTAAATTACATCATAAAGCTACTAACACAACTAGGTTGGTTAGTAAACTTACGCAAGTCGGACCTAGTACCATCGCAAGACCTACAGTTCCTAGGTATTCGATCTCATCACAAATCGCATAACCATTATTATGGTACCAGAAGACCGCTGGTCAAGATACAACAGACCATTCCACCAGCTCTACTCTCTCCGCTACCACTCTGCGACAATGGCAGAGCCTACTAGGTCTTCTCACATCAGCCCAAGACATGACTGTCACAGGCAGATTACAGTTACGTCCCCTACAGGTCCTCATCAACGCGCACATCTCAACGATGTACAAACCATTCAGTCTACCGTAAACATCTCAGACCACATCTACTATGGTGGACCAAGAAATCGAATGTCTGCTAAGGGATTTGTTTAGCAGAGCAGGAATACAAAACCCATCTGTATGTAGATCGCTGACACCCAAGGTTGGGAGCTCATCCTCACCAACCACATCGATATCAGGGTTATGGAATCAGCAAGAATGCAAACTCCATATAAACAGTCTAGAAATGAAAGCTGTAATCAACGCCATTCTACATTGGAGCACATTTCTACAAAATGCGCCCTAATGATCCATACAGACAATTCGACAGTGGCGCTCTACATAAACACAAGCAAGGCTCAAACGAGATCGATGAACCTTTTGAACCTAAGCTTTCAACTGTTCGATTTAATACAAGATCTAAATCTACATGTCAGAGCAGTGCACATTCCCCGGAGCCAGAAATATACTAGCAGACGCTCTCTCTCGGCCTCATCTACCATCACCGATACAGAGTGGATGATCAACAGGAAATTTTGCACAGATAATCAAGCAATTAGGAGCTGCTCGCTAATAGACCTATTCGCCACGCTGATTCAACAATCAGCTACCGACATTCTGTGTCACCAGTCCCAGACCCCCAAGCTTGGGCAACGGACGCTCTAAGTCTATCATGGGAAGGCCTCAACGCGCATCGCCAGCGCCGGGCCGCCAGCAATAATACCTCAAGTATTACAGAAAATCAGACAAACACAGAGCCTACAACTCACTTTGGTGCGTTTCTACTGGTCGGCCAGAACGGTTTCCCATACTAATTCAAGAAATTCGGGTCAACCAACACTGGAGCTACCCAAGCAAGAAACCTGTTAATTCATCCTCACACTCAAACAAGTGCATCGAAACCCAGCAATGTTCCAACTACACGTATGGACTGTATACAAATGTGCTTAAACAAGAGAGGATATTCTGCCAGGGCTGACGCAAAGCAGTCAACGCTTTGCTCTTACGTTACTCAACTCAGAACTTGTAACGACTGACAAGTGGCACAGTTTCAGGAAAATTATGCAACAAAGAAAGGGTTTACAGCAAGAGAGGCTTCACAACCTCAAGTGGCAGACTATTTGTGTTACCCTACCAAAACAAACATTTAAAAGGTTCAACGATATCAACATATCTTGCCGCTTAGCTCTGTAATCACCATGAGAACGGGTGTCAAATTGACAAGATCTCCAGAGTTACTGGCCTTACTCACGAGCTTTCGGATTGGAGGACCAAAAGCGGAAGTTCCACGCCCCAGCTTGGGATCTGAATGTGGTGTTACAACACCTCACGAGTGAGGGTCTATGCGAACCTTGGAATCGACAAACTTTGAATTTCTCTCACAGAAAACATTGTTTCTGCTATCGCTAGCCACAGCAGCAAGAATGTCTGAAATTCAGCGCCTGGATTACGAGAGGATACAGTTTGATGACAATCATAACACAGCGCAGCCTCGGATTAAGATGGGATTTCATCAAAAAATCAACTGCCAGGTCAACCAGACAGATTATTCCACATCCCGGCGCTTATCCTCTATTTCTCGGATCACAAGATACACAAGACCTATCACTGTGTCCGTAAGAGCTCAAAGTTTATTTTACGATCCAAAACAAGGAGAAGATTTCTCAAACGCTTATTCATCCCATTATAAGCCTACTTAATCAAACAGAAGTGTCACGGACCACAATATCTATTTGGATAAGGACTGTCATTCTCCGTGCCTACAAGGCAGCAGGCTTGGACCCACCAACAGCATCAAATCCACATGAGATCAGGGCACTGGCCTCTACCCTCGCCTCTACACGGTAACTGTTCCTTGAACACGATTATGGAAGGATGCTATTGGAAATCTAACATGGTATTTGCTAATCACTACCTAAGAGACATCACTACAGAAGATGTCTCTGGCATTCACCATTTCGACCACTGGTCCTCAAGCTCAGCAACTGACAGTCCCTCAGAGGCGTTAAAATATTATCCTCACAAGATTAATATGTATTTTATACATACTCATCTAGCTTATAACTCTCACGGAGTTTTAGGGCTATGTATATATGTTCAGCTTAAGTATTCAACCTTAAGCATATACTTGGATATAGTCAATTTCAGTGCCTCTATCAGAGTCACCTATATATATATATATAATTTATATGTATTGTTCAATATATTCATAATGTAATTCCCCTTTAATGGCTTTATATAACCTATGGTTTTCTTTATACAGGAAACATCCTAAATCTAAGCCTTCATGAAGTTCCCGTAGGGGATATTACAGTATATCTATACAAAATCACTAATTATAAATCCAAAGTATTCTGTTACCCACCTCCGTCTCCATTAGGATGCTACAAACAAAGAGCATGAGTCAGGATAAGGGAAAAATATGTAATTTTTAGAGTAAAATTGATATTTTATACTTATCCTGACTCATGAGGTTAGCCCTCCCATCCTCCCCACATAACACTTTGGATTTCCCTGTAAATTCAAGTGTTGGGCTCGCTAAATCAGGAGAGAGTGGAGCACATGGCCAGAGGGTGGCGACACCTTTCCCGCCAGGGGAGACAAAGGGGAGCAACTCGTGGTGAGTACCAATTAGTGATTTTATTTTGAAGGGAGCTTCAAATAAGGAGATACAAGTGTTCCACTATGTTCGCAAGAAGAAGAAGACAAGCAAAAGAGCATGAGTCAGGATAAGTATAAAATATCAATTTTACTCTAAAAATTACATATTTGCAAAATTATCAGCAATTGTCGCCCACTCTCAAAAGCTTAAGGGTTGTGAAAATTCATAAGGATTTTTCTGATACTGTTGGACACGAGTAGGATTGGCATTACAGAAAAAAGATCACAGGATTAAAGATCACAGGATTCAAGAGGAATTACTTCCATGTACAGATAGGCATTCTGAACAATTGTCTGATCACTTTTGATTGATATCATTTCACTTATTACTTTTCACTAATTTTCACTTTATTACCACATAGTGAACACTTTCATCATGTTTACTGTTAATGTTTTGCAGACAGCAGTTTTGAAGTCTTCCAGTGTAGCTCTGAAGCGGAAAGCCCCCAGTTCTGTGGTGAAGCCCATGTCTAGTCGTGCAGAAGAAGAGGAGGAGGAGTACGACCCTCACAATCCATCTGTGGGCAGTGTTGCCAGTGTAGTGCGAGTCACGGCAAGGAAGTGAGTATGTGAGGCATTCTCTAGGTCCCCCGACCATCTGTGGGCAGTGTTGCCAGTGTAGTGCGAGTCACAGCAAGGAAGTGAGTATGTGAGGCATTCTCTAGGTCCCCGACCATCTGTGGGCAGTGTTGCCAGTGTAGTGCGAGTCACGGCAAGGAAGTGAGTATGTGAGGCATTCTCTAGGTCCCCCGACCATCTGTGGGCAGTGTTGCCAGTGTAGTGCGAGTCACAGCAAGGAAGTGAGTATGTGAGGCATTCTCTAGGTCCCCCGACCATCTGTGGGCAGTGTTGCCAGTGTAGTGCGAGTCACAGCAAGGAAGTGAGTATGTGAGGCATATCTCTAGGTCCCCGACCATCTGTGGGCAGTGTTGCCAGTGTAGTGCAAAGTCAGAGCAAGGAAGTGAGTATGTGAGGCATTCTCTGGGTCCCCGACCATCTGTGGGCAGTGTTGCCAGTGTAGTGCGAGTCACGGCAAGGAAGTGAGTATGTGAGGCATTCTCTAGGTCCCCCGACCATCTGTGGGCAGTGTTGCCAGTGTAGTGCGAGTCACAGCAAGGAAGTGAGTATGTGAGGCATTCTCTAGGTCCCCCGACCATCTGTGGGCAGTGTTGCCAGTGTAGTGCGAGTCACAGCAAGGAAGTGAGTATGTGAGGCATTCTCTAGGTCCCCCGACCATCTGTGGGCAGTGTTGCCAGTGTAGTGCGAGTCACAGCAAGGAAGTGAGTATGTGAGGCAATCTCTAGGTCCCCCGACCATCTGTGGGCAGTGTTGCCAGTGTAGTGCGAGTCACAGCAAGGAAGTGAGTATGTGAGGCAATGTCTAGGTCCCCTGACCATCTGTGGGCAGTGTTGCCAGTGTAGTGCGAGTCACAGCAAGGAAGTGAGTATGTGAGGCAATGTCTAGGTCCCCCGACCATCTGTGGGCAGTGTTGCCAGTGTAGTGCGAGTCACAGCAAGGAAGTGAGTATGTGAGGCATTCTCTAGGTCCCCCGACCATCTGTGGGCAGTGTTGCCAGTGTAGTGCGAGTCACAGCAAGGAAGTGAGTATGTGAGGCAATGTCTAGGTCCCCCGACCATCTGTGGGCAGTGTTGCCAGTGTAGTGCGAGTCACAGCAAGGGAAGTGAGTATGTGAGGCAATGTCTAGGTCCCCGACCATCTGTGGGCAGTGTTGCCAGTGTAGTGCGAGTCACAGCAAGGAAGTGAGTATGTGAGGCATTCTCTAGGTCCCCCGACCTGATATTGCTGGAATTTTGCTGTGACGTTACTCCTTGTGTGCGATCAGAATAATTTCATTTTTTCTTTTCTTTAGAAATGTATGCACAAGATGTTATGTTTGATTAGAACTATTCATGTTTTGATGTGTTATTGTTTAATATTTTTCTATCAGTGCGTTTGCTTTATTTTTAAACAGATTTGTTTTGTCATAATTGTTTTTGCCAATTTCATCTGCCAAACCCTCTATAGGGTACACCTGAGGTGAACTCACACATTTTTTAGGCTTCTAAATTCTTGGTACAAGTGAGTGACCCTTTCACTCCTTTATTTGAAAGCCAAAATGTACGAACAGAAAGAACTTGGTACAGCCTACTTTTCTAGCATCAGCTCAGAGGCTGATATTCAGTCCCAAGACTGCAACCACTGGCAGTATATATAACCCAATTAGACTCACAATTTACACGATTCATGTTAGTTAGTCATTATAGTTATAACCAATTAATTTTTAAACTTATCCTATCTCACGGTATGCACCTCTCTTCTTCTTCTATGACCATGTGTGGAAACATGCTGCAGGCTAAGTTGAATCAAAGCTTTCTGGCCTCTGCAGGGGTGGAAATAACTTTTAAAATGCTAGTGTACTCCAGTACAGTGGCACATGTAAAATCACTTGCCCTGATAAGTTTTCCACTATACTGGCTGTCTTCTGGTTGATTTTTTAAATAAACAACATAATTAACATTGGAAAGTCAAGTGGACACTGGTACAGTGTGATATACAAATTTGTTTGCCCGACAGAAAAAAATATTGGACTCGGACGTCGGGCAATGGGTTATTTCCAACCCTGCTCTGCCCCCACTCCAATAGCACGACCTGTCAATCATCTCATAAGCGTGCCAGATGCTCAGATGATGAAGTGACGCTCTGTGCCTGTCATTTTCTTTCTTGTCACTACACCGGGTGGACGTGTGTTGTTCTCTCAGTTGGACATTATTTGATTGGCAATATGGGTAATAGAATCCAAGTTCTAAGAAACACAAACACTGTGATCAGTGCAACAGCAACTTTTCCGCTGCTGATCAACATGCTTTGTGTGTGGATTGTATAGGCTGTTGTAGTTGGTCACATCGGTGTTCTGTTTGTTCACACTTGAATGATGATGATTTTTCTGAATATCGACGGGTGGCATCTAGACATAGATCGGACAGAGATCTGGCGTACAACTGCTGAAGGTCCTTCAACTTCTAAGCGTGCTAAATCGGAACGCCGTTCGAAGAGAGCAGTTTGTCGATCTAAATCACCATCCCCGAACGAAGATTTTTTAGAGGTGGCCTCAGACTCCTACTTGAGCGAGAATCTCCGTCGTCTCTTTCATCCTCGAACGTCTAGTCCCGTCTCCAGACAAGTTTTATCTCCTCCGAGAGTGGTAGTGCTAACAACCTCTGCAGCACAGTCTTGGCCTTCTACCTTGGTGACGATTTCACAGACTCCTAGTTTGCCTCAGGTGGTTGTTTCCAGAGCAACGCTTTGGTTGAGTGCTCCACCCCCCTCTGCTATGGTGGGTGCGCTTGGTGAAAGCGTTCACTCTCATGTGGGGAGTGCAGTCAGTTTGGCACTTTCAACCACAGGGGTCAGTTCGGCGCTTCAACCGCTTGCTTCCAATGCGGCGCTTTGTTCCAGTTCGGCGCTTTCATATCCTCCTGTGATGACATCAGGCATGACAGCAGTATCCAGTACAGCGCTTTCAACACCTTTCCTGTACCTCGCACCACCTGTCTATGAACAACCGCCTAGTTCCAGTGCGCCGCTTACTACCAGAGAGGCACTTGCTGTCCATTCATCACTTTGTACCAATGCGTCGCGCTCACAAAGAGAAGAAGAGACCAGTGCATCGTTTCACTTCAGTTCACCGCTCTCGTTCGGTCCAACTCATTAGCCCTGTGCGCCGCATTCGATTGTATCAACTCTTAAGCTCCCTGTGCCTTTTCGATTAGATCAACGCTTCAGACCAGTGTACCGTTTTCGATTGGAACAACGATTCAACCTAGTGAACTGTTTTTTAATTGGAACACCTTTCAGTCCAGTACACTATTATTGTATGGTATACACTATTATTAGACGAATGCACCGGTCCCGATTGACTCAGAGCTTTAGATCATGAATGCGGCCGAACCGTATCACAGTACTGAACCAGATCAGCTCTTCGATCCAGATCGTCGAACCAACCTAGATCTCAGAACCGATACTGATCGCTGCACCATACCAGATCGCCGATCCGACAGTGTTCGCTGGACTGTCATCTTTCGTCGAATCATCTGGTTACCTCTATGCGCATACTGTCATCATGACTTGTTTACTAGTTCGCACACTACGGTACCTACAGTGACTCTTTTATACTGCAGTTCTACTTCAACACTTATCCCAACTTCGGCGTTGATACCTCATTTATGATTTCTACAGTTTTTACCGGTGCTCAGCTTGGCTTCTCGGATTACGCTTCCTGCTCCACTCCAATGCGCCGCTTTCATTCAGTTCAGCGATGCAGAGCGCACCTTGGGTTTTGATTAGCTCATCTCTACACATCAATGCTTTCAGTCCAGTGCGACACCTTGTCCCAATGAGCCGCTTTCATTCACTTCTTGGTTATCTACTTGTGCGCCGATCGTATCCAGACTGCCGCTTTACTCTAGTGCGCCGCTCTCTTATGTATCAACGCTTCCATCCAGTGCGCCGCTCTCTTATGTATCAACGCTTCCATCCAGAGCGCCGCTTTACTCCAGTGCGCCGCTCTCTTATGTATCATAGCTTCCATCCAGTGCGCCACGCTCTTATGTATCAACGCTTCCATCCAGTGCGCCGCTCTCTTATGTATCATAGCTTCCATCCAGTGCGCCACTCTCTTATGTATCAACGCTTCCATCCAGTGCGGCCGGCTTCCAGTTAGTGCATCGTTTCGGCTGGTTGTACAGAGGTAGTGGTTATGTCAGTAGCGCAGGCCTCTACATTACGGCGGTGATTGATGATCCCTGATTTTTAAGATTCCTCCGTCATCTACCATCCGATCTTCACCTTTGATGAATGATTCGATTCACCGAATCTATCCACCCTTCGACGTAGATATCAGCTCTACAACCACCTGGTTTGACATATTTGTCCAGAAACTTGACGATGATGTGAAAGGAAGGGTGCTGAGGTTGATGAAACAGACCACGATTACACCACAAAGCTGCTACGAGTAGTCTGTATACAGTAACAAGACTCAGTGAAGCATCGTACAATATTCCTGAATATCAAGTTGGTCTATTAATGCACAGTTTCTGCGTGTGGTACTAGCAGTGATGTTTGGTCAAGAAGCTAGCGTCACTTTACCCATTTTACCAGATTCTATGGGTTGGGATTCGCCTGGTTAAATGACGACCATTTTTTGTCACTATTGCATTGTGGGTAGCATTTGCAATGGCGGACTACTGTTTGTTTACCGGAGACTTTTGATGATACAGTGACTATGAAGTGCCCTGACAGTCTTGTCTTGGTCCCACGAAGCGGATACCTATCCCAGCCTTTAATTGCCAGTGATAATGAACGGTGCCATTCCCGGTAAGAGTGATTATGTCGAAGTTTCGTCAGTCATCCAAGAGAAACAGTTTACCGAGGGTGTCAGACAGAATCGCCCGAGAACGCTTTCACTTGGCTAGGGTTACTCGGTTTTTAGATTAAGCCCTCAGTTCAGAGGTCACTGCAGCTATGTCCGGACTGTCCGCAATCATCGATTTTACTACCTTCATTTCCCTTACAAACGTTCCTGGGGTCACTGGTCTTTTTACCTCCGCCATTCCATCAACTTTACGAATGTTCCGGTTGATTGGCGATCCCATGCCTCACATCTACTCACTTTTCACTCCATCTGGCGGACCAACACTTCATTTGGCGAACCATACTTTCCTGCGATCACTGATTATACGGACTGCATCACTATGTGTACAATGTGAACGTTCCTGTAGGTTGACTGAAAATCTCCATGCCACGAACCTACTCCATTCAGCACTTCTTCTGTACTGTCATGCTGGCTTGACTAATCGAATGTATCCTATCTCAGGAGAGATTCCTTCTTCAGTGGCAGTAGTTGCTAGGCCTTCTGATATCAGCTCAAGCCTCAACGTACAGAGGCCATCTCCTACTTCGTCCGATACAGTGATTTCTACGCCCGTATCTCGAGGCCATGAACTGAACCCGAAGGAATTGAGTCGCCTTCCAGAACCGCTTCGTCCAGTCCTTCAGTGTGGCTCGACGAACTGAATGTCTACATTGGAGTTTCTATGGTACCCCTAGCGCTTTAGCAACCCAAGATTCCCACCTTTTTGGCCGGTCAGAAGTATGTTCCTAGACCGGCAAGACTTCCCGATCACGCCAATCTTCTGGTTCATCTTCACTCCGATCAGCTGCATTGGTCTCCGCTCACACTTAATCTTCACGCCTGGTGCATTTACATGAATCGCTAACTGCAACGGGATATTCCAAGCGAGTCGCAACGGCGATTAGCGCAGCACACCAAACTTCTACCAGGCCACTCTGTGATGACTATGGAAGAATTTTGAAGCGTACTGCAAGACGATGGGTATTATATCTCCCACTACAGCATCGCCGCAGATGGTCGCGGAGTACCTCCAGCATACCAAGAACTTCCAAGGAATTGAAGGGTTCTCCCTTGTCTTCATACAGGTGGCTACAGGTGCGAAGGTGTCAACTGTCCCTGAGCTCAAGTCTCTCCTCAGATCTTACAACGTTGCTGATCAATCCCGGAAGTTCCGGACACCAGCCTGGGACCTTTCCGTGGTTCTTAATCATCTCACGTCAGAGGAGTATGAACCTTCTGGCAGAGAAGGATTTCAAGCATGTCACATTTAAGACTTTTTTCCTCCTGGCTCTTGCGACTGCTGCCTGCATCTCCGAGCTTGCTTCACGCACTGGATGTCACCTGGTTGCGCTTAGAGAGGACCAGACATGCCAACGTCCTGCTTGGTTTGAGGTTGGATCTCGTCGCTGGAACTAGTTGCCTGGACAGCCGGACAGACTATTCGCCTTTCCGTCACTGTCTACTATTCTGGGCCCTGACGAAACTGAGGATCTCTCCCTATGTCCTGTCCAGACTTTACGGGTCTATTAGCTGCCTCCAAGGACAGACGTAGGTTACGCAAAAGACTGTTTATTTCTCTGTCACCTGCCTCATCTACAGAAGTCTCTCGTACCATAATGGCATTCTGGATGTGATCTACCTTCCTTCATGCCTACGCCTATGCTGACCTTCTTCCTCCTACTACAGCCAACTCTCATCAGACAAGAGCCTTGACCTCTACGATGGCGCTACATAGAACTGTTCCCTTCACGGCATCATGGAGGGTTGTCTTTGGAGATTGGACACGGTCTTCGTTTCACCCTACTTCCGGGATCTGTCTGTCACTGATGTGGAAGTTTTCACCAACTGGGTCCCTTGGATCTGGCGCAGCAGTTGTCGTCGGCTCGCAAATGCAGATAAGATGCAGTTCCTACCTTCGTGTAGGTCTTGCATTCTCTATATCATGAAAGATATCGGTCCTATCTTTCTTATTGGTATGGATTATATTTGGGCATGGACCACCTCACCTAGGGAACTAGGGCGTGTTTGCACTGTCATACCCGTGACTCAATAGACTGAGAGGCCAATCTTGTGCTACATGCAGAGGTGGTCGACACTCCACTTAATGACCTCTACTCTCTGAGCAATTACGTCAGTGTAGTGTTGATTTCCGATTACCTGCTTGGTTTTCAAAGCGTTCCGCTCCTAAGTCCTTTCTCACCTATGGTCAGTTAGGGGGATTGGTACTGAACGTTAAACGAGTTGTGCAACCGGGCTGTTCCCTCTTTCACCGCCTTCCAGCGTGTGTCTGTGGGGGATAGTTTCGAAGCAGGGACTGTCCAGATTAAGGTCTTCGACTTTAATTCACTGGGGTCACTTGATAAATCGTGGGGAGGCGAGGTCTACTTGCCAAACTGCGTCCTGTTGCTTGTCAAAAGTTGCGGCTGAAAACCACATTAATTCGGGACCGCCCACTCCCTAGAGTTTTTGTGCTGTGTAAGCTAAGGGGTTATCTGAAGCAACCCATCACAAGTTCGGAATTAGCATATCGGGACTTGGTGCTTTCTCCTGGCCTCCTTGTGTTATACGTCTCACGGTTGTAGAGTTGACACAGGGTAATCTGCGGCCCACCTGCCAACCGTGGGATAATGCATACCGTGAGATAGGATAAGTTTAAAAATTTGGAAATTTTAACTATGAATTGTATATTTATATACTTATCCTATCTCACGCAATGGATAGCCCCCTGACCTGCCCCACATCACAGATTACTGGAAGCTCCAAGACGAGAATGACAGGCACAGAGCGTCACGTGATCATCTGAGCAACCAGCAGGCTTATGAGATGATTGACAGGTCGTGCTATCGGTGTGGGGGCAGAGGTCAGGGGGGTAGAGGCCAGAAAGCTTTGATTCAACTTAGCCTACAGCACATTTCCACACATGGTCGTAGAAGAAGAAGAGAGGTGCATACCGTGAGATAGGATAAGTATATATAAATATACAATTTATAGTTAAAATTTCGAATTTGTAGAGGTGATATATATTTCACTGGAGATTTTCCATGTTTGCCTGCCAAGGGAACTGTTTGTAATCCTAGATGTACTGGGGATTCCCCATGTGTGCATCATGGTTGGTGGACAAACAGTGGGGGGGGAACTTGGTGGCTGCAGACTTCTGCAGAACATGAGGAGCAACTAACTGTACATCATGTATGTTTATCCTAGGTCTAGTGTACCCAGATCACTACAAGCCAACAAGATGCTGCTGATGAAGGCTATGACAGATGCAGAGAAATCTGTCACCACCACTGGCAAGCGATCAGTCACAGTCACAGACAACAAACCAGGTATGGTTCAGGGACCACATCAACATGATCAGTTGCTGTTGCAGTTGTTCTTGTAGCTTTGAAATGTGTGAAGATCAACTTTGTTAACTGTTTCCTTGTAATTGTATGTAAACTGCAAAACTGCCTCAATGAAACTGAAGGGAGACATGTTGCCACCTCGATAACAACCCATGCAATTCTATATTATAATGAGAAAAAGGTAAAACCCTCTTTGACTGCTACACAACTTGTACATTCCTCTCAAATAGTCAGTCAACTGCAGATGAACATGTCATTCCCTGCACTCCCTCTATTCTACCTGAAACAATATACTACATGTAGAGCAGGTCACTGCAACCATAAATGTAAATGTTTTTGAATACGTATCTCATCTGCACTTGGCAAGTAGATAAGTTGTAAATCAGATTGTAGAAAAAGGTTTCAAATCCCCATCTTATCTTACCTTCATGTAAAATACCTTCATTTCATTGGTCAATGACGCTTTAACAAGTTTCCATGTCACCCCTCCCAGGAGGGTGACAACTGGAAAAATTATTACCCGCTGCCAGCTCTCTCAGAGAAACTGTATGGCTAACAAATCAATATGGCATGTAGTGCATGGAGTTAGAAAACTGTTTGATTAGCTGTTTTTGAGTTAACTATGTACTCATTTATTTTACCGACTTTCACTGCTCAATTTAAACTAGTTTGTGCATTGCATTGTTTGCACACTCAACTTAGAGTTTAAACATAATTAACCATTTTATAGCAGTTTTAAGCTTGTTAGAATATGTTTCACTGATTTTATAAATTGAAGCTCCCCTTAAAGACAGACGCCATTTTGTTTACATGTCATACAGTCTGTAGCAAGCTTATCGTTCTTCAAAATAAAATATGATGATAATTTTGTACATTTAAAATGGCGGTAAGATAAACACGTTGTAAATTTCTCCCTTGAGTAATACAGTCTGATTTACGCCTTTTTGTAGCAGTGTCATCCCTCACCTACCGGCTCGGGTGACACTGCTACAAAGAGATGTACTTCAGACCTATTACCCTCAAGAGAAGCATACAACTTATAATCTTGCCCATATGCTGGTACAGCTAGCTCTCTTGAAACATCTCATATCATTTAGTCCAACCCAGTATTGATAGCTGTAACAAACCTGTGTAAACTCCTCACAGCTCAGCCCTGTATCCGGGGGGTAATAGGTAATGATTAAATGAAGATGTGAAGTGCAGGTGTTAAGCGTGGACTGTAAAACAATGAGGGAGGTTACTTTATTTCACATGGGTGTTTTATTTGCTTCTATTAACAATCATTGGGATACATTTACACTATATGCTGCCACATGACAACTATTTGAGACAAATTGCTCATATAACAAAGACTTCTCACTTTGTGTTTCTTTGACAGAACGAAGCCAGCAACGATCTCAGTACAACAGCAGTAGGGCTACAGTATTAGCTGATAAAAATGTGACGCGATCCTACAACACCACTCCATCCTACAACACCACTCGGCCTAGCCTGGTGTCTCGCTCCAAGAAGGAGGAGATCATGAGGAAAATGAAGTACACCATCGAGGTTGAGTCACCCCACGATTCACCTGAGGAACCAGGCTCTGGTAGGTTTTCTGAAACATTGAAAACTAAGCTGAAGGAATACTAATAGTTATTTTCAGTATGTGACAAAAAATGGAATATACTGTATGCGTTTTAATATGATTTCATTATGTCATTATGAATTAAATGTGAGTGAGTGAGGTTGGTTTTACACAGCTTTTAGCAATATTCCAGCAATATCACAGCAGGGGACACCAGAAATGGGCTTTGCACATTTTGCCCATGTGGGGGATTGTACCTGGGTCTTTGGCGTTGCGAGCGAACACTTTAACCACTAGGCTATCCCACTGCCCCATTATGAATTAAAAACAGTTAATATTCTTTGCAAATGTCATCACTTCAGACTTTCCTCACACATTAAGCTGACAGGTAGGGATACATACTGTGACATTAATACTAAACACTCTCACTCCACTTGCCAAAGTAAGCTGACCACTTGCTAGAATTATGAACAGTGAGAACAGAGCTACAGATAACTTTTTGGGTCATTGAGATATGTACTCGCTTGTGTTCATTTCAATTTGGTATCTTCATTTTCCTTTGAGTAACCAAATATATTGTACTCATCTCACTCAAACTCATTTGGGTATTTTGCCATTTTCCATTAATTATAAAAATATAATACAGTTTAAATGTTAGTGTTTGCTATTTATGTTTGATCTGTAATATGAGAAACGATAAGAAAGACTGCAAGTTGTCAAGTTTCTGTCCTGAAATAGAACCTCCCAGTATACCTCCGTTATTTTATCTTTCCACCGGTACGCAAGCTAAGATTTCATATTTTCGCATTTACGCATGTAAGATCACATTTATTGAGTATTTACAAAAATTCAAGCGTACTTGTACGCAACAGACTTAATAGGAATTGAGTTTTCACATAAATATTTATGTAATTTACGCAGATACGCAGCTTATCTGTACCTCTGGAGAAGCTCCATCAAAGCTGACCTTCCTTTATTAAGCACTTCAGTGGTATATAGGGGCAGTGGGGTAGCCTAGTGGTTAAAGCGTTCAGTGGTCACACCGAAGACCCGAGTTCTATTCCCCACATGGGCACAATGTCTGACATCCAGTTCGGGTGTCCTGCAGCATGATACTGCTGAAATGTTCCTAAAAGTGGCTTAAACCCTACACACTCACTCATGTATAGGTAATATAACTACATGTAGAATAACTCGTCTGCAGAGGAGGAGCCGGTGCCTGACAACCGAGTTGTCGAGGTGGACCCAGAGGAGGAGGTGGAGCAGGTAGTGTCAAGTCCAGAAGCAGTGGCTGGAGCATCTGACTCTGACCCCGGGGCAGAGGTTGAGACGGTGGTGGAGGAAGAGGATGCAATCGGTGTCGGAGACGAGGAGGAGGAGGAGACGGAGCAGGGGGAAGAAGAGATACCTGTCATCCTGGAGGATGTGGCTTCAGACGAGTTCCGTCACATTCTGGACACGGAAGGGAGTCAGGTTCAAGGCAGGCTACAGCAGCAGGAGGAGGTCATGGCAGAGGAGGAGGGTGATGGCAACTCCAGGGTAGTCAAAGACAAGTAAGTCCTACAAGAAGATTTTGTTATCCTCAAAATCATACACTAACACATTTGTGTCGCCTGCTATTCAGTATACAGGTACCAAATTACTTTTGATTTGATTTAAATGAAGTGATTGATAACCATAGTGGCTATACTGAAAAATTAATTGTATTTTAAGCTAATTTGGCTCTGAATGTGTTCCTGGATTGACATAACCTTTCTTTCTTAAGCTAGTTACTATGACAAGATGATAATGATGTGAATTATGATGCATGCCCCTGACACTACAGTTATCATCAATTTTCTGAACCTGGTGTAGCACAGTGCTTCAGTATTCTATTTAAAGCTAATGACTATCACAAGATGATATTGAAGTGAATTATAATGTTTAAAATGTGTAGGTAATTTGTGAGACAACAGCCCCTTTTTCTCAACCTTGTGTACCAGTGTGTCCCAGAGTGTACCACAGTGCTTCAGTATTCTGTCTCCCTACAGTTCCAAGAACACCAAGTTTATTGTTACTCTGGATGGTGTTGACCCAGACCAGTATGAGAGCATGGAGGTGGACATGGAGGACACAGGCGAATCTACACGGGTCATGGATGTCACGTCCCGAGTGGCTCCACCCAGAATCAAACCTTTCTCTATCAACCTCAAGGATTCGGATGGTGAGTGGACAAGCCAGTGATGGATTGTGTAGCCTGTGAATGGTGATGTCACAAAATACTGAGGAAATTGATCAAATAACTTAGTTATGTGTCACTACACAATGTCAAACATGCCTCAATCTACATTATATTGTTCAGAGCATATTTACAGTTTTCCAGTCGAAGATTGTTTCTATTGTTATTTATGGTATTTCCTCTATTAGATGGCACACTTCAAGTACATGCCAGCCTCTAACTGATACCGGGTCATATTGACTCAGTTAAAAAGAATAGAGTTGACAGAAGCTGAGCCTCTCTGGGTTTGGAGTAATGTGATTAATAATGACCTTTCCCTACAAGTTTATCATTTGTATAACTGTAGAATATGGGATTTTGTAAGGCTGTGAGTAAATGGACACCGGGCGGCTAACAGATGCAGGCCAACAGCTAACATGATAGTATTAGATGCCCGGGTGTCTTACAGAGGAAATGTGGTACATATCAATTAGTGTTGGGAATTGGTTGAAATCTCAGAATTGATGATTGCTTCATTACAAACGAAAAATCATCGAAAAAAATTGGTTAGCATCATTTTTCAGATTTTCCTATCCAGGTTGTTATTGCAGATATGTATATGATGATGCAACTTGCTACTTTAAAGTGATGACTAATATATCATGACCATAAACTTCCTGGAGTCTTCAAGAAATATTCAGTCATGACTTTTCAGTTAGTGAAGTGAGTTTTCTCAGAATTAAACAAGTTTGCAGGCCCCGACAACTTCGAAGATATGTTCCATCGTCAAGTGTTTCAAAGACTAAAACAGCAGTTCCAAAATCGTTTGTGTTTGATTATGAGAAAATGTGATCGATTGCTTGGTCATTCAGTCACTGCGACCAATCTTCGATTATTTCAATTAATCAGAACACCACTAATATCAATACAGACAACCTAGTTACTATTTGTTTGTATTTCTGACATCTTAGGGGCGGTGGGGTAGCCTAGTGGTTAAAGCGTTAGCTCATCACGCCGAAAACCCGGGTTCGAATCCCCACATGGGTACAATGTGTGTAGCCCATTTCTGGTGTCCCCTGCCGTGATGTTGCTGGAATATTGCTAAAAGCGGCGTAAAACCAAACTCAGTCAGTCAGTCTGACATCTTATGTTCTGTTTTTATCATCATTTTTAAAGACAAATAGGGTAATAGTTTTTAATAGGTGGTATGGGCAGATGTGGTATAGAAACATACCAATATGCATCCTATCAATCATGTCAATATTCATCTTAACTGACTCATGAAAATCCAGGTTAGAATTGATCACCCATGCTTGTCGTAAGAGACAACTAGCGGAATCAGGTGGTAAGGCTCGCTGACTTGGTTGACACATGTCATCATGTTCCAATTGCGTAGATTGATGCTAATCTTAACTGTGGACATGTTTTCTTTCAGAGGAAGAAGACCATTCTATTACCCCCCTGAAGAAGGCAAAAATGGCAGAAAAGTGCCGATTTTGGCCAGCATGTGTTAATGGCAATGCATGTGAATATCACCATCCCACAGTCAGTTGCAAGTGAGTGTACAAACATTGTCTTCTTACACACAGTCTCATAGGGGATCAGCTGACATGATAATCATATCTTAGTGCATGCAATCCCCACAGCAAAGATCAGAAGGCATCTATTTCAGATCAAGTCACAATTTCCTGGACTACTAGAGATATGACCCAACCGATATTTCGTCGACAGCTTGTCTTTTGGACTCCTGGCAATTTCTGGTCAATCTCAGTATCAGCCAGAGCATGGCCTTGACCTTGTTTAATTATATCCAGATCAGCTTAAATATAGCTGAAAACAGCATTCAGTAACTTTTAAACATGGGATAATGATCTCTTTTTGACTGCTCTTGCGAAGTTGTCATGTATTCCAAGTTGTCATAAAGCATCTGCTTCGGTGAGTGAACAACAATGATCTATTTTTGACTTCTATTTATTTACAGAACATTCCCCAGCTGCAAGTTCGGAGATAAATGTTTGTATATTCACCCAAATTGTAAATATGATGCCCGGTGTACAAAAACAGATTGTCCATTTACACATGCAAGTAGAAGAAAACCTATGACTACATCACCTCCACAAGGTAAGACCATTGTTTACAACACATTGCAAAATGCCTGTAAACTCAGGGTGGTAGGGTAGCTTAGTGGTTAAAGTGTTTGCTCATCACGTAGACAGTCTGAGTAAAACGCTAATCACTCACTCATCTGATTTTCCTACCTGCCAACTTACTGTGCAGAGTTGTGTAGACTGAGTGAGTCAGGTTGTAAGCCACATTAAGCAATACCCCAGCAATATCACAGCAAGGGATGCAATAAAATTACTTCACATTTTTGGGCACCAGGGACAAACATTTCAGCCACTGTGTTAACCTCCTGATTCTGCTGGCTGTGGGTTCGAATTTCTGATGTGTACATGGACTCATTTTCCCAGGACTTCCAAGTTAAAATTGCACCTGTTTTGGAAATTATTTGCCTGATGAGTAGAAACTCTTTGTTACATTTTTGCATGTGTCAGTCTATGAGTTACATGTTTTGTTGGTTTCAGTTATTGCCATCCCCCAGCCCAAGGTAATATTAGCTGCCCCCATGGCCCCTGTACCTGCTGCATCAACACATCCTCGCCAGATCACCTGTAGATTCTTCCCCAACTGCCACAACATGAAGTGTCCCTTTAAACATCCAAAGGTTGGTTAATATTGACTTTACGTTGGTTATTGTTCAGTAATCCTTTTCATCAATGATTTTATTGAAAGTAAATCTAAAGGGATACCAAGGTTCATACAGTCATATTTGTCTGGCAATTTCTTTTTCAAATCAAGATTATTCTTTTGCAATAATGGATAACAGAAATACACACATGTCTGATAATGATTTATTCCTGATGTTGTTAATCGTTAATCGTTGTGCGTTATGTTACAGCCTTGTAGATATGGGTTAAGCTGTGCCAAGAAGGCAGCTTGCCCTTTCTTTCACCCAGCCCTGCCAAGCAAAGACAAGCTGACATGGAAGGCTGGCAACGTGGAGCATAGGAGGTAGGTTGGAACTTTGCCAAAGATGATGTGACACATGGCATGTGTAATTACCATGATGACAGTAAAGGATGCCTTAATAAGGCTCAAAACCACGCAAGCACTAGCTGTATTTATGCCTGCAAGTTGTTGTGTGAAAATATAAGAATTTTCCACAACAATTAGCAAAACTTTTCCACTCTAATACATGGACAGAACTTTGTTTGCAGGGTCATTTTTAGTTTCTCTTTTATAAACTGAAATGTTTGACCTTTCATGTTTTTGACTGTTCATTAGGTTGATCTCAAAAGGAACTAAAATTTGTATTTGTTAGACACCAAACATGGTATTTTTGTGTGAATATCCATGATGTATAAGTTGCAGTATTGAAATGTATCTTCCCTCCTGTTTCAGTGCCACTAACCCAAATGGCATCAAGGCTTCTTGATCTTCGCTATGTGACTGTTGTGTGGATGTGTTTTACGTGATACCTTGACCAGTTCCTGGTGTCGTCAGTGGTTGTAAGGATTTCACACTCTGAGCTGAGAAGACCAACAGTACCAAACTTCTCATAGTGATCAAACCTTGAGCTTTTTATACTATTGCTGCCACCAGTCACAACTCCTAGCTGTGCTAGTCACTGCTAGGTGGCCAAATCCCTGCATGAAGCTACACTCGCATTCTTTTCCAAACAAGCAATGACATGCTGTTCATGTATTAGCAGGTTATTCTAGTTCATTTCAACTACAAGATATAAACTTTGATAAACAAATATCATAAGAATGTAAGTTAACACTTTTGGCTGCTTTTCAAATGTCAGGAACATAAGGTCAATTAGTTCTAATGAATGTGTGTATATTTTTCTGGGAAATTATCAGGTTATTTCACAATGAACTTAAATGATGGAAACACGCAAGGAACATTTTGGTTTTGAAAGAAAGTTTCAAATTCATTGTACTAGATACAGCTTCACAGGTTGCAGCAATGACAAATAGAGACAAATGAAGCTGGCAGTGACTTTTAAAGAAAATACCACAGATAAATTACTATCCAAACAACCACCTCACACACTGATGTGTACAAGTGAGTTCGTACAAGTGCACATGCTGAGTGCATGTTGATTGTGATATGACTCTGAAGCTTGGATTTGTGGGTCTGTACAGGCCGACCTGGTCCAGGTGCTGAATGTGGACAAGAAGATATGACTCTGATGTGTTAGATTCTAGCTGAAGCTTGGATTTGTGGGTCTGTACAGGCCGACCTGGTCCAGGTGCTGAATGTGGACAAGAAGATATGACTGTGATGTGTTGGATTCTAGCTGAAGCTTGGATTTGTGGGTCTGTACAGGCCGACCTGGTCCAGGTACTGGATGTGGACAAGAAGATATGACTCTGATGTGTTAGATTCTAGCTGAAGCTTGGATTTGTGGGTCTGTACAGGCCGACCTGGTCCAGGTGCTGGATGTGGGGATGATAGGATGAGACACTGATGCTAAGGTTCTGTCCAGACAGACGGAACAGGCTGCAGGACATTACATTGTCCAAGTTGATCAGTTGTTTAAGCCACATGTTGTGTTGTTGGCAGTTTTTGGATTGTTGTACGTGTATTGCCATATTATTTATAAATACTGAGGTCAATGAGAATTCATGTAGTTAGTTAAAGCCTTAACATCCTTTTTAATTTGGTTTATGTGTGTGTATTTTGCAAAACAATATTGCGATCAAAATACTAATGCAAATTAATTTGAGAAAAGCAACTGTGTTCTTATCAGACTTATCATGCTTAGTGAGTGGTTGCGCGTTGATATTTAAAATATGTTACGAAAGAATATGATCTGGTGGGACTGATTTTTTGAATGACAAGTCAAAGAGTCATGTCCCTTCCAATTTCGTTTTTGAGGTATTACTGATTTTTACTGTATTTGTTTTTTAACCTAATCAGCCTGATGAAGAAAAGTTGGGAAAAACATTGTGATGTTTGGATTGAGTGATTCACACACGTTTTTTCCAGAATAATTTTACACACAAGCAGTGAAAATGTACAACTTCTTTATATGATATAAATAGGAGCTGTTTTGGAAAGGTGCCCATGTATCCAAAACATTTTTATAATTATCCCTCTGTACACAGAACATTTTGTGTTTATTAAAAGCATATAATGAATGGCGATGTTTGATTCTGTGTTAAATCCTAAAAACCTATTGAGCCAGGATAAGAACTGTTGCCATATGTATTTTAATGATATGTTTATGGCTTTTAGTTAATTCATCATAAGGGACCGTCCATAATTTATGGCTAGTGGGTGATGATGATTTTAAGGGTGGGTCACCCATTTTGTTCTGGGGAGGTGGGGGGTCATCAATTTTGTACACATGTACTTGAGGGAGGTCAGCAATTTTGTACATAAAAATATTTTAAAATTATGCTTAAAAATATTACTTTGTACATGACATGCAGGGGGGTCACTCACTTTGTACATAAATTTTAGTGGCAGTCATTCACATTGTACATGCATCTCCATAAAAATAATCATCACCCCTCCTGGCTATAAATTATGAACGGCTCCTAACTCCATTCCAGGACTAATGTGTGCAGTTATCAGTATGGTGTCTCTGCTAGAGATATACTTTTAATTGATAATTAATATTCTTCTCTGTTTGCCAAAAAATTTTTCAGTGATGTAAACCAGAGGCAAGCGTGTCAATGGTATCAACACAGTCATGTCTTGAAATTATTACAATGTCAATGAAATGCAGTGATACTTTCAACAACATACTTTGAGATCATATTGTATATAACAAGATGAGAAGGCCAAAGTTTTACAAAATCACGGAATGTTCATTTTGCTGAAGACAATATCAGTAACTCAATCTTGCCCTGGCCTTATGTTACTGGAGTACTGATAAAAGAAATCTGTGAAGGTCCGGGTTAGAATATTGATCTTCAGTAACCCATGCTTCTTGCAAGAGGCAACTAACGGGATCGGGTGGTCAGGCTCGCTGACTTGGTTGACACATGTCATTGGTTCCCCATTGAGCAGATTGATGCTCATACTGTTGATCACTGGATTGTCTGGCCCAGACTCGATTATTTACAGACCGCTGCCATATAGCTGGAATATTGCTGAGTGCGGCGTAAAACTAAACTCACTCTCTCACTCACTCACTCACCCACTGATAAAGCATTAAATCTAACTCATTCACTGTTTGCATTCTGATACAACTCTAATCAATCATCAGAACATAATCCTTGAGTACATTTCATAAAACTTTAATGCAGCTATATATCAGTTTGGTAACCACGCTGGTCCTGTTGTCCCTGGCTAGTAAAAATTCATCAGGACCATTTAATGATAAGTTTGCAGTGGGCCTGGTGGCCAGTGAATTTTGTATTGATAGTTTACTTAAGTAAATCTATGGATGATATTTTAGACCAGTGAAGTACAGACAGGACCACTAATTATTGTCCACTCACTAGTCCTGTGGTCTAGTGGGAAATTTTGAAAGGTTTCTTTCCCTGTAACCATCCATCATCTGCATCTGTGCGGCTAGGTAACACAACTGGTGAAACTATGCACATCATAATAGTGAATGTTTTATATACAATATCAGAAGTATCATTTACATGATGAAGGAAAAAATCACGTATTTTAAGTGAACAAATAGTCGTAATGCAGGTTATCATGTTTCTTTTCCTATTCCTATTTTCAGAGAAATATGTATTGGTCACAGCTGCTAATGTGTAAGAAAAAATACAACATATATTGCCGTAATTTAATGCCTTTATTTCTTGAAGAATGGGGGCGTTGGGGTAGCCTAGTGGTTAAAGCGTTGGCTCGTCACGCTGAAGACCCGAGTTCGAATCCCCACATGGGTACAATGTGTGAAGCCCATTTCTGGTGTCCCCCGCCGTGATGTTGCTTGAATGTTGCTAAAAGCGGCATAAAACCAAACTCAGTCAGTCAGTCTTGAAAAATGAAAGTATGGTAGTAAGTGCAGTACTATTTTTGGGTGATATGTCTGTAAAATGACATTTTGGTGTGAGAACAAATTATCCATTACTACTGCAGACATTGTCTAAATCAAACCAGCCAGGTCAGACATCAGTGATATGTGTGAAGTGAAAGGGAAGACTTTGGTATTTATTTTTAAACATACTATAATACTAAATGCAATGCTGATAGAAAATGCTTTATATAAATAACACTGTGATTTTAGTCCTCTCTCATATTTTCAAAGGCAAATTGATCACAGTGTCTCTCACACTCCACACACACACACACACACACACACACACACACACACACACACACACCATCACACACACACCATCACACACACACCACCACCACACACACACCACACCACACCACACATCTGCTGGGCTACCATACTAAACTGTTCAAGATCAACTTAAGAAAATGTAAACATACCACAAAACAATCCAGAATAAATTCCTGTGTATGAAAACATTCATATGCAGCTATATCATGGGTAATTTTAATTTGGTTTGTATTGATCAAGTATTGTCACTTGTTTTTATCTACTTTTGGCTTAGAGGCATGGGGCTTTAAAAAACCTGCACCATGATAATTATGGTCATATGAATGATTTCAACTCTTAATCTTCACATGCTGATTGACGTAAACTACTTTCGTTTAGTTATATTCTCATTAATATTATAATCATAATTTCAAGAATGCTATTTTTCTATCCCTGAAAACATTTGTTTAAGTATATTTTATTTTTGTTTCTCTTATCTGGTCTGGAATTCATGATAAAAATGTAAATAGTGAAAGGAAAATAGTTTAGTTACATACCCAAATCAACAACTGTGGTATTACAGGTGATCACATTAATGTTATGGTCTTGTACTATGCAGTTATTTCAAAAGTACAAAAACTAGGGTGTATCCATTGGTAGGTGTATTCCAATGGTAAACAATCATCTATGTGACCTGGCCCCGATTTCTCGAAACAAACTAAAGTCTGAGTTTTGACTTAAGTTAGAGTTTTTACTCAAATTTGAGAAAACGCATTTCCCAGAATGAGCTGAAATCGATATTTAATTCAAACATAGTAGATAATTTAAGTTTGGTGAATAGAATACTGAAGTTGTTTGGGCTTTTTGTATTTTGAAAATGCAGCTGAGTAAAAATTCAGCTGTTTCAAATTGTCAAACTCAGTTTGAAATTTGAGTAAAAACTTAAGTTTGTTTCGAGAAATCAGGGGCTGGAGAGATCAAGGATGAGAATCATCATGACATCAGTTCGAAGATGAACACATACGGTTTAGTCATAATGCCCTTTTATGGTTTTGCGTTTCTTTAAGATTGTCATAAACTAACGTTTGCTTAGTTGAATATTGTTTTCTATTTTTACAGATGTAAACCAGTCAACTCTGAGGCATTATTAAACATGCTACTTGTAATTTACTGTTTTCTCTTTCTTTGTGCCAGGGGTGGTTGGGTGGCCTAATGGTTAAAGCGTTCGCTCTTCACTCCAAAAACCTTAGTTCAATTCCCCACATGGGTACTATGTGTGAAGCCCATTTCTGGTGCCTCCACTTTGATATTGCTTGAATATTGCTAAAAGCGGCGTAAAGCCATACTCACTCACATAATTTAGTTTCAAAGTGATCAGGGTCTGCGACAATAATTTTGCATGTAATGTTTGTCAGAGGACTCTTTTAAGTTGGAGGAACATTTTTAAATGTTTAGCTCCTATGACATGATTGTTGTTCCCGGTGTTAACTACGTGACCAGACTATTATTTACAGACACTTGTTCTTGCAAACGTAAATCCTAAGATGCACCGAAAGTGTGGAGTAGAGTTGCATGCTAGTTTCTCTTATGAAAATCAAGTGGCAACACAATCTGTGAATGATGGATAATGAGTTGAACTCGGTGTTCATATAGGAAGACAAAACATGTTGATTCTAGTGCATAAGAAAGGTCTCTGATGTGGCATTGGCCTGCCTTTAGCACCACAAACAAAATCACTGGCGAAACAATGCCCTTTGAGTTCAGTGTTGCTGAGTTATGGAGTGTTTCCAGGCTCCTCTCAGTGTTCTGCCGTCGATAAGGCTGGTTGATAAAGCTGGCGATGAGTGATTGTTTATAAAATGATATGTCCCATAGCCGGATCCAGGGGGGGCTGCAGGTCCTGAAAGTTTATTAAGTGACGATTGAAACTTGTGAAAACGGGTGAAAATGAACTGTGCACAGACACACTTTCTCAAAGAGCAGTATCAGCACCTGTGTCCCTGGACGTGATTTGCTGGAACAGTGCTAAAAGCGGCCTAAAATCATACTCACTCTCTCGACTAGGCGGTCCACACACACGTGATATATGCGAAGTTACCCGTAAGTGTCATACTTTCACTTGAACTTAATATCTAAGAAGCAAAATGTGTCGTTTCTCTGCATTAGACCAATCCTGACGAATACATAAAAACAATTCCCTGATATCACCACTGTATCATTATACACAACAACAATGCATGGTGGATTGTATTCAGTAGCTGTGGAGGTCTGGTGCTATCTTCGTGATCTCTCCGGTAGGTGGTAGTCGTAGTCATTGCCGTTTACACAACGTTCCGTCACTACAGACGTAACGACCAGCACGTGTGGCCGTACAGGAACCCAGTCTAATGCGGTTACTATAATCAATGTCCAATGTTGAAGCGCAGCGACAACCTAAATCCAGTTTGCTGAGTGCTGAAATAGAGTTACATCCGGTCAGTAGTGTAACACCGACTAGCATTAGTGTTATACCGAGTATCAGTATAGTGTATTTCGACTATCAGTAGTGTTATACTGAGCATCAATAGTGTCATGCCGACTATCAGTAGTGTTATACTGAGTATCAGTATAGTGTCATGACGAGTATTAGTAATGTTATACCAAGCATCAATATAGTGTCATGCCGACTATCAGTAGTGTTATACCGAGTATCAGTATAGCATCATGCCGACTACCAGTAGTGTTATACCGAGTATCAGTATAGCATCATGCCGACTACCAGTAGTGTTATACCGAGTATCAGTATAGCATCATGCCGACTACCAGTAGTGTTATACCGAGTAACAGTATAGTGTCATGCCGACTATCAGTAGTGTTATACCAAGTATCATTATAGTGTATGTCGACTATCAGTAGTGTTATATCGAGCATCAATATAGTGTCATGCCGCATGATGTCGATATAGCACCATGCCGACTATCAGTGTTATACCAAGCATCAATATAGCTTATACCGAGTATCAATTTAACACCATGCCGACTATCAGTAGTGTTATACCGAGCATCAATATAGTGTCATGACGACTATCAGTAGTGTTATACCGAGTATCAGTATAACATCATGCCAACTACCAGTAGTGTTATACCGAGTATCAGTATAGTGTCATGCCAACTATCAGTAGTGTTATACCGAGTATCAGTATAGTGTATGCCGACTATCAACAGTGTTATACCGAGTCTCAATATAGCATCATGCCGACTACCAGTAGTGTTATACCAAGTATCAGTATAGCACCATGCCGACTATCAGTAGTGTTATACCGATTATCAGTATAGCGTCATGCCGACTACCAGTAGTGTTATACCACGTATCAGTATAGCACCATGCCGACTATCAACAGTGTTATACCGAGTATCAATATAGTGTCATGCCGACTACCAGTAGTGTTATACCAAGTATCAGTATAGCACCATGCCGACTATCAGTAGTGTTATACCGAGTATCAGTATAGCGTCATGGCGACTAGCAGTAGTGTTATACCAAGTATCAGTATAGCACCATGCTGACTATCAGTAGTGTTATACCGAGTATCAGTATAGCGTCATGCCGAGTATCAGCAGTGCTACGATACCCGTATCAAACACATTACAATCGTATAACCATCGCTTTCTTTTTCCCTTCAGTATATAATCGAAATGCAGAAACTTTCAAGTTGGTAGCGGCAACACTATGTTATTCTGCCTCTACACAACATGTCTTCTAAATGATATATTTCTTTCGTATGTGACCAAAGACCCTCTGCGAAACATACCGATTACTCATTGACTGATTAATTAATCGATCATTTGATTGATTACTTGGCACCAAGCATCAATAACATCCATGCACCATTATCATATACTGAAATGGTAATGTAAACCAGCAGACTCGTATTTATTCCTTAGCGACATTGAGATTGGAAACCTATAATAAACCAATAAAGATTAAAAAACCGGATATTTTAAAAAAGAATAAAGCATGATTTTACATAAATAATTTAATAACGTTTTTCATAATAAATTATAGTTATAAACAGGTTTAATTTACAAATAAAATAACAATGACCCATTAACATTCCTTAGACTAGAACGGTAATCGGACAAGAGACATCCTATTCATTGTCGGTTGCGTATACCACAGTTCACCACAAGCAAATCAAGAACCTATATGTTGTGAGGTACATTCCATAACTCTCGAAGGTTAATCAAGACAATATCGGAAATGTTTGATATAATTGTGATCTGACTATGCTAAGAAGTAAGCACGTGCAACATGCTTTCATATCTACAAAGTAAACACGTGCAACATGTTTTCATAGCTAAGACTAAACATGTGCAACATGTTTTCATTGTTTACAAGTAAACACGAGCAACAATTTTCCATGGCTTACAAGTAAACACATGCAACAATTTTTAATGGCTTACCAGTAAACACGTGCGATGTGCTTTCATGGCTTACAAGCTTAAGTAAACACGTGCAATGTGTTTTCATGGCTTACACGTGCAACATGTTTTCATGGATAAGAAGTAAGCACGTGCAACATGTTTTCATATCTACAAACTAAACACGTGCAACATGTTTTCATAGCTAAGACTAAACACGTGCAACATGTTTTCATTGTTTACAAGTAAACACAAGCAACAATTTTTCAGTGCATGTGCAGTAAATCACATGCTGGAAGTTAGTATTGAGTCACTTTTAAGTTATTGCATCGGAAACGTAAAGGCACGATTTACAAAGATCCATTTCGGTTGACAGTATTTGAGTAATGCTGAATAATGCTGAAAGACTTGTACGTTTTGTGACGCTTTCTGTTGCTGACGCTGTGATGAAGATGTTTGGTCAGTCGTCCACACTCGCCCCTTTCCGGAAAGTGCGACTTGTTCCGGAATGACACGAGTGAACAAGAACGCTTGGCGGGATCACACATGGGTGTTGTTTGGGAGGTATAAAACCAAATCAGGATAACATTCGATGTGGTTGGTTGTGCTCATATCAGACGTTTTGTGGAAGGGCACGGCTTGAACATGGGTCGTAAGTAATGATTGTACATGATTAGTGAATCTGTGCTGTAAAACCGGATCCAAGGGATTGGTGGGTGGGTGTGCAGACCCTCACCTTCTGTCGTGGCTGTTTTTGTTTGTGAACAAGTAGGGGTTGTCCTGAAATAGTATCACATGACATTAATGAGACCACGTACTTTATAAACGCTAGTAGTCATGCATTTATTCACAAAGTAACGAACGAAAGGGGACGCGAGCACGGATTGTGGAGTCTTAAAGGCCCTGCAATTCGTAGTGCAGAGTTGCGTGCCTTGGGAACAAAAAAGCGCTATAATCCATGGTTCGAATCCCGGTTCGCCCTAATTATGTTACAGGGTTTGTCAGCACCAAACCCCTGCTCGTGGTTTACACTGAAGTGGTGCATGTGTAACATCTGCGATACATCAGACTGTGTTTGATTACACCTATATGGCAAACCTCTACGATCTGTCTTACTTTCCCCGACTTCAGACTGAAATGTCGTGATTTACACAACTCACAGCACAAATAGAGTGTTACAGCCACCTACCGGAGTAGGACAGTTGGGCGACTGACCAGGCGACCAGCTCCTTCTCTTCTCACCGACTGGCTCGATCTTAGAATAAAAAAAAGGAGCAAATATCAGCTGATGGCCGAGGCATCAACCAGTGCTAAGCTTTTCCCATATTCCTAAACCATATTATTTTCATTTCCGCCCGTTCTTGCCATCGTGATGCTATAGTCCCAAATGACGCAAGTCTAGATTGCCTACAGGTTCTTAATTTCCCATCTCGTTTGGGCTCCTTTTTAGCTATATAGTTTCAATTGTGTCTTTTATAAATCTATGTTTTCGGAGACTATCGTTAGTCTAGCAGAGTACTTGCAAGGTTAAATACACATTTATAAATGGCTGTCATTCAAACAATACCAAATTTGAATGGATTCATAAAGGACTTTCTGTTACATTTAGGATGTTTGTTTGTTTTAATCAAGTCTGGACCAGACAATCCAGTGATCAACATCATGATCGCCGATCAACGCAATTGGGATATGATGACATGTTTCAACCAAGTCAGCGAGCCTGACCACCAGATTCCGTTCGTCGCCTCTTACGACAAGCATGGGTTGCTGAAGACCAATTCTAACCCGGATCTTCACGGGTGATACATGTGGGGTAGACTACCATGTTATTCCACAAAGCGATGGCGGCTGCGGCGTGAGCGCGTCTACTGAAGTGGAAACAGTCTGGGGAGAAGAAGGTGAGATCCGGCTTGCCGTCCTGAAAACATCAGGATATTGATGAAAAAACATTAATATCAACACCCCTGCAACTAGTGTCAAGCGTAAACAAAACTTGTGTAGTGAGTCTGGTTTTGTATCTAGATCACTGTTGTCTACAAACGCATATCAGGCGGAAGAAAGTCGCATTCATCTCGCATGTACAGCTGTAGGTAGGATTCTGGGCCCCGATCCACAAAGCGTTCGTAACGTTACGACCTGTCGTAACTCTATTGTTTATCATAGGCATGCGAATGTCGTAGCGCTACGAACGTATTGTGGATCACAAAGCGTTTGTAGCGCTACGACATTCGTAAACCTATGACAAACTATAGAGTTACGACAGGTCGTAACGTTACGAACGCTTTGTGGATCGGGGTCCAGGAAAATAGTATGGTTTACTAACGGGGGCCAAATCTATATGCAGAGTTGCGTCCCTTAGATATACGATTCACTGGTTGCGATATCTGATCTGATCCTTGAACCTTACCCAGGGTTCATCAAAACTGTAACTTTCAACTGAATAATCACAACGAGACTAACAGATGATAATAAATGATGTTGTGAAGTGTATATACAAATTAAAGATTCCCACAGCATACCTTTAAGGGTAGCATCGTTTCTTTGAAGAACGGCTGTAGGACCACTGTGAAGTCGTCCCTGTCGTCGTACCTCCCACTGGCCACCAGCTTCTCCAGCGCGGTGTCGTAGTCTTCCGTTGCCTGATGAAGTTGCTGTGACGCCTCCTCGCTGCCAGGGTAGGCGGCACAACGACATATAAACCTGAGGAAGGGTTACAATATGTGGATGAACATCGTCTGCATTAGCTAAGATACATAGCGTTCACTGACATGAACAGTGAACGCTATGTATCTTAGCTACGTCTGTATCACAGTGAAAGGGATGTTTCGGTGTAGGTTCTAACGCCCTTATCAAGCAAGTGGTGAAGACATATAAACCTTGAATACCGGATAATGTCAACAAAAACAGGTTATGCTGGACATACTAAATGTCTGAATGTGTCTTCTATTCTCAGATCGCGGAAGTGTTTTAATAAATATCAAATTGGGAATTGTATACTTTGTATAGACTACGTAATGATAATTCTATATAGACCCGCCAATGGTGCAACTGTGTCTAGTACTGAGGCAACTTTCACGAACACCTTCATATTAACATTTTACATTTTATGCTAATCGTTTACGGGCGGTGGATCCCAAGATCGTTTTCCAATGGCAATTCTCTTACAGGTGAGCTACTGAACAGACAAGGCCAATGTTGAGTTTCTTCATCTCGTCCACATGGTTCACCTCCACCAGGTTGACGAAGGCGCGGGGGATGCCTGCGTGGAGGATGTCGAGGGCCTTCTGTACACGTTGGACGTAGTTGCTGGCGTTGTAGCGCCCCTGTGGAAAACAAAACAACTCATAGTCTACTCATGTGGAAACTCGCGGCACCTTAAGCTGAATGTCATAGAGACTGGCTTGAAGGTTTCAGGAGATGATCCGTGAAGCATGATACCATCCTTCCGTCCCACATCCGGTGTTCGTGGTTCAGGAGAATGCTTCTCTATCTGTCTGCGTCTAATCTCCGCTCAACTTAAATCCCAGAGTTCGTTGATCCCAACCATTCCACGTCAAGTTACCGTATTTCTCTAAATCCCTGTAACTCATCCCAGCCGTTCAAGTACTAGTACGTTTATTGGTTGGAGTGCCAACATACACGTTGTTGAATGGTTATATGTAGTTTATTAAGTCGAGATTCAGGGTCTACAAATAAACTAACGGGCAAAAGAAACGATACCAAAATTTAATTTGATAATTTGGACCTCATTCCTTCATTTATACTGTGACTCACAGGACTTGTTATTGTTGCTGCTCCAGTGAAATGACTGAGGTGCATGTTGCCAATACACCTGTTATTTAAATTCACTGTCCTTTTTCACAATGGTGGTTTGTAGTTATGTAATATCAGTGATTTCGACTTGGTATCGTTTCTTTTGCCCGTTAGTAGCCTCAACGCCACGCTTGTCATTAGACAGTACGATATGTGGATCGGGTGGTCAAAATGTTTGGCCATGATGATAGAGTGTCTTGTATCCCGTCAACTTGGATCGTTGATATTCTGTTTATCTATTGTTTAGTTTGGCTTGCTGAGAAACTATTGTTTACAGACCTCAATGATCTATATGGGATATTGCTGACTGCAGCGTAAAAGTTCACTCACTCACTCATTCATTCTCTTACTCACTGGGTGAATAGTCCGGAGGTATACTCACCTTATCCTCACAGTAGTCGCACAGGTCATTGCCGCCGATGAATATGGTGATGAGCTTCCAGTCGTTCTTGAAGTCGACCCCTGGTTCGGACTTCAGCCGTTCTACCAGAGACTCGGCCTGCTCAACCATATCCCTTTGTACACAGTATAAGTGAATGAAGTCAGCCAGGGTTACACCTGACGTGATGAGTGCCGTGAACAGGTCATAGAATGAATTGTTAAAACTTGTTAATACAAACAATATTTTTAATATACATTTCCTTAACACATGTCCGTTACACAGAAACAAAACAATTGATACCAATCCTCAGAATGAGACTTGCTAAATAGATAAAGTAGTAAGTGTTTAGGAATGGATTTAGGTCAGCCAGAATGAATAGCAATATTCGGTAAACCAAACCTAAACATAATGACTATGATTCTAACGTTTTTTCGATGATAAAGAAAAAATATTTTCGACTGCAAGTTGACTTTCAAAACAAGTATGTCCATCACGTCTTCAACCACCCGCTAATATAGGACTCCGATTTGGATAAAACATATATACCAGCTTTTGTTGAAAAATTCAGACTCCATGGTTTAATCACACTTAACCAAATTTTCAGGGAAAAAATCATGTTTCTTAACTTGGAATATCATTTCACAGTCGTAACAACCTCATCTCTAATGATCACTTTCGCTCTCTCGCACGCACGTACATACGCACACGCACACACACGCACAACCTCTCTTACTCTGATTTGGCCCCTGGTACTGCAACATCAAGGTGAGCGTTCCTGCTCCTCGCCGAGCCGCTCTTCACGGAGAACCCTTTCACGTTCGGGTTGAACTTTCTCACAATATCTGAAGAACACGTTTAATAAATGTGAGTGGCTGTAGACAGACCCTCAGTTGTCCTAAATTGTATAGTACTGTATATTCTCCACTATAGTACAACATTGAGCAACGTTAATATCGTATCATGCAGTAAACTTAGCAGTTGTTGTATGGCCTTATTACCGTACAACACAGGAGACTGTCTATTATTGTTGGACATATAGTGTATCCCAAGCAACTACTAATTAGGATATAGGAAATATTAATGCCATAATTTGGCGTGCTGTATGACAGAGGAGATGTCGTACTTGGAATAGTTGGTTGGTAGTTGTAGTCGCCATCGCCGCCGATGCTGCAAGAGAACACCAACATCTTATTGTATATTATTACTCATACAGCTACTCATACAGCTACTGTATCAACTTTGCCAGTACGTCACAGGCTGTAGTGCAAGAGGAGAAAACACACAACTACCTGAAGGAGGGTTGTAGTATATAAATGATCTCTTATTGCTGAATTAGTTACTATTGCCAAACCAGGGGTGGAAATAACTTAAAAATTGCTAGTGTACTCCGGTACAGTGGCACATGTAAAATCACTTGCCCTGATATTTTTTCCACTATACTGGCCGTTTTCTTGTTGATTCTTTAAATAAACAACATAACTAACATTGGAATATCAACTGGACACCGGTACAGTGTGATATACAAATTTGCTTGCCCGACAGAAAAAAACACTGGACTAGGGCGTCGGGCAATGGGTTATTTCCACCCCTGCAAACTATGTCTGTATTTAATATAGTTACAAAATATGTCGAACTGTCACGGGGACATTAAATGTTAAGTAATTGTAACATAATTGATACTCCAGTAGGATCTATTTTACAATCGACTATTTTTGCGATAACGGTTAGGTTAAGTTGATTTGTTAATATATTTTCAGGAACCGAACAGAGGGGAAACAGAAACCGGCTACCGAGTAAATACATATAAATTAGTGAAATGTTCCCACCTCCAAGACAGTCCCCGGTCCTGCCAGAGGAGTCCAATAATGGTGCAGGCTGTAATTCCCGTCCCGGCCTGCAACACACAATATGACGTCACACAACACGGACATACCGGAGTTATTACACAGCTATTTGTTTAATACCATTCTTGCTATATCCGACGGGTGGTTTGGTATCCATGAATATAAGGCCGATGACTTACCGTGATGGAGTCGCCCAGGGCCGCCACCACTTGGACATCAGCAGGGGTCAATCTGTGAACTGGTAAATATTGAAACAGAGTTTATTTGGTATTTTTCTAAAATAACATACAAAACAGGTACAACATGATTGTGTTATGGAAATTCCAATATTTGCTGCAATTTCATGCCATAATACAAATGATGATATAATATATTAATAATATAATATAAATATGTGTTTTTACATATCGCATGGTGGGAATCACTAGATTGTCTGGCCCAGGCGCGATTGTTTTCAAACAACATCGTACAGCTGTAATAAACAAACACGTTTGCTGAAACAAACACGAACTCATGATACAGTCACAATTGTACAACCGACTCATAGTTGTGGAACGGGTTTTGTCGCTTCTAATCCAATACATTTAAACATACAGGGGTTCCCTTATAACTTCACTGTCAGGCGCGTACCAACCCAATTCTTTCGTGTAAGCCTGATAGGTTGCAAAGCTGTATAATTGAAGTATTGAGGGCTTGCCCAACTTTATTTTTTTATGCTGCTGGCTGGCTGGCTGAATTTAGTTTTACGCCGCTTTTAGCAATATTCCAGCAATATCACGGGGACACCAGAAATGATCATTATTTGTGAGACGTGAAGTGTTATATCGTTTTACGTTTGATGATTTCAATAACTTCAAAATGTTATTATCTTATCAATATTTTGAAATCATAAGGAAAACTTAGAGTAGTCTACCATTAATTCAGACAGAATAATCATTTGATTGAAATGTGACCTCATATGCAAGTATGTTTTGACATTGTTTAACGCATGTTCACTGCATTGGTACAATACCATACATCGAGTATTTGGTGTTGCTTTTTCTAAATGAAATGATAAACAAATGAAAAATATACGAAGAAGGGCGATTGTAAATACCTGCATGTCAGGTATGATTCACATTCAATCATGACTAACAAAACATTCACATACATGTCAATGAAAAAACAGTCATCACTGGAAGAAAGACACCTTTCAAATTTATGATATGAAGAATAACATGTTTACTGTACATGACGGTATTGGTATGCTTTGTTATCAAAGAATATTGTAGTCAATATGATTTATAGAGGGATTACCACTTTTTAAATTATTTTAATAACGTGTTTGTGGCTATATTTGGCAAGAATGATTTATGACTTTTATTAGAACGTGTTTGTGGCTATATTTGGCAAGAATGATTTATAGAGGGATTTCCACTTTTTAAATTGTTCTAATAACGTGTTTGTGGCAATATTTGGCAAGAATGAGAAGAAAAAATATTTTTAGCAAAAATCATGTGTAAGCCCGGGCATTTTTTATAATGGTAGCTACGCCCCTGACTGTAGACCATGAACTTTGGAGTCAACGAAAAGGACAAGCTGCAGTTTTCAGAAAGTCTAAATATGCAAATGTGGCTTGTGTTGCTTTTTCCAAGAACCCTTGTATTGTGAATGTGAATATCCTAACAGGTGTCTCGGAAGGTCAATCTCTGTGATTGTTGTGGAAATAGAGAATATTAGTTCTAATAAATTATCGAAAAACATCTGTCCATGTTCATTGTTCATGTATATAGATTGATATGGGCAGAATACAGATGGCGGACTGCAGGACTTGGCCAGTATTCTTTAGGCTCAATTTAGCCGCTTCTATTTTAGTAGTTGTAATGGGAATAGTCATAAACGATGGGAAGAGCCATACACGATGGGAATAGTCATAAACGATGGGAAGAGTCATAAACAATGGGAAGAGTCATAGTCATAAACGACGGGAAGAGCCATAAACGATGGGTAGAGCCATAAACGATGGGAAGAGTCATAGTCATAAACGATGGGAAGAGCCATAAACGATGGGAAAAGTCATAAACGATGGGAAGAGTCATGAACGATGGGAAGAGTCATAAACGATGGGAAGAGTCATAAACGATGGGAAGAGTCATGAACGATGGGAAGAGTCATAAACGATGGGAAGAGTCATAACTGGAGTAAATCGTCCTGTGACGTCTGACTCTGGATTGTCATAACGAGATTGTTATACCTTCCTTACCTGAAGTTGGTGAGGTTTTGTTATACCTTACCTGAAGTTGGTGAGGTTTTGTTATACCTTCCTTACCTGAAGTGGGCGAGACGTCTGACCTCGGGGTGGGTGTACATGGAAACGCAGGTGTCCCATAGTCCTGCAAATCATAAACAGTTGATTACATTCAAGTTTATATTTGATAACACAATTCAAATAACCCATTATATACTGTATAGTAATCGAAAACTGTCTAAATACATTTAACCCTTAATGTTGAGACTGGCAGTGAATGTGCTGAAATGAATATAACACCTGTATGTTTAGCGGTATGTTTATAAGTTACCTGTGTGTCATCCTTGAAGAGATGCAGGTGTTTGTTGAAGTCTCTCTGTATGGTGACGTTGCTTGCTGCCTTGGAGAGCCACGCCCTGTAGTCGTCATAGCTGCCGTGACATGCTGCAAAAGTCAACATCTTTACAACGTGATCAGGTTTTGATCCAAGCCCTTTAGATCCGGGTTAGAATTGGTCTTCAGCAACACATGCTTGTCGGAAGGGGCGACTAACGGGATCGGGTGGTCAGGCTCTCTCTCTTTCTAAAACATTATTCTCTTCCTTAGACACTTGCTCTCTATTTGGAGTTGATATATTGTAGATCGTGCAACGTTATGTTTACTTATCGTGTCGTAAACTGTATCGATAAAGAAGGTGTACCTCTCGCCCTCTTGATGATACCAACCTTAGTATATAGACAGTTGCATGGACTCAAATATGAGGTCATATACACTGTATTTGGAGGAAGGTGTTCTTGGAAGCGAATCGCATAGATGGATTCAGGGGTGGTCCTCTCTCTCTCTCTCTCTCTCTCAGGGTCTCTCTCTCTCTCTCTCTCTCTCTGTCTCTCTCTCATACACACACAACACACACACACACACACATCCATTTTGAACAGCCTACCATCATTGTTATAGGCTCTAAAATGATGGTTATAGGGCCAGTTTGAGATGGACCGAATCGCCAGCAAGGATGCCTCTGGTCAGCCACAGACTGAGGGGATTAAACGTCTTTCTCGTGATAGTGCGGAATTTAACATCAATTCCCCGTCTCAGCGAAGCACTAGCCCACCTGTGACTGTATTAATTACAATCACGAGTGTCATTAGATTCACAATGGAGAAGTGAATGTCGAGCTTCTTGTACAGTGGTGGTGTACAGCTTCTGACGGGGTGTACAGTGTTGTGTACAGCTTCTGACGGGGTGTACAGTGGTAGTGTACAGCTTCTGACGGGTGTACAGTGGTTGTGTACAGCTTCTGACGGGGGTGTACAGTGGTTGTGTACATCTTCTAACGGGGGTGTACAGTGGTTGTGTACAGCTTCTGACGGGGTGTACAGTGGTTGTGTACAGCTTCTGACGGGGTGTACAGTGGTTGTGTACAGCTTCTGACAGGGTGTACAGTGGTTGTGTACAGCTTCTGATGGGTGTACAGTGGTTGTGTACAGCTTCTGACGGGGTGTACAGTGGTAGTGTACAGCTTCTGACGGGGGTGTACAGTGGTTGTGTACATCTTCTAACGGGGGTGTACACTGGTTGTGTACAGCTTCTGACGGGGTGTACAGTGGTTGTGTACAGCTTCTGACGGGGTGTACAGTGGTTGTGTACATCTTCTAACGGGGGTGTACACTGGTTGTGTACAGCTTCTGACGGGGTGTACAGTGGTTGTGTACAGCTTCTGACGGGGTGTACAGTGGTTGTGTACATCTTCTGACGGGGTGTACAGTGGTTGTGTATAGCTTCTGACGGGGTGTACAGTGGTTGTGTACATCTTCTGACGGGGGTGTACAGTGGTTGTGTACATCTTCTAACGGGGTGTACAGTGGTTGTGTACAGCTTCTGACGGGGGTGTACAGTGGTTGTGTACAGCTTCTGACGGGGGTGTACAGTGGTTGTGTACAGCTTCTGACGGGGGTGTACAGTGGTTGTGTACAGCTTCTGACGGGGTGTACAGTGGTGGTGTACATATTTCCACCGAGTGTGTACAATCGTTAAGTACAGTTTTCCTTTGTGTGAGTACGATGGTTGTGTACAGTTCTCTGCCGTTATAGCTTATGGTGAACAGTATTAAACAGTGGTTGTGTACGGGTTTCTGCCGTGGATGTACAGTAGCTGTGTACATATTTCCACCGAGTGTATACAGTCGTTAAGTACAGTTTTCCTTTGTGTGTGTGCAATGGTTGTGTACAGTTCTCTGACGTCGTTAAAGCCTGTGGTGCACAGGCTCCTGCCAAGGTAAAACAGCGGTTGTGTACAGATTTCTGCCCTTGGTGTACAGTCGTGGTGTACATATTTCAACTGCGCATGTACATTCGTTAGGTAAAGCTTTCCTATGTGAGTGTACAAAGGTTGTGTACAGTCTGACGTTATAGCTTGTGGTGTACAGTCTCCAGCGAGGTTGAACAGCGGTTGTGTACAGATTTCTGCCACGGATGTACCATGGATGTAAATGTCTATGCTGTGTGTTCATGGGTGTACAGCAGGGTTTAACCCCTTATAAATGCACCCCGGTTGACAAAGCACCCGACCAAAGATTACGTCTATTTATAACCAGGTACACAGTATTACTCGGTCATGCTTATCTGTCCTCGGGTGTCCCACAATGGCAACCCGAGATTTTTGTCGGTCAGGAGGCCAAATATTAACAAAAGGTCCTAATTAAAATACACAAACAGCTCGAAAGTATGGGACACAGGGAATCAATGCTTAGAATTAGCCTTCCTCGATAATGCAAAATCATTGCGATGGGACATGTGACCCACTGTCATCAAGTGAAGACCGACTTTTTAAGGACTATATAACAATAAGAACGACCTATTAGTCGCTGTTTACCTGCTACAAGTCCGGCTGCGAGGAGAAAGTGTGTCCATGTCATCATCGGTCCGTTCTCCACATCTACACGAGATACCACTCTCGATGAGTGCGGTCGTATTTACAAAACAACAGAGCAGAGATCACATGACCTGTCGACATCATGTGATCTGTCAGTTTTCAGTACGATGCGTTTGAATGCGGTGTTCACAAGGGAGCCATCTAATAGTTTTGCAGGCGTTTCGTCAGGCGTTATTTACAACGTGACATTGGTACAACTGGAAAAACCATTCATCTTTCAAAGCAATGATGACTGGTAACAAATGTGGTATTCATGTCATATTCCGATCTCACGCTCCATGCGAAACAATACATACTGGAACAGATGTGCCCGCTGATGACTGTGTTACACTCAGTATTGATGTGCGAGTGCCTACGTCCGTTTATATTGGTTTGTGTTTATATTGTAGGCCTACTTGCAATATATATACTTAATAGAACATTTCCTCCTTAATGTATTTTCTCGATAGGTTCAATATGTAGGGGCGGTGGGGTAGCCTAGTGGTTAAAGCCGAAGACCCGGGTTCGAATCCCCACATGGGTACATTGTGTGAAGCCCATTTCTGGTGTCCCCTGCCGTGATGTTGCTGGAATATTGCTAAAAGCGGCGTAAAACCAAACTCAGTCAGTCAATATGTAGGAAGTCGATGCAATCATACCCACCCATTTATGTGAAAAGGCTGAATGTTAAAAAGGTTTCAGTAGTAAAATGAAGACCTCGCCTTAACCAATCAGAATCAAGCAATGTTCAAGGTCATGGCACATCTCATAGTCGACATGATGGAAATTTATGATATAATAAAAAATACTATTTGCAATTTCTTTTCCTGGACAGTCATGAACAGGTGTATGGTGAATGTTATCCAATCCCACCACCCACCCAATTGTTCTCGTCACGATATGGCTGAAATATTGCCGATTTGACGTTAAATATTAACTCACTCACTCTGAAAGTGTAAGCGAGCATGGTTCACAGAGATTCGACAATAGCATGTGGGGAGCCACAACAAATGTGTTTCACATACAGCATCAATATGAACTACTAGACTATTTCACCGCCCACGAACGCCCTGTTTCTTTCATTGTTTCTTTGTAGGTTTCTTCTCTAAAACGGGCGGTGGGGTAGCATAGTGGTTAAAGCGTTGGCTCGTCACCCCGAAGACCCGGGTTCGAATCCCCACATGGATACAATGTGTGAAGCCCATTTCTGGTGTTCCCCGCCGTGATGTTGCTGGAATATTGCTAAAAGCGGCGTAAAACCAAACTCAGTCAGTCAGTCTTCTCTAAAACGGCACAGCTATATGATGCCGGTCTGTAAATAATCGAGTCTGGACCAGACATACCAGTGATTAACATCATGAGCATCGATCTACGCAATTATGATACAATGCAATGCATCAACCAAGTTAGCGAGCCTCATCGCCCGATTACGACAAGAATGAGTTGCTTAGGACCAATTCTAACCCGGATCATCACGGATCGGGACGCTCTGATATAACGGAATGTTCAAACCCTTACGGTTTAACTCATTTGATGACGATTAGGGACGAACAATCCCCTTTGGTGGAGTTTTGTTTAACGCCGATTTAACATATTCAAAACATATTCCATCAATGTCTCGGCGGGGGAGACCAGAAATGGGTCTCATACATTGTACTCATGAGGGCAATAGAACCCGGTCCTTACGAGTGAGCATTTCTACTACCCCACCGTCTGGCTTTGGTGGTATAGAGACTGGACACTGTGTTCTCGATATTGTGCCATCAGTGTGCTATAGGATAAAGGGGATACACGCTACAAACCTCCTATAGAAGAAGTGAGTGTTGTTTTACGACGAGAATCAGCAACTTTCCAGCTACCTTACACCGACCTGCGATAAACTGAGTCTGGGCCAGACAATCTGATGGCTAAAAGCATGAGTAACCAACTATGTCTCGCTACTTCAAAATATCAAAAAAAACAATTTTACAGTCGCATTAGCGATGATAGAGGTATTGTTGGAGGAAGAATTCTAATGCTCGGTAAGAAGAACGTGTGGTGAAAAGACAAATGAAATTATATAAACAGTTAAATCAGTAATCTACTGTAATAACATATAAAAAGCTCGCACCTGTGAAATATCAACAAAACAGTAGAAAAATAGCTCACACCAAAGCCTTCACCGAATATTCACGGACAACCCGCTTCCAAGCTCCGCGAACCTATTTCACTGCGCATGTGCTATGAGCGCAGCCCAGCTGTTGAAACCACTTCAATTCCCCCCAAGCGATGGGGGAAAGTTAGTGAATCGTTTGAACTACGATTTCGCGCGGTTTTTTTCATCGCGTTATTTTTCAACTTTATAAGTTGAATTTGCATTTTTGATGATTTTTTTCGGTAAGTCCATACCGAAAGGTATCAGAATCTGCAAAGTTGTGTTTTACGTTGCATGTGACCTTTAAACTATTATTGCGAAAAATGTACTAAATGCCTTTTCAATAATTGACTATTTCCAGTTATACAACAGTTTGACCAGAAATCACACATCTGAAGTAAATAATGACATCATGACAGCTGCCATGGAGATAAGGACATATGCGACGTATTTGATCAGATACCTAATCGCACAACCAAACAGCTGAAGTCGTGCACAGTCTACTGATACACGCGCCTTTTACCTAACGCTGATCAGCTGATCACACTGAAGTAGGTTTAGGTTGGTTATGATTAGGTTCGTGAGTGGTAGCATGTGATATCGGCTATCATGCCTATATATATAAACTGTGTCATGGAAAGAGGGCAGATTGACACTCTTGTCCGGGTCATGTATTACCACTTGTCTCGCGGTTCCGGCACAGGGTATACTCAGCGAAAGAAATATGAGAACGGCTATAAATGTTATGGTTATATCTTGTAAGCTCCTCACGTGATATATTATGTATGTAATACAATGGTGTAAATGTGCCCGTGTGCGTGATTCCCTGTGATATGGGTGATGGAAATGTACCCGATACCCCTATACGAGAGTTAGCTCTCTTCCCATTCCCATCTGCGTGTAAAAAAAAGAAGTTAATGTGTACAACCAAGATCAAAGGATCAATGAGTATTTTTAAGTACGGAATACTATACAGTTATAAGTGAAAGGGTGACTAACAATTAGACTAACAATGAGTGTTAACACTTTCCACCAATGTTTGATTGTGGCTGACAAAACAAACAAGACATTGTTTCTCGTTGGTTTACATGTTCAATACGGGTGTCAAAGATGTGACGTGGACCTGTTGCGTTCCGACGAATGTTTTCAACCCAGGACTGACTGACCGAGTTTGGTTTTACGCCGCTTTAGCAATATTCCAGCAACATCACGGCGGGGGACACCAGAAATGGGCATCACACAGTGTGCCCATGTGGGGATTCGAACCCGGGTCTTCGGCGTGACGAGCCAACGCTTTAACCACTGGGCTACCCCACCGCCCCCTTTCAACCCAGGAACATTTTGAGCACATTTGTAATTGTTTAGTCCAATCCAATATTCAGGTGTATACTCAATAATGGCAAGTTTGTGAATCGCCTATAGTTCTTCTTTAACATTTTTCTGATAACATGGATGGATGCATTAACTAGTAACATTTGCGGCGTTATTAGTAATATGGTGATATATGAATGACACTGAGACGTTTTATAAAGATAATTAGTAACCGACGTAACAGTATTCCCGTGTTGTTCCATCTGAATATACGATTTTGACATTGGCTTGTCCTTACAAGGAGGTTTGGATCCGTTTTAGAACTGGGCTTCAGCAGCCTATGCTTGTCATTGGAGGCGACTCTAGGCATCGGATGATCAGGCTCGCTGGACTTGATTCATGTCACTGTATACCCATCAGTCGATGCTCATGATGTCAATCACTGGATTGTTTGGTCCAGATATAATGTACAAATGCCGCCATAAAGCTAGGATATATCTGAGAGCGGCATTATGCAGAAGAGCTACCGACTGCCCCATAGTGCTTTCCCTATAGCGCTATCTGCACCGCACTTTAGAAGCTTCAGCTATCTGTATGTGCTGTTATTTTACAACAAATAAAACATTATTCACTTCCTTAGACACTTGCTCTCTATTTGGAGTTGATATATTGTAGATCGTGCAACGTTATGTTTACTTATCGTGTCGGAAACTGTATCGATAAAGAAGGTGTACCTCTCGCCCTCTGGAAGATACCAATCTTAGTTCATAGACAGTTGCATGGACTCAAATCTGGGTTCCTATACACTGTATTTGGAGGAAAGTGTTCTTGAAAGCGAATCGCATAGGCGTAACCAGGGGGGGGAGGGGTTTGCAGGGTCTTCTCCTCCTCTCCTCCCCCCCCAACAAACACCACCACCACCACCCACTACCCTCTCCTTTGTCCTGAATGTTTTTCAAATGACAACCCGAAAAACGGGTCAAAATAAAGTGTGCACCCGCCCTTTCTCTAAAAGCCGCATCCACCCCTGGAATCGTATCGTAGTTTTCCCGATCGAGATCTGTTGGTAAAATCATGATGTTGTGACAAGTCAAAGTCAAAATCGTTTAGATATATTTAGATCCTCATACAATAGAACTAGTCTCAAGAGTCAATATGGATATATAACGATTAAATCATAAGCAAACAATGGACATTTGAACCGGACATCAGCGTCAGTCTATCGATGACAAACGTGTTTTAAGCTACCCCAAAGCGACAGACTGTGCACATGTCTGTGTTTGTGCCATCATTTCAACAATTATGCGTGTCGTCTGCTGCACGATGTACACTTGGTGCTGTCTCCACCATCAGACGATTCAGTCAAGACGTCAGACTTTCGTCATAATCCAATCGATATACGTAGCGAGAATGTGTAACTGCCAACGTCACGTCTGAAAGGGAAAGTGGTACGTATCGGCTTACTTGAGCAGTGCAATAAATACATGGACACCGTTAGAGGTGCAAACACGGAACAAATTACCGACATTGTTGGATGCGATTGTCCTCAGCCCGGAAATTTAGATCGATGAGTGCGTTGAGTTTTACGCCGCTTTTAGCAATATTGCAGCAATATCACGGCGGGGGACACCTGAAATGGGCTTCACATATTGTACCCATGTGATGAATCGAACCCGGGTCTTCGGCCAACGCTTTACTTCAGTGGTTGAGAGCAGATGAGCTAATTACTGTTGCCATGACAATATTCCGGTACATGTAGGTTTTGGTCAGACTTGTTGCATAAGACATATGGTCAGCAGTCTCACATACTTGCGGCTTCTGGGACACACTCCAACACCGTATTCATAAACACGACATCAGCCACAGTAACGGACACAAACAAGCTTGTAATTGGGGCGGTGGGGTAGACTAGTGGTTAAAGCGTTCGCTCGTCAAGCCAAAGAGCCGAGTTTGATTCCCCACATTGGTACACTGTATGAAGTCCAGTTTCTTGTGTCCCTCGTCGTGATATTGCTGTAATATTGCTAACAGCGGCGTAAATCTAAATTCACTCACCCATTTGTGCTTCGCCATGCTGACGTGTGCATATACTGCTTCATTCATATACATACTGCTTCGTTCATGCTCATAGAGATGTTTCCATATTGTACTGCTTTACACATACACACACACGCACATTAATCTCATTAATATTATGATCATAACGTCAAGAATGCTTTTTTCTATCCCCGAACACATTTTTTAAGTATACATTGTATTTTAATTTTGTTTCACTTATCTGGTCTGGAATGCATGATAAAAATGTAATCAGTGAAAGGAAACTAATTGAGTTACTTATATCCCAATCAATGATTGTAGTATTACAGGTGATTACATGTTACGATCTCGTATCTTACCTTTGATAGTTGACACTGTTCTTGCTTGTGAAGAAGTATGGATTTAGCTGGAACAGAAAAAAAACTTCCACATCACCTGAATAGGAAGTTGTACTTGTACATCACCGGAAGAACGAAGTTCTATAGGGTCAACACAAATGTGTAGGAGGAGGCTAAGTTGGGTTTAACAACGCTGTGGTTTCCGTTATTAATACCACAGTGTGTCAGCTTGATATGGGAGGTCAGATCATCGTGATGTAGCATTTAGACCTTTACAACTACATGCACGATGATATTATACCACGGGTCATAGCCAGGGAGAAACTGTGATTCTAACTTCCCATGATGAGATCCTGCACTTTAAGGGGATGCAACTCTGCACGGTGATATTTTCACGTCCCGTGTGAATTGTAAAGGGGGACTGAAAGTGTGTGTCGTTACTCCATATTCATATTAATTCAAGGGGGAGGGGGGTAGCCTAGTGGTTATAGTCTTCGCTCGTCACGCCGAAGGCCCGGGTTCGATTCCCCACATGGGTGCAATGTGTGAAGCAAATTTCTTATGTCCGCCGCTGTGATATTGCTACAATATTGCTAAAAGCGTCGTAAAACCATGCTCACTCACTCGTATACTATTAATTCAATTTTCATTGGCGACAGGGTTTGGTCATAAGCACGATTACGTCCCTACCTCGCTAGGACATTGAAGGGCTTCCCCGGGAAGTATGGTCGTTCTCTTTGCCCCGACAGGGTGGATCTGATAATGTCAAAGATACAAAACATTCAACCCCGTGTCAGACCATGAGGAAACGTTTAAATTCAAATCGATATGTCAGAACATTGTTGTTCTAAAATCCATATAATGTTGATTATCGCTCTCTTGGATTATCAATGACAAGGTGTTACATGAGACAGTGCAGCATTAAAGAAACTTGTTCAAAACTTTGTTAATTTCAACACTTCGGCCACTTCTCCAATTCTATCCATGCTTCAGTATCTGAATAGAAATCCACACCCGACACACCGTAAGAAAAACGACGGCTAGTTGTGAATCAGTTAAACATGTCTGATAACTTTCATTCCAAGATCATTTTCCCCGTACTTTTTCCTGTAAAATTTGACATTTCCATTGAGCCAAAAAGGATCCATTAATCCAAGTCAGCTTGTACAATTAATGGCTCACAAACACATTAACATGATGAAATCAGGTCGTAATGATAGTCCCCGATTGTTGATGTGTACAGCAAAACATACCATGTTATTCCAGAGCGCCCTGGCAACAAATGCTTGTCCTTTCTGACTAAAATGAAAACAGTCCGGCGAAAAGTAAGACAAGTCTGGTTTGTTTCCCTGAAAATTAAAAAAGCCCAAAAATTAAGATTTACGTAATTTTTTACACAATAAGAAATTAGGCATTAAAAATAACTAATTATTTCAAATACTTATTAAATTGTATACCAATAAATATCACATACCAATAAAATAGCATGAATTTATTGAAATCCTATCAATAGTAGTAGTAGTAGTAGTAGGTTATTGCGGTGATTGAATTGGAGTTGTTAAGATAGTAGTATCTAGGTACCTTCATGGGTAGCTTGGCATCTCTGAAGAACGGCTGTACGACCACTGTAAAGTCGTCCCTGTCGTCGTATCTCCCACTGGCCACCAGCCTCTCCAGGCCGTCGTTGTAGTCGTCAGCAGCCTGGTGTAACAGCCGAGCGTCCAGTTCATTCCGGGGATAGGAGCCACAAGAACAGAACAACCTGTACACGGAACCATGGGTAGATCTGATGACGATGTCGTTGGTGTTGAAGCGTCATGCCGTGCATATTGATGTTCATGGATCATTACGTTTTCAGCTTCAACCGACAGAGCGCCAATTTCATCAAATGCGAGGACAAATAATTCATCAGATGTTTCTTTACTATAAAGAACCATTACAATATGCTGACAGCAACAAGTTTTACACAAAACTCAAAGTGACAAAGTAATAGATTATATGGTCTCTGGTGACACAAATTCAGAAGCTTTAATTCAGTAAGACGGAGAACGCCCAAAGCACAAATACGTATAACACCATTCCCAATATAAGAAATATCCACTGCTGAAAGTTCATGGTCCGACCATGCCATAGGCCGTGCGTTAAGTATTATGAATCATGTTGAGTTAGAGTTCGCGAAAAGGCGAGTCTATCTTGCCCCAATGTGGCACTCATGCAGCCAAGTTACCAATTAAAGCGTTCAGACATTGACAGAAGGTAAAACAACTCGGCTGTCAGCTAAGCCGGATTCGCATACACTCTCACCCACCACCCACCCACCCAAACATTTTCAAACCAACCTGGCTGTCGACTCTGCTGGACATGCACACACCCTCACCCTCACCCTACCCACCCCCGAACATTCACCACACCCATACCAACCCCCTCCAAACTCTCTCAAACCAACTTGGCTGTCGACTCGCGCATACATCCTCACCCACCCAGCCCCACGCAATCCTGGTTCCACCTCACCCAAACTCTCTGAAGCTAACTTGAGTATCGACTAAGTTGAATATGCACACACCCTCACCCACCCCGGCCAATCCATCCCATCATGGTCCCACCCCACTCAAACTTTTCAAAGGCCAACTTGGCTGTCGACTCTGCTGGACTGTACACGCCCTTGCCCTACCCCGACCATCCACTCCATTCTGGGCCCAACCCCACCCCAATTCTTCCAAGCTAACTTGGGTATCGACAAAGTTGACATGCATACACCCTCATCCACCGACACAAACCCTCTTAAGCCAACTTGGCTGTCGACTCTGCTGGACTGTACACGCCCTTGCCCTACCCCGACCATCCACTCCATTCTGGGCCCAACCCCAACCCAATTCTTCCAAGCTAACTTGGGTATCGACAAAGTTGACATGCATACACCCTCATCCACCGACACAAACCCTCTTAAGCCAACTTGGCTGTCGACTCCCTCATCCACCGACACAAACCCTCTTAAGCCAACTTATGGGGTGTCCACTGAGCTGGACGCCTGAGGCAGGATGGGGCTTACTGGTGAAGGATGGAGCAGATGCTTCCGAGGTTCATCCCCTGCATCACGTCGACGTGGTTCACCGCCACCAGGTTGACGAAGGCGCGGGGGATGCTGGAGTAGAGGATGTCGAGGGCCTGCCGTACATTTTCGACGTAGTTGCTGGCGCTGTAGTGCCCCTGTAGGTAACCACATGAGTTTTCTGATATAAATTAAACCTACGGTCACAGTGAATTATATGTTTGTTCCTTAAGTGAATAAGTGGATGTGGTTTTTAGCATAGGGAACATCCTCTTGAGTTGTCTTCAGGAAGATACGGTTCTATTCGGGACGGTGTGTGGTTTTGGGTCGTACTAGGGAGGGCTGTGTGGTTTGGATTGTATTGGGTAAGGGCTACTGGGGTTGAGATGTACTGTTGTACGATGGGTAAGTGACGGGAAGTAGGGTTTTCTACGTTAAAAGTGGACTTCATAACCAATCTTCCCATAAATGCCCATGGAGGTGAATTATGATAAATGAAATAACAGTTTAATAGATTCTACCATTTTGTAGGAAAAATATGTTATAGTATAACACTTTATCCTCCGCACTTTTACGCTGTGAGAATATAACAACTAATTAAGTTACAGTTCTATGTAATATGTCACCGTGTATATATCAGAGCGACGCCTGTAATGCCTGAATTAAGTGGCTCTTCTGATAACCATGATGTATTGGTAAAATCCCTCGAGACAGGGCACCATCAATCAGGACACCTCGTTTTTCATACGATCCTTCTTGGAACATACTCGCCGCGAATAGCTGCAACATTGCAGATGGGGCGTTAAGCAATATTCACTCACTCACTCACTTACTCAATCACTCACTCTTGGAACACAGAATACATACAGTGAAATGTTAAATACTCTAGTTCGTTAAGTCATTCTGTAATCGGGATATTATATTTCAAATTTTAAATTGCTATCCGGGCTCCGATTTCACAGGAAACGGTACCATCCCTATTAAGATGAGTTTGCAGTATTAGAGATGTTGAGTCACTTGTACAGGTCACGCTATTATTGTTCACCCACTAACCATGTCCTTGCAGTAGGAACACAAGTCATCACCCCCGATGAAGATGGTAATGAGTTTCCAGTCGTTTCTGAAGTCCACAAATAGTTCATTCTTCATCCTCTTTATCAACAACTCTGCCTGCTTGGTCAAGGAACTGTAACACAACATGGGCTTACACCAGTTCGTTTGTTTGTTTATTGTTGAGCAGGTTTCTACCTATATGACGGCGGTCAGTAAATATTCGAGTCATAACTAGATAATGAAGTGCTTGACATCATGAGCATCGATGTTTGCAGTTGGGATACGATGACATGCATCAAAGACGTCATGGAGCCTGAACCCCCGAACCCGTTAGTTACCTCTTACGACAAGCATGGGTAGGAGAAAAAGAATAATATAGATGCAGTAGTATTAATACAGCAGTGTATTTATCACATTTCGAGGCATCTGCTATCTCACAGACTAAAATATGTTTTGGTCAGCAACAATGTTTGTCATCTTTATCAGTCTCTGTTCACTGTTATATGACTGAATGGGGCGTTGAACAATTAACCACGATACAGATCCAATACAGATCGGTTCAATTTAGGGTTTTTTCATTTTTGCAGGATATATTGTATTTGTACAGTCGAGTACTTTATTCAGAACCTATGTAAGCACAAAAGAAACATATTGCCCCCCAAACTCCTTACGCGGACTCGGCTCCTGGTTCGGCTACATCAAGGTGAGCTTCCCTACTCCACACGCTGCCACTTTTAACAGCGAATCCTCTCAGCCAGGGGTTGTATTTCTTCAAAATATCTGCATGTTATAATACTGTAGAACAATGGAAAGTATATCATCATGGAATGTGGAAATTTTGGGAAACTTTATCGTTTTATCAAGATATTCTTTCTTGAAGGAATTATAGATCAAACTGTGCATGGCATCTTACTTGGTATGGTTGGCTGGTAGGTGTAATCCCGATCTCCGCCTATGCTGGAAATCAGATAGGTAAAACAAGTCTTAATCATACTTCCAGGCTAATGCATGCCAAATAAATGCTAAATATGTTTAATTAACTTTTTCTCGAAAAGAAATATTTGTCAACCTCCATGAAAGGCCGCGGTCCTGTCTGCGCATGTCCATAATCGTTTTCGCTGTAATGCCATTTCCCGCCTGCAAGTAAAATGGGATTTCATGACAAACGTTACTTCGAGTTGCTCTTCTCATCTAAATAAATATTTGAACGATCGGAACTATCAAACTCCAATGAAACTGACTTACTGTGATTGAGTCGCCCATGGCTGCCACAACCTGAATGTCACCTGGCCTCAAGCGGTGAACTGCAATACAGTGTAGATACATAAGGGGGTGGTACATATCTGATACAGGAGTACCTAATGACGGAGGATAATTGGTACATACCTGATACAGGAGTACGTCGTGACGGGGGATAGGTGGTACAGGGAAATGCTCCATCATGGAAGTGGCCTTCACTCTGGAAACAATAACACGCCATGTGAGCACTGGCCCTTTAATGTCGACTCTAAGTATTCACACAGAGAACAATATTTGATGCAACAGCATTACTAAAAAAAGCAATGGCTTTTTCGACATATTTTAAAAAAAAAAGCAATACCATATATTTACGGCCATACAAATAGTAAGAACCCCATATGTTCGCGACACTTCGGCGCAAGATGCCCAATCAGCGCAAAACAAGTGTTGATGATGATGATGATGATGATAAGGACGACGATAATGATGATAATGACGACGATAGTGATAACGACGACGAGAATAATGATGATGATAATGACGACGACGATTATGATAATGACGACGATGATTATGGTGATGATGATGATAATGACGACAATAATGATGACAATGACGATGACGATAGTGATAACGACGACGAGAATAATGATGATGATAATGACGACGATAATGATGATAATGACGACGATCACAATGATGATGGTGATAATGACGACGACGATAATGATGTTAATGACGACGATCACAATGATGATAGTGATAATGACGACGACGATTATGATAACGACGACGACGACGATGATGATGATGATAATGACGACGACGATGATGATGATGATGATGATGATGATGATGATGATGATGATGATGATGATGATGATGATGATGATGATGATGCAGAAGACTATTGCGGCTTTGGAAGCGACATAGGTGGCACATGACCGAACCAGATATATAACCTGAAGGTCTTCCCTGAAGAGATGCAGGTGTTTGCTGAAGTCTCTCTGTAAGGTAAAGTTGCTGGCTGCCTTGGAGAGCCACGCCCTGTAGTCGTCATAGCTGCCGTGGCATGCTGGGATAGTCACGTATACTGAAAAACAAAATTAGAGAAACGCTGACAGATACAATTTTGACAATAAAGCTAAAATTAAATGTTGCATATTAACTAAGTAAGTCATGAAGGTAAACGTTTCAGATGTACATGTATTTCAGTACATTGCCTCAGTAGATTAAATTATAAATTTTGACTGTACATGTTTAAGAATGTTCCTGTTCGGAATCATGTCCTAAATGAGCTGAACTCGACAGCCGGCATGAAATCTCAAATCGGAATTGGGTGCTTACAACTTGTGACTTGACCTGGTTTATGGCAACATTGTTGTTGCTGGTGGTGTTATTGTTAATATTAGTGTTGATGTTGTTATTATGATCATTATACCATTCGAGGTGTCTTCTTTAGATATTTGAATTGTAGACAAACCAAATCATTGAAACCGGAGTATCATTATCTAGCTATCAGTAGTCCTCGATGGTTTCAATGTTCAAGAGGGCTTAAGAGCTACAACGGGACAATACTATATATGAGAACCTTATGGTGTAAAATAACACTACGACCAATGGTATGCAGAGTTGCTCCCCTTTGAAGCCGCAATCCCACCCCTGCTCCTAGTCTGTGATAAAACCACTCAGTCTGGTAAATCTGCGCTTTGGCGATTTAGGACGTCGGCCACTTTGGTTAGTTCCACTAGCACGTGTTTGGAACTGACCAGCCAAGAAATCTAATCGGGGAGAACTGGGATTCGAACTCTCAGTGTCATGTATCTGTTATGCCTAAGGGACACAACTCTGCATACCACTGGTCGTCATAAGTCGCTAGTTGCGGCGACTTACGATAGTTCCCCCATTCCGTGTTTTGTTTGTTTGTTGTTTAACCGGTGCACTCAGTATTGGCTACACGATAGGGGTCTAGAGTCTAGACCAGACAATCCAGTGAATGACATCATGACCATCCATCTCAGCAGCTGGTAAACATGCATCAGCCAATCAACAAACCCGTGAAGATCCGGGTTAGAACTATCTTCAGTAGCTCATGCATGTCGTAAGAGGCGCCTAACGGAATCGGGTGGTCAGACTCGCTAATTTGGTCAAGTGAAAACATTCATTACACAACAGTCTCGTTTCCTGCTGACTGGGTTCCGTCCTATTGCGCAACTTCGTACAATAACCAGTTCAGAATTTTGGGACAAATTCAATCAACTGGATACATAAATATTAATCAGTATTATTTGATACATCTAACCACTTGTATATTGCAACACTACGCTCCTTCTAATCCTTGAAAACACGTCGTGCAGCGTGCTCTGTCGTACTGCGAGCTCTGACAAACAGAAACCTGGAAATCGTGGAAATATCAAAACGAGGCTCTGCCGCTATAAAAGTTGGCCGTCTGGTACGGATTTGATTTTATATCAATCACATTGTCCTTTACTACACTGGATAAAAGCAAAGAACACATAACAGGTGTAACCAGTGAGCCAGATGAATTGTGAATCATTTTACTACTTCATCAAACAGGGGCAGCCCGTGACGTCTTAGTTAAGGTCATGCTGCCAACACCTCGCCATAAAATATAGAAATACGATGTTATTAAAGTTTGAAATTAAAATTAACTTGTAAATACCATTTTCGTATGAAACAAGGAATTGGAATTCAGTGTAACCATAGTTGCTTGTGGTATCTCTTTTCACTTTCACACGAGAAAATTCGGATCGGCTGAAAAAAAGGTCATTATCTGAATAGGTTAATGAGACTCATGTTTCGGTTTGGACACATGTCATTGTATCCCAGTTGCGTAGATTGATGTTCATGCTGTTGATCACTCAGTTGTCTGATTCAGCCCGCCCCATATAGCTGGAACATTGCTGAATGGGGCGTTAAACAACAAACAAACAAACACATTAACAAAGAACACTTCACCACAACAATCTATGTACATTATTTGCATGCCATTCACAACAAACATTTTTAGAGATTACAGGACAAATATCAGTGCTAAATGTAAGTTCAACAGGGCTACGTTTACAATCTTTTGTGGTTGTGTAGTGACTCAACACTTATACACCATGTATACTTGCTGAGGACCCGTTCCCTGCCAAAATCACCACCAGATGTCTTTACAGTGTAACAATGAACGAAATGAATAGAACATCATTACCTGCCATGAGCCATAAAACTCGCAGACTTGATGTGTCCGTCATGATCAGTCGTGGAGCTTCAATTAATTGTTTTCTTCTTCGTGTTCTTTTTTTGTTGGTCATGTGATCAAGCTACAGCTCACGCGATAATCACGTATGTAATCACGTATGGTTGATAACTGTGGCGTGTGCTGGATATTTTTTTATCGCCTAGGTATTTATCTATTATAATGACAGCAGTCAGATTCGTATATATCTGTTGACTGATATAATATTTTGTAGTTCATACAAACTACAATTAATGAAAATTTCTTTTGGGATGAAATAGTTTCAATGTGCCCTTGCGGCTCTACTAAATTTATAAAAATAATACACACCGTGATTCATTTAATGGGAAATACCATAAATTTGACAAAATAAATGAATCAAAAGCTATTTTGCACCCCATCAAACTGTTTATCCATGGCTCTCTCAAACTCACAGCTTTACGTGGGCGTGGCTAATGCCAGTGAGCATAACAGGAAAGCCGTTTTGGATCATGATAACATAGCGTGTGGATTAGTTAATGGTCCGGGACAAATCAAGCTGAACTGTTCTTGCAGTCATGATAGTGTTCATAAAATCCAGTTTGCACGTTTACAAGTTAGACTAACCTTAAGTCCCTGAATATATATACTTTTGATAGTAACAAATAAACCCATGTACACTGAAAAGGAGCCCCAGTGAGATGGGAGATTCAGAACCGGGGGAAATCTAGACTTGCTTCCTTAACGCCTTACCATTGCAGGGGGCGGTGGGGTAGCCTAGTGGTTAAGGCGTCACGCCGAAAACCCGGGTTCGATTCCCCACATGGGCACAATGTCTTAAGTACATTTCTGGTGTCCCCCGCCGTGATATTGCTGGAATATTGCTAAAAGCGGCGTAAAACTAACCTCACTCACCTTACCATTGCAGAATGGCTGGACATGATGTATTTCAAGAATTTTTAGATTTATTCAATGTGAATCATAGCCATCATTTTTGATGGACCCTGAATACACCCCTGCGTATCATATGCTTGTTTGCTTGTGGCATATATTCTTACCTTTAATCCGCACAGATGGTCATTATGTAGACTTCATGGATGTTTGTGACGAGTAACGTTTTTGCATGTAATTGCTTGAAGTTGGAGATGAACTATAGTGAAGTAGGTTATCATTTTTTAACATTTGTAAGACTTTGTATACAGGATATAAATGGGCGGCCATTTTGCCTTCAAAAACCTACAGTTGATTTCAGTCAGCTAATACAACTATCTGTTAATGCTGGCACCTATTACATAAGATAATTCCAAGTATTAAGGCTTTTTGTATTTCAGTCTGTATACTTGGGGAAAACAATGTAAATGCTACAGCATGGAAATGGGATTCTGCATGTTGTATATTCATTTAGTGGTGAATGCTAAGATACGTAGTTTCTCTTTATTCTTTGCAGGTGGAATTTACAGTGGCCAAGGTATTGGTTGCACTGCTCTTATAACTTTGATTTCAATACAACCATTCATTCGCAATGAAATAATTGTTACGGTTTGTAACCATGATCAATTTTGGTTACATTTATTGTGTTCATTATCATTTAGGATTTTCAAAACGTATGTAAACAAATCAACATTTACCGAGGTGTAGTTCACCCTAAACATCTTGACATCAGCCAAACATAGTCGCTCGGATGAGAAATCACAATAAGTAAATAAGTAAAGGTCAAAACAGGTCAGGAAAAGTATGATGCGCTACATCTGTTTACATTTATTGACATCACCAAACGATGCTAAATACTGCTAAAAGAGGCGCAAAACCACACACACTCACTCACTCAATCACTACTCCACTTTCACCACTACCACTTCTGCAAAGTCTCCTACTACTACAACTTTCAACACCTACCACTACTACTACCAAATAAAAAAGCCCTTTCAAGAAGCATAACAATTACGATTGTATGATTCCGATTATATCATAAGGATATGATTATGAATCATCATTTTTTTTTAAATCCCACGAGATAATGACGGGCACAAGAATACACCCAAATTCAAAACTTACACCAGAACCGTCAACCGTCGCCCCTCCGACAATACCATCTTCGGTGGTCCAGTGTCTGATATACATGTTCTGTCATGGCGAATACCCTGGACCAATCTGCTACTGTTTCCTCCTTTGGAGGTCACATCATCGTCTCTCCATCTCCTATCTCGTAGCACAGAATATCTCTCGCTCGTTGTGGTCTTAAATCAAAGTCGAATAGGTCGCAATATGTTCATCATAACCATCTGACAGTCTGAATGGTCACACAATCGCAGAATGGTTCCCGTTTAGTGTTTCACGTTACGTTGATGTATCATGTCCGCGTGTGTCACGTGCTCTATACACTATCATAAGGTGGAGTGGTGTGAGTGAGGGAGTTTTGTCTACAGTGTTATACCACTTCATGTCAGCATGGTGTAGGGAGGAAAGCCCAAAGTGATGCAAGCATTTGATGTTCGTCTCTCGGCTAGAGGACGTGTCCGGTGTTGACAAACGTGTAAACATAATCATGGCAAGCCATTGGCGTATCAGTACAACGCCCGACGTCACTTATATATTCAAGTGAGGATTATCGAAATTATTAAATAAGTTATTTAACATTAATAAGGTTTTATTCAAAAAATGAAAAACGCCCGTGTGGGCGATACAGGTTTGTTAGTAACGTCACTATGTACAATATGTCCCACTACTTGTGCTACGTTATGGCGAGTGTTGCTTGATAATCTTGGTCGCATAGTTAGGTTTCTCCCACAGCGTGTCCTCGTCCATCGTTTGGTACTTGTTGGCACCCACACGTCGGCGTTTATTTGCAGTCCACAACGCCGTCAGTATCAACCCCACCACCGCCAGTACGACAAACGACGTTCCTGAAAAACACGACCGCCACATCACTGGCACTTCTCTAAACACAACCTTGATATATGAAAGGCTACTTATTGTGTTCACTATCCCACGGACCTGTGGGGTAGCCTAGCGGTTAAAGCGTTCGTTCGTCGGGGTTCGATTCCCTCATGGATACAATGTGTGAAGCCCATTCCTAGTGTCCCCCGCCGTGATATTACTGAAATATCGCTCAAAGAGGCGCAAAACCACACACACTCACTCACTCACTCACTACTCCACTTTCACCACTACCACTTCTGCAAAGTCTCCTACTACTACAACTTTCAACACCTACCACTACTACTACCACATGAAAAAGCCCTTTTAAGAAGCATAACAATTACGATTGTATGACTCCAACTATATCATAAGGATGTGTTTATGAATCATCATTTTTTTTTTAAATCCCACGGGATAATGATGGGCACAAGAATACACCCAAATTCAAAACTTACACCAGAACCGTCAACCGTCGCCCCTCCGACAATACCATCTTCGGTGGTCCAGTGTCTGATATATATGTTCTGTCATGGCGAATACCCTGGACCAATCTGCTGCTGTTTCCTCCTTTGGAGGTCACATCATCGTCTCTCCATCTCCTATCTCGTAGCACAGAATATCTCTCGCTCGTGAGAGTAATTTGATTGGACGAAAATTGGGAGCGACTTGATCAGGGATATTTCTCATAACAGAACATAGACGTGATGCACTGGATAATCGACGATGGTAGAAACCATCACCCACTGTTTCTATAGCCCACCAACACAATTCACCACCAATAGTATCAACCCTTGAGACGTACCGATGACGACTGTGTGGTCCTCTGAGCCCCCTGTGTTGTTGGCACTTATCTTCTCCTCATTCTCCGCCTCATTCACAGAGTTCCCCTTCACGCCACTAGTCAACGGGGCACCATCTCTCATAACACCCCCAGTCACGTTGCTGTTCTTACGGGTAAAGAAGAACGGGGATGCCTGGAAATACATATATACATACACAAACAGATATAAATTTAGATATAAATCTAAATACATGTACAAATATATATACTGAACCACAAAAGCAATGCCGCACTGATAGCGGTTTCTTAAAGCACACACTTTAATTCACTCTAATGAACAATCAAAACGGAGGGTTGAGTTCAAACTTGACAATTATGGTTAACACATTTTGGGGAATCACATTTAGAGTTCACACAAACAAAATCACCAAAAAATGGTACCATTAAGATACCCCAAAGTCAGTATTGTGTGTGGCCTCTATGGGCATCGATGAAAGCGTTGCATCGTCTGTACATGGAATGAATTAGCCGGTTGAAGAAGGCCATTGGCACTTAGGCTCCAAACTCTGTGAAATGCCTGATCGAGTCTAGCTGCAGTTGTCGGCCTTGGGTGGCGGTCATCCAGTCTTCTTTGAATCTCGTCTCAAAGGCGTTCTATTGGACTCAAATCAAGACTGAGTACAGGCCATTGTAGAGTTTGGATGCCTTGTTGTTTTAGGAAGTCCAATGTTACTCTGGCAGTGTGGGCACGAGTGTTGTCTTGCTGGAAGATGTGATTTCTGTAACGTCCAAAATGTGGTACAACGTGGGGGTTTTATAACTTGGTCAATATAGCGAGCAACTGTCACGTCATTTCCTCGTCCTGGACTGAGATTCTGGAACACCACGGTGCCAGCTATCTGGTTCGGACCGATTGCACCCTACACCATGATGCTTGGACCACCTCACGAGTCTCTTTCAACAATACACTCACTGGAAAACAGTTCCCCATACTCTCACTCTGCCATCGACTGTCGAAACACAATATCGGCTTTCATGAGAGAAAAACACAGTTTCCCATTGTCGATAACGCCAATTCCGATGCTGAGTTGTCCATTGTAGTCGGTTTTGGCGGTGATGAGCGGTGAGCACAGGACTACGATATGGTCTGTGACTTCCGCGCAAACGCCGATGCACTGTATCGGCACTGATGGGTCTGTTGTGAGTCCCAAAGGTCTGGCGTGCTCTTTGCAGATGTTGACGCTCAATCTGTCGGTCTTGACATTGAAATGTTACTGAAAGGTCGCCCATTGCGTGGACGGTCTTGGATTCTGTTAGTGACCCGATACCACTCCTGCAGTCGGTAGATTGTCCTAACATTAAAATGATTGGCAGTCTTGCAATCGTCCGAAGACTTGGTTCCTCTGATCTCTCGCAATTCGTACCATGACGATTTTGTCAAAACAAAAATGATTTCAGGCGAGTTTGGGACTCGCTTTCATTGGTAGGGTTGTCACAATATACACATGCATTTTCATTTTCACGAATATCATACGGAACCTTTTGCCACGTCTGCCTTTTTTAGGTGCGTTTGGTCGAAATGCTTTTTCATCAGAAAACACACTGATGTTGGTAATAACTGTCAATTTGGATTGAAAAACATGTTAATAAAACGATACAATCATAATAAAAACACCAATTTGTAAGAACAAAATCTTGCATTTGGTTTTGAAAAGCGACGTTTCTTTTGTGGTTCAGTATACAAATAAATATACAAATCCAGACATATGTTCATCACCCGCAGTTACGCTGCTGTTCTTATGGATAAAGGAAATATATAAACACACATACAAATACATGAACATGTACATATATACAAACAGAAATCCATATTTACATGTACATACACATACTGTAATGTGCCAACGCAAGACCATGAAAATGGTCCTATATTAGCACGACTACTTCTGAGATCATTGCCCGACCCTACCCAAACAGAAGGTTCAAACTTTCTCCAAACCTCAACTGGTTGGTTATAGTATGTAACAGATGCTAGACATGAAACTATCATCACCTCAGATGGACAGTCGATAGGTTCACCGGGAGCCCAGCTGACACGCTTGCTTCCTTCAGGCTCGATCTGCAACACAACACGGATGACAGTGGTGCACATATAACCGTTATCAACAACAACAACCGCTTGTATAAACCAAAGTATTGTCCTTAGGTTCTCTGTTCGCCAGGCAAAATCCTTAACGATAAGTGAGTGGTATTTTCATATTAATATGTCAGGTGAGATGAAATGGAATTTTACGTTAAAAAATACTGAACTTGTACATGTTTGTATATGTGTGTGCTGCTTGTACTATCGATGTCGGTTTTATAGTGCTATATACTATTACTAAACACTATGCGTCAGGTTACATGGATATCCGACTCAGATACAGTTAATATACAAGGGTACCAATATATGGCGCCCATCAATGGGTACCAGGACTGGTCGGCTCGAGTGATTTATCCCTTAATGGGGAATGCTCCACTGCGGCATGATATCTCAGTGGGCTAGCACTATAAAAGCTTAAGTCATCTTACAAACAGCCGCCTCATACACACGCATGCATCGAAGCAAAATATTCTCAAGCACGACGTTAAACCCAATTTCACCTCAGACCTTAATGAGGAACCGCAGGGATACTCCAGGTACCATCTTTTAACACCTCTTGCATCTAGAACCACAGACCTTCCGCTCTCCAGGCAAATGCCCTAACCACTTGGCCACGGATTCGTATGTAGTATTGTAGGTACCTAGTTCAATGTGGATGAAGTACGTGATTTACATGATTTACTCATTACAGTTTACCTTTGAACATATACACAGTTTAGTGGTCGTTTGGGTTACAGCGTTAGACTATTTTTATACCTATCACCATCTGATATATCATGCCAATAACTGTTGTCAACCCTTCAATTTTTTAATATGGGCGTGACAACCTAGCATGAGTATATGTCTGGTCTGGACTGGATCACTTCCTGGAATACATAACAGTTACGGCGCAATGCAACAGTACTCACCATGTTGTTCCATAGACCATTGGCAGCAGCGGCTTGGCCTTTACTGCTCAAGTGGAAACAGTCGGGGGCAAAGAAGCTGAAGTCAGGTTCGCCATCAGCCTAGAAAATATACAACCATGATTGAATTTGAGTGCATAGCTAGGTACAATCATAAGGCCGCAATGATGTTTTCTTTCTCTACATTGAACAATAGGTTTGCATCTATTCTTTATCTTGAACAACTCCATAACAACGAAAACAAGAATCTTTGAGAATCTTTTGTTACTTAACTTCGGTACAATCATAAACATAAGCCCGCAACCTGATGTTTTCATCCTCTACATTGAACAATAGGTTTGTATCCATTCTTTTTCTTGAACACGTCCTTGCATAACAACGAAAACAAGAATCTTTGAGAATCTTTTGTTACTTAACTTAAAGGCCGTCATGGAGTGTTCATTTCAAACGCTACTGAACCCATAAATGAGTCTGAACTGTTTTCTGCACATACGTCATAACTAGCCTTTGTAACACGGAGGCACATGCGGAAAGGGAATTTGATTGTTACGCTTTTAGGTCATGTGATACTGTAGGTCTTCCAGCCTCTGGGTATCGCTCAATGGTTTCCTTTATCATTTATTTCTTATTAGAGTGCGAGGTCATTGTACTTCCGGTTTCGCCCTACCGTTCTTGGCAGGAATGTGTCCTCGAGGAATGGCTGCACTACTACAGTGAAGTCGTCCTCGGTGTCGTAACGGCCAGTATTGACCAGCTGCTCTGTCTGAGAGTGGTATGCTTTGGTCGTCTGCACCACAATCTCCTCCCCCTCCTCGCCATCAGGGAACGCCGCACACTTGCACGCGCTGTTAGTAGAAATATCCCTTTTAGTGGTGACATACATTGTGCACGTGCACGTGCTCCTGCATTAACATCATCCTATTCACTGACGTGCGGTGGTGTGTTGCTATGACATTCACGGACATACTCACGGACAAAAAACTTTCAATATATAACTCTATTCACTGACATTAAAGTATAATTTACGAACTCTCCTACAGTATTCATGGACAAGCAGAACCATATAGCATCTAATTCAAGAACAGGCAATGCATTTGCATCATATTTGTGAAGAAGCAGTGCTATATAGCATGAACTGCCAGACTGTACATCATGTGCCCGGACGCGCACTGCCAGACTGTATATCATATGCACAGACAAACACTGTAAGACTGTATATCGTATGCACAGACACGCACACAGACCTCCTCCTATTCACAGCTATACATAACCGTTATGTACAAGACTTACACGTGTAGAACAGTACAAAGAAATCCCTTGTTGAGCTCTTTAGCGATCTCCACATTGATCGTCTCTACCAGGTTGACGAACACTCGGGGAACCTCTGTCTGAAGCAGGTCCAGGGCAGAGGTCACCGACTCGATATAACGTTCGGGGCTGTGCCCTTCCTGGGGATATATAATATATCATTTTAGGCCGTGCATCTTAAGATCATGAGTGAATATATTGTGTCTGTCGCCTCAGAAACTGCAAGTCAAAGTAGAGAACCTATGACAACGTCGCTTTAAGCAGCATGTCAACATGCAGTGTTGATTATTGTTAAAGGAAAGACTATATTTGATGAGAATAAACATGTATATCAATCACAACTGACCTTCACAGGATATATTGCTTGAGACTAACCAATTTATCCCTGAAGACGTCGCTGGAAGGAAATTCCACCACAGTGCTTTGAAGAACATTACTATGACATAATTAAACGCTCTGCTAGTGAGGCTCTATAGATGTACCTTTTACATGAATTCCATTGCAAAGTCGAAAGAATGGTTTTCAGTGATTATTGGATTCGCATGCACGGATCTTTGGATATTTAATAGATAACTATTGTATTTGGTGATATTTTTGTTCAAAATCTTTAACAAGCCTCTGAGATTCAAACTTTCTTTCGAACTCGTTGTTATATCTGATAGCCAAAGATAATTGTGTGAGATTCTCAGTTCAAACTTTTCAATCGATGCTAATTAGCGAATTCGAACCAATGATTTCGAAAATGATTTTATAATGCTAATTTCATCATGAATATTCAAATAGCGGTCTTGAATTATAATCATTTCCGAGGTACAGACCTTACCTTTCCACATCAGTACAACCTGCAAACTAAACATTGACAGGCGAGGTAAATACGTCGCCATATTCGGAACGTTAAAACACGTCGTGGTGTTGATGCAAGCCTCACCTGATCAGTGCATACGTCGCAGATGTCGTTCCCGCCAGTCATGATTGTGATGACCTTCCAGTCGTTCTCAAGGTCAATCTCCGGATCATTCTTCATCCGGTCTATCAAAACTCTTGCCTGTCTCGGAAGGTCCCTGAGGTGACATCACCAACAACCCTTACATCGACTGTACGACTATGTCTTAAAACTTCTATCAAATGTATATGTTCTGTAAATTGTATGTGATGCAAGTTAAAATTTAGCATTTTGTAGAAAGGAACTTCATATTTTGGCAATGTTATAATTGGATCGAATGGCGTACGATATATTACAATAACGATAATACATGAGTATGTATGTTGTTTAACGCCGCACCCAGCGACATTCTATATGTAAAACGGTAGTCTGTGAAGTATGGACCAGACAGTCCAGTGATTCATGTTATGAACAATGACAGGCAATCAACAGAGTCTTAGAGCCCGACCACCGATCCATTTGGCCGCCTCGTACAACCGGCATAGGTTGCAGCCTGGGAACCTATTCTGACCCGGAATCGCCATGGAAACTGATTTATAGGCTTTGTTTGTTTGTTTGTTTAACGCCACATTTGCCAATATTCCAGCTATATGACGGCAGTCCGTAAATAATCGAGTCTAGAACAGACAATCCAGGGATTAACGTATTATATGCCGTACTCGAACGAGTCAACTGTCGACAAAAACGCGGTGTTTCTACTTACGCGGCTTCGCTGCCAGTATCGGCAACGTTCAGGTGAGCATTGTCCTCCTTGTCTCCTGTACCGACGGAGTACCCCTTTAACTTAGGGTTGTATCTCTTGAGGATGTCTGAAAATACCCAAGGAAGAACATTTCATTTTGTTTCACGTTTCCTATTGCACGTAAATATTGTCAAAAACTTTCTATCGTCGACAATAGTACGGAAGTAACTGTATATGTGATTAGAACAGCCTGCTTCATGTAACACAGGTAATAGATGAGGAAAGGTCAGCCATGGACAGTTCCGGTTGAAGTCTACAATGTGGATCAAGTCGCGTATATCACTGATTGTGGTTCTTGCTATCAACCACTGGTTCCTCTGCACCAGGCTTGCGTGAATGCGATTGTCAAGGTAATATTACACTCATCCAGACTCCACCGTATATGTGCCACCCTACTTTAGGTATACATTTGCGACCCCCTGCAGATTTGGGTTGATATCACTCGCAGAATGGGGCGCAAACATACTTGTACCTGGTGGGCTACGAAGACGATGCAGTCTACTTAGGCGGACATGGCTGGCACACTGTCGCAATTTCGCTGTGCAGAGTTTCGTCCCTTGGATTGCAGGTTCGAATTCCGGTTCACCTAGATTGCATACCTGTGCTCGTGGGTTTCACCGAAATGGTTGACATCTGAAATCTGCATCACTTCGTGTTTTCCTCCCACAGTTAGCAGACACGTCCTTGAATAACTGTTATACTGACCAAAGCAGTATAACTGCCCATACTTGTCATGGAAGGTGACTTCCGGGAATCCGGTGGTCAAGGTCGACGTACGCCCATGTGTAGATAGATGCTCATAATGTCAGCCAGAGGGTTTTTTTCTGATCCAGCCTCGATTATTTGCTCACTGCGTCATGTAGCCGGTATATTGCTGGGTGCAGCGTTAAACAACAAACACAGACGTATGTTGTGCCCTTAAACCTACAATGGTCTTAAGTGCACAGAAATCATGAATATTCATGAGTGGGCGGAACAGACGTACATAGTAATGACCTCCCTAAGACAGCAGGCTACTTACTCGGTAGTGTTTCCTGGTCTTCATAGGTTCCATCTCCGCCAATACTGAAACAACATCATACACAGAGTTCGTGGTGAAATATATACTCAGAGACTCCCATAACATAATGTACAGTGATTAACAATACCGTCGCTATATGTCTAGGCTTTGCCTGTGGAGACCCAGTACCAAATCCATGGGTTCCACAAACAACAGTTGTGAGAGGCGACACATTAGGTCGATCGATATACCTCAAACTATACAATCCAAATACAAAAACAATACAAATATTCAATAAATTCAGGCAGCAACAGTTCCATGCCACTTTGACCGAAATATATCGTTACACCATGTTTTTTATGTAACCAAGTGATAAGGGTTATAAATTATTTTACAACATGCTCAAGAAATCTTCAGATTATCACATACCCCAAAACAAAACCTGTAGCTTTACCTTCGCTCAATGCAGAAATCTGAAATTCTGATATATTCTGATAAGATGCTGACAATGGATGCCTTCACATTTCAATAGCCCAAGCTCCCTCTACTTTGAGTGGGTGATTCGTATGATTAACTTCATTTCATTTTTGTGATTTGAATCTCAGACTTCTTTTCTTTCCGCCTGCATGTTTACATTGTTCAAAGCTTTTGATCAACTGAGGGCCGGTGTGGTAGCCTAGTGGTTAAAGCGTTCGCTCGCCCGAAGATCCACATGCGTACAATGTGTGAAGCCCAATTAATGTGTCCTTGCCGTGAGTGAGTGAGTGAGTGAGTTAAAGTCATTTTGGCAAATATTTCAGCCATATCGTGACTAAAACATATAAAAAGATATAATAGATATATATATATCCCAAATATTTTATAAGTTTATATTTTAAAATCTGTCTCCAAAGGACAGTAAAACAACTAGTATATCACAGTTAGAGATATAAAACTTGCATGTAACTTAAAATTATAGAGTATTTATGTCATTAAAACATAAAAATGGGCTACAAATCGCCAGCAACTGACCTCCCAATATGGCTGGGATATTACTTAAAGCGGCGCAAGACCTTACTCACTCACTCACTCAACTGAAGTGGCCTTTTATGTTAGACCTTTAGACTTGTGTGAGCAATGCCATAATGTCTCACCTCCAGGAGAGTCCCCTGTACTCAGTTAGCATCCCCAATATGTTGCTGGCGTCAGCCCCCAGGGCCGCCTAGAAGAAGAGGACAGGTTACTGACGATGTACAGATGGCCATGCGACCAAATGGCTTACTTTAGCATTTTCTTAAATAAAATAAACAAATCTTTGACTTTCGCAGATGAAGACAAGTGGCAATGCGTGGTGCGTGACAATGTAATGTCATGGTCATTCGGTAGATATTTTTAAAAACTTGTGCATAACTCTTTGGTTGGGTTTCGAATTCAAACGATTTTCCATTTAAACTTAGCCACCGAGTGCTCATTCCACAAACGACTTTTAAGTTATCGTTTTGCTTCACAGAGGTTGGTAGTTATAACACCAGTAAATAAGGCAGAAAGGGAATTCCATGTCACGGGTCACATAAATCTTTTCAGTCTATTAAGTGTCATTCAACCATACATCTGGACGTCCCGTGTGTCCTCACAATGCATGACAATGTGGAACAGTTTCACGGCTGTCTCCATCAGCGATTAATGAAAGAAATAATTAAATACAGATTAGTGCTCCTGTTGGGGAGGCAAGGTGGGGAGTCGTTGTCCTGCACGACACAACTCACTGTGATGGAGTCCCCCATGGCTCCGACGACCTTCACGTCTCCAGGTCGCAGAGCGTGAACTGAAACATCCGTAAAACTACGATTAGATTACAAAACAACTACGTGTCAGGTGAAACCTCGGTTAGGTGAACCATCCGGACAACCACATGCCACGTGAAACCACGGATATAGGAGAGATCCTACCAACTATGTGTTAGGTGAAACGTCAGAACAACCACGTTTCAGATGAAACCACGGTTACGTGAAACATCCGAAAAACCACGTGTCAGGTGAAACATCGGAACAATCACCTGCCAGGTGAAATTACAGTCGGTCTTGAAAACAAATACAACTACTGAACGTATCCTATATACAATCTTACAACTGAATTCTACTGTACCTTTGTACTGTGGCGCCTTAATACGATATATAGTTTCATGTATACCCTATTACACCAGATCATGCAGGATTGACTGCGCATGATGTGTTCCACAAATAAAGAGTTAATTATTTAACTATAACACCAGAACAAACTACCTGACGTTGGCACTGTCGGAGACGCCGGGTACACGGTGCAGGGGAAGGGGGACCCAGCTACCTGTATAAATACATGTACACGGAATACATCACTGCTTGAGTATGACAAGAGCAAAACAATCAGACTGTAATAAACACCGACCTCGTCGCGTACAGGTGCAGACGAAAACAGCATACGATAGTGAAAACTGTCACAATATTTATCCAAGTTATCTTTTGTAATATGAGTGAGTGATTGAGTTTAGTTTTACGCCGCTTTTTGCAATATTCCAGCAATATAACGGCGGGGGACACAAGAAATGGGCTTCACACATTGTACCTATGTGGAGAATCGAACCTGGGTCTTCGGCGTGACGAGCGAACGCTTTAACCATTAGGCTAACCCACCGCCCCCTTTTGTAATATGAAAATGTGGAGGACACAGTGATAAACTAAAATAGGTAGATATCTGTTTCATGCCGAGGTTGTCCTAATGACAAGATAGAAAATGTTTAATAAAATAAGTTAAGCCCACACCACTCCTGTGTGAAAGTGTAAAGACTGCGTCATACAGTCTGTGAACCATATAATTTTGCCTTCCACCCAGCCCTCTCAGTATTGCAAAACCAGGTTCTAGTTCTTAATTTCCCATAATCTTTCTTATTTAAATAGAGTAATTTGTTTCCATGACAATTGCATTTATTCAGAGACGGAGGCATTAGTTTAACTCCCATGATAATGGGTTATCTCCCTTCTTTGGAACTAAGGCTAGTATGTTTTCATTTAGGGACCGACTACCTGATATGCTTATAGGGTTGAGGCGATTTAATGGATTTTATGACAAAACCAGAATGGAGAGGCCGTCAACACTCCACAACATGTACCTTAGGGTGGTGTTGGTGTTCCTCCTCTGCTCTCATCATGCTGACATAGGTGGCGTTGTTAGACACAGACTGGATGTAATCTTTGTAACGCTGCAGGTACTCATTGTCATCTGTCCGCAACAATATATATTAAATTAATGATCACATGCTAAAACTACTAAACGTGTTGAGTATATTTGTGATGGACTACGTTGACGTAGGTGGATGCGAACCATTTTTCACTCGCCTCCACGATCCATACACATTGCAGGACCAGTGACGGATCTCACTGGTGCCGACGACTTCCTGCTGGTGGGGCACAGCAGTCTCAGGGAGAAATTACATCATCGTCATTTGCAAAATGTATGCCCGAAGGTTCTTCGGGTTTGGGAAGGTGGGGACGATGCCAATTTCGCTGAGTACGCAGAATGCTCAATAAATTCAAAGCCATTGCAACCATGGCAACTACAGGCTTGTGCACAGGTGCATTGTCCTGATGGAACAAATCGCCTTCACTTCTACTAAGTACGTCTTGATATTCTAAGGGAGCGGTGGGGTAGACTAGTGTCCTCTCGTCACGCCGAAGACCCGACTTCGATTCTCCACATGGGTACAGTGTGTGAAGCCCAGTTCTGGTGTCCCCCGCCGTGATATTGCTGGAATATTGCTAAAAGCGGCGGAAAACCATACTCACTGATATTCTAAAGCATGTGTTCAGGTAGATTAGTATAATACCGCCCATTAATTGTCTGACTATTCGGGACTATAGTTTGGCATGAAATGCATGTGGACCCGTTTTTTTTTAAATATCTCTTCATCCAATGACCCAATCGATCTCAAACTGTGCAAGTGGATGTTTTGTCAGACAACCTAATCACATTGTAAATCACCGATTTTATGCATTTGTATTAAAGAATCTGTCTATGTAACTGTCAACAAAATAAACAGCAGAACGCAGACGGCTTGCAGAGGGAGGGAGACAATGACCTGTAACAGCAGCAGTGTTGGGTCATAAAGGTAAATGCACGTGCAGTTCATGATAGTTACCTGTGCACTGCACAGTGATAGACCGTTTGGATCATTCACATTGACTACTTCTAGCTGTCATCATGAAAGCTTATTCAGATGATGCTAAACGTTTAATTAGAAATGTGTTGAGAGCAAACGTAGCAAACCGATTTATAAGGTGTCGGATTCCATGAAACGTACAACTTTTGCTCTTGGAATGAAAAAGAACATCGTGCTAAAAATTGTGAAACATAAACCAACAACCAATAAACAAAACCTTGTACAAAAAGGTAGGCATCCAAAGTTAGATTCTTTTGACATCAGGGCCATCAGCATAGCTGACCTACATTGACGAACGTTGACCTTTATGACCCAAAGGTCTGTTACAGGTCATTGGCTCCCTCCCTCTGCAAGCCGTCTGCGTTCTGCTGTTTATTTTGTTTTATGTTTGCATTTTATTGGTTTTACCCTATGAACAGCATGCGTCACGTAAATAAGATATATTTCCCCTTCTTCTTCTCTTCGTATCCGAATCTGACCATTCGATTTATTTTGTTGCCGTTATCGACCAGGGTATCACTACCACATTACATAACACGGTGTATATTATACATAATATAACATATAATTATGCGAAAAACATATGTGGTATTTGCCTGATTGACAAATACAAAAAATATAATTAATACAATGCTTTCCAGATTAAAATGTGTTCAGATGTTAATTACTTAGGGACGGCTCATTTTTGTTTTTCATCATCATCTTGTTTTCAAGATTTATTAATCTTGTCTATGTCTATGTTATCATCGTACACGATTTTATATAAAAATAGCCTACTGATAAAGCCATAACGCTGACGTATTTTCCGAAACCATCTACCGAGTACGATCTGATTAAAACACCAGAATAGAAGATACATGTATAGCGCGAGTATCATGATTCAGCAATGACAGAGCTGAATTGCCTGTAAACATTTGCTTTGACCAAACAATTACAAAATAAAGTAACCCTTACATAACCGAACACAGACGCCGAAACCACGCAAACTTAGGGTTCTAAAAACGACCATGATACCCGCATTTAATCGATTAATCCGTGAAGTTCTAGACTAGGCTTGGTCATCCTTGTCGCAGGTGGCGACCAATGGCGCTGGATGATCAGACTTGCGGACAAGGTTGATGCATGTGATTGTATCCCGATGGCGTAGACCGATGCCAAGGGCGTCAATCTCTGGCCCAGACATGTATTTTGTAACAGTCCGTTATCAGTTGGCTGGAATATTGCTAAAAATGCAGCGTTAAACAAAGAAACGTGACGAATAAACATTTCTTGTATTTTTCAGTATATATGCCAGGGGCTTAAACCCTGCCCTTGTTAGGAATCGAACCGCAGACTTCTAGAGCTCCCCAATGTCCATGTTCGTGACGTAAGCTGTACATGTCGCCGTCGATGGTGTATAAATGCTGTAAACATTTCCTGATACCCCACACGTGATACTTAAGTTGGAACTTAATACTCTTGTAATCGACATGTGACTCTCGCTAATATTGAGTTACCTGTATATATATACATATATATGGGATGACTGGTGATGATATGACAGATTTCATGACGACTGAAAAGCATTTCATCAATATCTAACCACCCTCCTTTCTCTTTTTACCTCATTGCTGGTATCCATGTTTGTTCCATCTACATAAACAAATTACATCACTTACCAGATGCTGCTGATAGGGACAGTAATATAAAACACAGGAAGGCCACTGCGCCGGCCATGTTGCGATGTCTCGACTGGGGTGCTGGTGATTTCATGCATACGAACCCATATACGTGATATGCTTTCACCTCTGACCTACATTGATACGCTGTCAAAGTTCATTAGGATACAATCACTGGTGTTCACACATCCCACACTGGTGTGATTATCTACATGTGACTGGACCCAACACAGATGGATCAAACTGCCTTGAACGAGCACCGCTTAAGCAGCCTGATGACACAACGTAGAGAAAACAGTGTCTGTTCTCTACACCACCAAGCCAGGCGGTGGGGTAGCACAGTAATTGAAGTGGTCACTCGTAAGGCCGAAGGACCGGGTTTGATTCCCAAATGAGCACAATGTATGAGGTCCATTTCTGGTGTCCCCCGATGTGACATTGATGGAATATTGCTTAAAGCGGTGTAAAACCAATCTCTACGAAAACGGACTATTCGTTCCTCATCGTCATTAAATGAGTTAAACTATAAGAGGTTTGAACATTCCGTTATATCAGGGCGTCCTGACACGTGAAGATCCCAGTTAGAGTTGGTCTTCAGCAATCCATGCTTATCGTAAGAGGCAACTAACTGGATCGTGTGGTCAGGCTCGCTGACTTGGTTGACAACAACCCAACAACCTAATTGTCCTAACAACCCAATTGTGTATAATGATGCTCATGATGTTGATCACTGGATTGTCTGGTCCAGACTTTATTATTTACAGACCGCCGCAATAGAGCTGGAATATTGCTGAGTGCGGCGTTAAATAACAACCAAACCAAAAACTTAAGGCGCAGTGGCTAGCCAAGTGAATAAAGCGTTCGCTTGTCACACCCGGGTTCGGTTCCCCCGGGTTCGAGTCCATTTGTGGTGTCCCCAGCCGTGGTATCGCTCGAGTAATGCCACACTCACTCACCTTAAGGCATTGTTGATTGGGTTTGGATCCGAAATTAACAAGGAACTATGTCTACTTCAACTGTTTGACACACCCAGGAAGGAAGTGTAACTCCGTTGAAACAGAACAGCCTGGCAATTTTTCTGCATTACGATGTTACCATTCACATGCTTGTGGCTAATGAAATTGTCTCCCTTCCTTTCCGAGACATACATGTATTTGCATAACAGAGTTGCACCCCATACCAATGTCAGGGTCCGTAGACTGCGTGTTAGAAAGCCAGATTCACACGGGTTATTAAGTGAATGATCCCAGAACTTCAAAGGTCTAATCAACATGATTAAAGTGTGTGCTTGTTCATTGAACAACCCTCTGTATATGTTTCAGGTATCTACAGAGGGTGATTCGTAGTAAAAAGACAAACAATTCGATTACCTTATTAATTTCTTCGGATTCTCGAAGTCTGATAGTGGGTTTAACAAGACTATCAATTTATACACGATGTTTGTTTAACCTTTATTAAATACTGTTCACAGTGGCCTTACCTCCAACTAAGTCTGAAGACGCATTTTTGACGCATAATCCGTTCACGCTCATTTCTGACCAAATCGTGAAAATTCCGGAAGAACCCGTGAAGATCCGGGTTAGAACTGATCTTCAGTAACCTATGCTTGTCGTAAGAGGCGACTAAAGGGATCGGGTGGTCAGGCTCGCTGACTTGGTTGACACATGTCATCGGTTCCCAATTGCGCAGATTGATGCTCATACTGTTGATCACTGGACTGTCTGGCCCAGACTCGATTATTTACAGACTGCCGCCACATAGCTGGAATATTACTGGGAGCGGCGTAAAACTCACATCATTCGCTCATTCCGAAAGAAGCCGAGTCTCTTTAAATTTTACGGAAAAGGATGAGAGTTGACGCACTGGTATCCCTAACAACTGACCTTTCATTCAACATTCTGCGGGGCGGTGGGGTAGCCTAGTGGTTAAAGCTTTGGCTCGTCACGCCGAAGACCCGGGTTCGAATCCCCACATGGGTACAATGTGTGAAGCCCATTTTTCTGGTGTCCCCCGCCGTGATGTTGCTGGAATATTGCTAAATGCGGCGTAAAACCAAACTCAGTCAGTCAGTCAGTCTCTCTGTGACAAGCATCACCAGACAGTTGTTCGCTTAACTAAAATACATTCAAAAACGTGTAGGATATTGTATATTAAACCTCTAATAGCGAAAACTTATCGAATACTTCCGCCGTGAAAAATTGTACCTTTGAATGCATGAAACTTTGAATAGTTGTAGCTAACAACATTCAAAATATTTTCAGATATGGAGCCTTGAAAATATCTATAATGATCGATATTGATATTCTTGTACACTCCGTATGAAGATGATTAACAATTCTAAATATATTATACAAAAGTCGCATTTACCTAACACCATATCCCTAAAATACTTCACCGTATCATAATAGAATATATTTCTGCTTTAGCTAATCTGAAGTATGAAAAATATGCATTTTTCAAATCTTGGTCATGTCTTTGTGACCTACTTCATTACAGACAATTACTATACTGCTTTACTCACACGGTCAACAGCAGAATACTTAAAGACAATATGAATCAACTGAAATACCCTGTCGATCCTTTCGAGTAAATAGTTTGTTTAATTATATATCTTTTGGATACAATAAATACATTTTGGGGTTTCTTGTGTCCTACTAATTGATTGAAACTTTTGAAGAATATAATACATAAATACAGAGAATGGAAAAGATAAACGTAATTGTTACTGAAGAAAAGCATTAAACATATGTGGGTCCGTTTGGGGGGTAGCTGGTGAGAAATGGAATCCCCCAAAAGGTATAAAATTCAGTGAAAAAGCTTACGACGCTGAGGTCATACCTCGTTCTCTTGCCACAGAGGTTACTTGTCATATTTTCCTACGAAATGACAAATAACCTGTGGGAAGAGAATGGTCATACCTTTGGCGTTAATGAATTTTGCCTCCTTACTGTTTCGCTTAGCATGGGCGGATCCAGGAATTTTGAGAGGGGGTGCTCTGCCAACGCAAAAAAAAATCTTCAATGTGGACTTAAGTCATTTCCAGAAGGGGGGGTCGAACCCCCTGGAACGAACACCCCACCCCCCTTGGATCCACCCATGCTTAGGGCATTGCCATGCATTGTGCTGACATCACTTCAATGAGGGTGATAGGCTGTTATGTGCATTTGTTGTGGTAAAGCAGGATGTTTATTTGTCTGTTACCGCCGCACTAAGCAATATTCCAGCTATATGACGTAAATAAGCGAATCTGATCCAGGCACCCCAATGATTCACATCATGAGCATCGATAAACGCAATCGCTGACATGCATCAACCAAGTCAACGAGCCGGGGTCAACATTCACAAAGCGATCTCAGCACTACCACTGTGGTAACTCCCATATTTCAACATCTAGGCATACGATCATCACGAAAATCACTTTATGCAAATAGATCCTGACCACTCATAGTCGCTTCGTACGACAAAAAAGGGTCACTGAAGACCAATTTAAACCCGTCTTCATTGGGACAATGTTTTGAAGATGTGGACGTTTTATTTGTCAGTGTCAAGGGAATAGAGTGAGTGTCAGCTAAGTCATAAATATCATTTGATAATAATATTTACACACCACAGAGAGGGTAACAGTGTAAGTAGGACATCAACAATGACGAGACGTTTTCATAATGATATTGTGACGTTATGTTATAACGTCTTTGCAGAGAAAATGAAACTTTTGAGAATGATTTTAATCGGGGTTTTCTTTATTAAATCTTTTGTTGGTCCCTGCCTGGCGCTCGGCATTAATGGGTACAACAAGGACTGGTCGGCTCGGAGTCAGTATAATGTGTCTGAGTGGGGTATTCATGCTTCACTGCGGCGTGGTATCTCAGTGGGCTAGCACTATAAAACCAGCTGAAGTCTGGGCTAGTACAAGCAGCCGCACATACACATACACACGCATGCACGGCGTCATATGAGCGAAATATTCTCAAGCACGACGTTAAACCCAATTTCACCTCACCTCACCTTTATTAAATCTTGGTTAAATACAACAAAGTAAATAACAATGTAGATTGAAAGCTAAGCATCGTCCTGAGATGACTCTGCTACCACATATTTAATGTAAATAGAGATATAAAACATATTAAAGTATTTGAAAACATATTAAAGTATTTGAAAATATATTATCTAATTATATGATACTTATACTTATATTCTATATTATATAAGTATTTGAGTAGCACGTCAGTGTGTCTCTTTTGTGACTTTGGTCATGTTCATCTTGTTAAACGGTGTCCGGATAAAAGAAGAACGCCGATATTAAGAATACTTAGCACCTTGGGAAAGTGGTCATTTTGCTTCATGTATTTACAAAAACAATAGCAGCAACATGCCGACTGTCCTGAATAAATGGGAAACGGAATATTGTTATTCTCTCCCTTTGTGAGCAAACAATAGACGTATTCAAACAACGACCGACACATATTCCATTATAATAAGTCCCCGTGTACCTGATGCCTGTATGAAGGTACAGGTGAGTGAGTATGGTTTCACTCCACTTTTAGCGATAATCCAACATAATACCAGGGGAAACTACAAAAAGGGCTTCACACCTTTTACCCATGTAAGCAATGGGCATTTGGCGTTACGCGCGAACGCTTTAACCACAAGATTACCCAATGCGCCAAAGGGCAGGTGAAGCAGAGATTACGAGCAACAGTTCCTCTTACTGGTGGTGGGGTAGCCCAGCGGTTAAAGCGTTCGCTCGTAACGCCGAAGACCTGGGTTCGATTCCGCACAATGTGTGAAGCCCATTTCTGATATTGCTGGAATATTGCAAAAACCGGCGTAAAACTAAACTCAGTGACTCACTCCTCTTACTCCTATCGTACCGTAACGAGTCCTCTTTCCAAGTCTAAGAGTAGCACTCAGCACCATTGTTCTCGGGATTCATATCAATATGATCAATATACATTCGTTAGTGTGTCAGATTCAAGAGCTGATTCCAACATGCCAATACAACATTAGTTTTTATGACAAGCGTATATGATATTTTGATGCCCCTGTACTTCAAGCTCCTAACCTGGATATTCGAATCAGAGTCAAACCTAAGACTAACCCTATTGACAAACTAGGGCGGGCGGGGTTAGGTCGAAAGCCGGGCGGCCATGTTATCAAATTGCGCATAAGGAAATTATAGCATGTTTGAATCTTGACAGGTTTAGATTTTTCCCTTGAACTTTTTGTCCTGGCATGTGCATGAAGGGTAGTTGTTGTTGCAGCACATCTGCAGCCATGGCCTCCACATGACGTTCCTGAAGGTGTATTGGTTGGGCACGGGGTCCACGTGCTGTAGGTGCTCCTCGAGAGCGTGCATTATCTTCTTGTAAACTTCGGGGTGGTCCGTGGCATTCATTGGTCGTTTCTCTCCCGGATCTGACGTCATGTCATACAAACCGAGGGGGTCAAGAGTGATGGCGTGCGCACAGTTACAAATGAACTCACACACCTGGCGGCCGGGGAGATAGTTCGGTTCTTTCAGAGTCAACTTCCAGACGATTGTACCTGAAAGATATGAAAGAGAAATATTATTTAGAGACTACACTTCAGCTAGTCAACGTACTGCATGGTTCATAACTGATAAAAAAAATTTTTAAAAGTCCCGTTTTTACTTAAAACAAATTTGACTCGCATTGTAGGAAACACATAATGTGTCATGTAACAAATTCCAAAGTATCTAAGAATACATTTCCATTTTTTGGTTTACCATATATAAATTCAACTGAGCAACTGGTTATGTTTCAGAGCTCTAAATTATGGAAAACAAAAATCATTGCTCATAATGTCAAGTACTAGTTTCTCCAGAGCCAATGTTATATAGTTGGAATAACGCCGAATGTGAACAACAAAGCGAACGTGCCCATGTACGGCGACTTACCTCCCCTTGGCCTGTATCTGACAGCATGAACATCTGAGCCGCAATAATGGAGCATAAATTCGTGTGATGAGACGCTGGTCTGACCACTTAGGAGGGGCAGCATGTCGTGACCATCGATCCGTCTGTCGGAAGGGACTTGGACGCCCATGGCGTTGGCGAGAGTGGGAAATACGTCCATCTGCGAAGTTGGTTCGCTGAAGCTCGATCCCGCAGGGATTCGCCCTGGCCATTTTATAATGGTCGGTACTCGAATACCTCCATCCACTGCGCCGTGACCTTTGCCGCCTGCAACACGTTTCAATACAGAGTCAGCTCTGCGTGTAATAAACAGTCGGCTGTGAACAATTTCACTCAGTCTTCAAGTCTTCAGTCAAAAGAAGGCATTTTAGTTTGGGCTACTACGCTGCAGATAATCATGGACATCTTATCCAGACACTAATTCCATGTTTTATCCCCTTAATGCTGAGCGCCAGGCAGGGTAACGCGTACACTGTCTACCATATCAGTACAAAACTCCAAATGTCAGATTAACTGTAATCTCACCTTTGTAAATGCCATTATATCCACCTTCTAACTCCCCCCGAATGTTTCGCTCTTCAAGATGGCCGCCGTTGTCAGACGAGAAGTACACCAAGGTGTTGTCAGCGAAGCCCAACTGCTGGAGAGAGTTCAGCATCTCGCCAACAGCCCAGTCCAATTCTTCAACCGAATCCCCATATTTACCATGCTTAGTTTTACCAAGGAACCTCTGCCTAGGAGCGAGAAAGACGTGCACATGCACCCATGACATAACCAATAGAAACGGTTCTTGGTCATCTCGTCTGGCTTGAAGAAATTCTTGACCTTCGGCAACTTCTTTGGCCATCTGAGTTTCAAGGTCAATCGGTTGTTCTACCAGGTCAAAGTTTCGGTAGATGGTGCTGTTAAGCACCTTCAAATTATCCATGATAAGGTAGACCGACCCCATCATGATGACAAGAATGAAGATTGACAGCGAACATGGTACTATGCCGATATAACCTGCTCTATATAAGCATATGATGCTGATGGATATCACCAGTACCACCGTGACAAAGCGTTGCAGCGCATGAGACAGGAAACTGAACAATACTCTGTCTCCATCGTCGCCAAAGTCTTTAAGATTCGTCAATGGAATCCCGTAGAAGTAGTCAAAGCCGTGGTTTCGTGGATGGTGATGAAAGTCGTTGAAGCTGTCTCTGCTCCAGCCTTGGTGCCATTTCCCTATGAGTCCAGTTTTGTAGCCCGCTTGTTTGGCCAACTTGGCAAAGGTTATTTCTGATGTTGGGAGACCGCTAGGGCTTGCGTTGAAGATACTCACTCGAATAAAAGTGCTCGGAGCCATACCTGAAACAGGACAATTCATATGGCGTTAAGTTCCATTCATGAATGAGTAGTGTACTATCCGTCAAAATAACGACAATTAGTGGTATCAATGTTTTCAAAAGTAAAAGTCGTGAATATAGAGAATTCCATTATGACTTCCTACGTGTAAGAAGTCTCAACGTTTCGTGAAGGTCCGGGTTAGAATTAATCTTCAGCAACCCATGCTTGTCGTATGAGGCGACTAACGGGATCGGGTGGTCAGGCTCGCTGACTGGGTTGACACATGTCATCGTATCGCAATTGCGTAGATCGATGCTCATGCTGTTCCCTACATGGTTACAATGTGTGAAGCCCATTTCTGGTGTACCTCGCCCTGATATTGCTGGAATTATTGTAAAAGCGTCGTAAAAAAAAACTGACTCGCTCACTCTAACCAGAAACATATGCACTGATATATTAGAATTTGCAATTTGAAAACATATACACATTTCATTTAGAAGTAGTATCAGTTGACCGTGGGAGGAACGCTTAAGGGGCGCAGATCGTATCCTTTGCCCATATGACTAATGGAGTGAGTGAGTATGGTTTTACGCCGCTTTTAGCAATATTCCAGCAATATCACGGCCGGGAGACACGTGAAATGGGCTTCACACATTGTACCCATGCGGGGAATCGAACCCGGGTCTTCGGCGTGACGAGCGAACGCTTTCACCACTAGGTTACCCCACCGCCCCTATGACTAATGGAATCAGTCTTGATAAAATCCTAATCTTAACAAGATATAGGTAAATACAAGTGGCATGAACCCGTGAAGATCCGGGTTAGAATTGATCTTCAGTAAATCATGCTTGTCAGAAGAGGCGACGAAGGGGATCGGATGGTCAGGCTGCATGCTGACTTGGTTGTCATCGGATCCCAATTGAGTAGATCGATGCTCATGTCTGTTGGTTCAGACTCCATTATTTACAGACCGCCGCCATATAGCTGTAATATTGCTAAGTGTGGCGTAAAACAAAACGCACTCCCTCACTCACTCCAAGTGACATGCAAATCCCTGTTTACTAAGCTCACCTGACCTAACGGGATACCTCCCGGTAAGAAGGGCCGAGCGACTTGGGGAGCAGAGACTCGCGGCAGTCAAGTGTTGAGACAACAGCGCCCCGCCACGGGCTATGCTGTCGATGTTGGGGGTCCTTAGGGTCGTGTTGCCAAAGCAGCCGATGTCCCCAATACCTAGGTCGTCCGCTATCATGAGCAAAATGTTGGGGTTTTTACCCGTCGTTAGTGGAAGCAGCAACAGTTTTACAACCAGAAGCAGCAGCCATGTTTTACAGCGTTCCATGTTCGTCCTATTACATAAACACATACGAATAACTTCATCAATGAGCCACGTGTATTGAAATCAAAACTAAAGTACTGTCGGAAATTTTTAAAAAATGTTTTTAGGCTGTTACTCTGTATCCCTAAAATTTACACAATTGCATATAATAGCATATGTCGAAATAATCCACATCGGTCTAACTGGGCGTTCAGTGGGATGTGTAATAGGATATCAAGAAAAGCATGTTTACTCGTAATATCGGGCAAAAATTAGATTTAAAAAATACGAAAAGCTGCTGAAAACAATAGATCAGACTATACAGACTGTAGAATGTAGATGGCAATTATGTCGCTCAGCCAGGTATGACGGCGGACGGTGGATTCACCTGGCATGAAATGCATGAGCTGCCTACAAGCACAAGGGGTCATCTCAAAGATATTTCATGCTTTTTCATGTGTGTTGAATATGTCTCATCTACTGATTCACCCAAAGGATTATCTTATCTCAGCTGATATCTCTATCCCCCAGCCCGACCCCAACCACCGTCTGCGACACCCGTCCTGGTTTTGCTTTTGAGACGACCCTTCCTACCTGTTTCTTTGTATAGTGATAGTGAGACTCCAGGGTAGCTACAGCCTTAATAGTTGCAGTATTAAAGTTATTATTTTTACGTTAGCCTTCTTTTATAATGAAGCTGAGTCTAATTTCAAAATGAGCATTCAAAAAGTGTATTTTGTAATACCATACCTCGCACATTGCCCATTTCTGCACTAATCTCTCCTCAGTAGAGTTCTTTTGTTTACGTTTCCTATCTCCCTACCACTGAGACTGTAGTTAGGCCGAACTCAGGTGAGAAGATATTTCACACATTCACATATTAACTACATAAATTGTAGATATAAATGTGAAAAAAGTGTTTTTTATTTACGACAGTACTTTAGAAGAAACGCTTAAGACATTCCCTACAGCAAAATAGCCTTAAGTAAAATGCCAATCAAACAGAACAAAATAGCCTTGTTCCAAGACTAAGCTGAATGATGAATATGTAGTAATTCTCTGTAACAGGTAAACCTAGGTAAACGATCAGCACAGACTCATGACACAAGTCAGGTATTGGTAAACGTACTTTCATCATTTATAGCTAGATAAAATACATTAAACGATTCATTTTTTGCCTAAGGGACATGTGCAAATATGGTTAGTCTGACCAGGGAGACTATATAAGGTAGAGTATCCCTGGTCTGACTCACAGTCTCGGAACCACATTATTTTCCCTACTGCCTTGCCCTCCTTGCAATGCTAAAGCCCTAAATGAAGCAAGTCTAGATCTCATTTGGGATCCTTTCCAAATTAAATGTGTATTTGTTACCATCGAAATTATATATATTCAGAGACTGAGGGTTAGTCTACAATACGCACATGGCAGTGACATCAAAGCCTACCTATGTTTGCGATTTTACGAACGCTTCAAGCATCCAGTGTGTGGGGGTTGATGCATCTACTAATAACAGGAAATCTGTGGTTAATCGTAAAGCACTGGCAAACCAATTGCTGGTGTGTCTGAATGAAAACTATTGGAATACTATCAATAGCATATGTTCGGGTCTTTGTGTATCGGTTGGTCAATAAAGGACTGATGTTTCGTTCTCCTCTGCAATGCAGAGCAAGGGAGTTGTAACGATCGGTCATTGTGTGAAGACGGACAGCTAAATACCAATGTAAACGGAACATTTGTTCACTAGTGGTGTACATGATTTCATCACCGTGATTCCAGGGAACTGAAACAGTAGTTATTCCTTTGAAACAAAGAATATTATATACTTCTCATCAAATGTTTAGACTCACTAGTGTAAATATAGCCACTTACTTCAGGCAACTGTTCTTAAACTAAATTTTGCAAAATAGTCAATACTGTTTAAAGGTACTGTTTACACATGAACTGACGTATTGTAAAATATATTCATAACGTTGAAAAGATTAGTGTCAGGAGTTCAATAAATGAGTGAAAATCAGTGAAATTTAGCGAATTCTTAACGAAAATATACACAAAAACGCAGCTGCTCACATGCACAATATTTGCACATGCTTTTCAACAATTGATGCATAATCCTCGTGCAATTCATATGCATAAGTTGGTTCCCCGAAGTTAGTGGAGACATCAACCTTTGCTAAGGATGAAATCATGGATTCAACAGAAAATTATGATGTATCTAACTTTATTGTAAGCATGAACCCTAGGTTTCAGTATGTCTTTTCATCTTGTGGAACCCATACCTGCTACTGACAGGTGTTGTGTACTTGTCAATGACTCGTTCCATGATTTGCAAAAATGGTTGATGGTTGATGGTTATTCATGTATCAAGTGCATAAGGTTAGATTAAAGTGACTGTTTGCCTTAAGAGGGGTTACCATATTATTATTTATCCAGTTTTAAATGGATACAATTTCAAATTATGAATGTACAGTTTAAGTTAAGTTGTGAACTTTTGTGATCCTTAGCAAAGTGTGAGTAGTATACATAACATATAGTGAGTGTTTTAAGTGAGTCTAAACTTTTGAAGAGAAGTATATTTACAAAAATAAAATGGGTGGCATCTATCTCCTATTTACAATAATAAAATTGTATTCATAAAAAAAACTGCATTGAACTGAAACCTTTATATTGAATGTAATCAAGAAAAATTGGTAGCGCATCGCCGGTGACTTTTTGGGCGAGACATTCGGAACTTAACCTCAAGGGAAGTAACTTTTGGAAATCGTCGGACAACGATCACGTGACATCAGCCGCCATTTTAAAATTTGCAGGTTGTGTGCAGTGCTCAAATCTGAGATACAACGATTTATTGTCGCTATACGAATGACACGTTGACAGTTGTGCTTTGCTGTTATGAACATCTGTTCGTAGGGTCTTTGATCGACCTGAATTGTCTCGATTGCAAAGATTCCTAGAAGGACTAGGAGTGAAACAGCCCTACAACCACAGTGCGACAAGAAGCAGGATGGCGGGATCAGTTAGCCCCGTTTTGTCGCTTCAACGATGTGACGAAGATATTGACTTGTTGTCGGAGTTGCTGGGTTCAAATTCAAATGGATCAAGCAGTAACAGTATAGATATTGCAGAAAGTCTGCTTAGCGATGATATGGATGATCTTACCGGCTATCTTTGCAGGAACTCGAAACGTCTCAATCGGGGTGGGGAGGGTTCGTTCTCAGGTCAAGAGTGCCTGGATGATCTAAATTTAGGTTGTCATGATAGTGATATTTCAATGAACCCTGTCCGCGACAGTCCAATGCACACGACAGTAAAGGGTGAAACCAGAGTAGATAAACCTATTACGACCAAGGCTACCAAAAGCCGAGAACTTATGTATACTGTCATCGCTCAAAAGGAACCCAAATCTATGAATAAGAACGCTGTCGCCGCAAGGGAAAATAGACAAAAAAGAAAGAAGTACATTGAAAACATCGAGAGAGAAGTAGCACAACTTAAAGAGGAGAATGCAGCACTTAAGATGAAGGTGTCTTGCCAAGGTGACAGTGTAGAGAAACTGAATGAGCAAGTAAAGTATCTGCAAAGTGTTATTTCTAATCAGTCCACCATATCAGCCTTATTGCAGAACATTCAAAATACAGCTGGTGTCACACTGAAATCATCTTGGGTTGATTTGGGGAAACAGTCTGATGCATGTTCAACCTTTACACAGAGTGGGAAGAAAAATGTTGAAAACTGCAAGTCCCGACTTCGTAAATCAAAGCGTAAGTGTGTGTTTGAGTCAGAAAGTGTGTTGAGCCGAGATAAGAAGTTGTGTTTTGAGAAGGAAAACACAAATGGTAATGTCCAGCTTACAAGTGGTTCAGAGTCCAGTCCAAGTGTAAAGAGTGAGGTAAAAAGTAACAGCACCGCAGAGACTGATCAAGATGTGTTCAACTTAAACCAGCAGACTAGTGCTGGTGTGTGCCTTCATGTGTCTGGGAAGCAAGTTTCGCTTGAGTTCTGTTCAGCCTGCAGCAAAATGGCATCCACAACAAGAGTCTTGGATGATCACAGTTACGTCAGACCATCAACAGAATTGGAATGAATATCATTCTCTTTGTTATACCATTTTGTATGTACAGTGTAGATTTATATTTAGGGCTGAAGCAATACACTATGGAACCATTATTCTTATGTCATTCTTCTGAAATTATTAATAATTTTAGTATTAGTGAATTGTTTCAGTCTCATTTTGGTTTGAATATTTCAAATCTGATCATGTAAATATTACTTATGCCTTGTGAATAAGTGGTTTGTTATGCAGTATTGTCATTTGTGTAATCCTGGTTGAATGGGTGTGTAAAATGTTACAGATGACAATGCTTGTGACAAGTCACTTAATGTGTCAGATGTTTATGTCAAGATGTTTTGGTCATAAACTAAACAATATTGTTTACCTTTCCAGCCTTCAAAGCTAGACCAATCTCTAGACATGAAGTTGCAATACTTCTGGATTGACGGTGTAGTATAAGACATGAATGGTCGGTTTCTGTAACATTTGATTTTACTACTAGTCAGAAGGGAACAGCCAATTTCAAACTAGAAAAAGAATGCCACGTGGCCATGGTATATATTTTTTAATGAATTCCTTTTGAAAAAGAACAGTAATTCTGTTTTAAATTTGATTAAGTTGTGTTAAACACATGGGTTGTGTTAACATGCTTTGACATTAGATGACATGCCGTTTCAGGAAATGTTTGTAATTTACCATGTATTCAGGTAATTAGTACATGATGTGAACCTTATGTTGGAAGTGGGCTGTTTTCTTTGAAGCAAATATATAATTTGTTTGTTGTATGTTCTCATTCCTCCTTGCCCCTGCCCATACTGCTATAGTGCCAGAAAAAGTACAAATAAGTTTTCAAGTGTTTATATTTCCAAGTTAACATTAAGTACAAACGACAGACCCCTTCTGTATGATCTACATGTAATTTTCTGTGAAATACTATTTGAGTCAATATTCATAAGGGATCATGATTTTAATATCACAGTCATAATGCTGTTATGATCATGGGAGTGAATTATCTACAGTTTAAGACAATGTGAGACGAAACATCATTGGGTTTTAACCATTTGGTAAATAGGCTATATGACATAATAGAACATTGCATCTTAGAGATATTTGCCCCCTCTCCAAGCCCTCACTTGTTTCGATTGATGAGATGTTAACCATGTTCTCTGTTTTCTATTTCAGGGAGGTCAGTAATGAATGACCTTTGGTTGAGAAGCGATGATCCCAATCTCTTTATTTTCACAGTTACCAATGGTTAGTATTTTTATGAGCTATCTTTTACTTATGCACTCTTAGTCTTACAAGGTAAGAGAAAGTGAAGACATTACTAGTATATTATAGTACCAATTTGCTGGTTACTCTCTATTCTTTTCAGGGATGCACAAAGACTGCACTGATAACCAGTGTGGTAACCATGGCAACATTTTAATTCATGTGTTACTGGTTACATGTTGAACATTAAGTTATGAAATGACTGACAACTTAACCCTATCAAGACTGGGCAGAAGAGATACCTTGATGGACTGAAATCTCAAAATTTGTGCCAAATTATGGCATTATGTAATGTTGTTAACTTTAGTTTCACATTTTGTAGTTTTGCTGATCTTGTACAGTAATGTTGGCCAAACATCTCGCATTTACCAAATAATCTGACGAAGATTACAAAGGAAAACGATTGCATTCAACATGCTCAAAGAATCATTCATGTTTGTTGTTATTTAGAAAGATGGAGGAGGAACATTCCACTATTAAATGATTATTCTTTCGTTTTCTCTGAATGGGAATCAAATTGACCTGAAAACCTTTTGTTCATTCATGATATGTTTTGCCAACCTTATGATTATTATTACAAATGTGACACATTTTAGCTGTTAGTTTTGCTTTTTCATGGGGCAGTGTTGATGCTGGATCTCTTAGAGTGGCATGACCTTCATATCACCCGCCTGAAGGTCACGTAAGTATGGGGACAGTAAGTTACCCAGGTCAGGTTTCTTAATATTTATTACTCGTTGACATTTATTAGTACTGAGTCTCTTCTGACTGCTGTGAAATGGGTCCATGTAAATGCTGCAAAGTTTCACAATGTTAAGGTTTCACTGAAGTTGGTTGAATTTCATTGTCTGTAATTTGATCCTGATATATCAATTAACTCGATATACTATTCTGTTTGGTGATTATTGTGGCAGAACTTATCTGTACAAATTCTTTACCATGTCATCCTCACCATGTGTAAGTTCATCTGAAAATCTTGTAATGGGTTTGGAGTTGTCTAGTCGTCTAATTCTTTGACATTTTAAGCCAAATGGAGGTGTTGCTTACAAGTGTGTATGGTGCCTCTTAAAAACAATTTTTTCAAATAGTGGTGTGATAATGTCATATCTGAAAGATTGTGGACAAACATGAGGTGAGGAGACCTGCAGACAATGTTATTCCCTGACTTGGTGAATATCACATTCTGTATGCCATTGATATGATTGTCCTGTTTGTTGTAAAATGAAAAACAATAAATGATCAAATTGAAATATGTTGTGTTTTTCTTGAACTGTTTCCTAGCACCTGTCTACCATATCTGTCTGCATTAGAGATCTTTGGGAACAGGCAGCTGATTTAGCCGTGCTGTGCCTTTGCCAACAACTGTGCTGTGTATATGCATATGCATCCAAGACATGCAGGATTTACTGTGGGATTCTTTGCATTTTGCTACATCATGGGTCACTTTATTTGTACATGCCATTACAAAACATTCATGAATCAGAACTTTAGGTGTGATTTTTAAAAGTAAATCATCATCCATGCATTCATTCCTTGCAACTTCGACATATTTTGCACATCACATTAAGTATTATGGGACAGGTTTTTCAGACAAAAGTCTACATGTGGATATTCTGATGCTTACATCATTAATGGAAACAGTCAAGTTCGCCTGTCATTCTTCATTTATTATTGACCCAAAAATATCCCTGTCAGTATTCTTCAGCAACTCATGCTTCTTGTGGGGTGGTCAGGAGTGCTGACTTGATTGACATGTGTCATCATATCCCAATTGCATAGGTTGATGCCCATGCTGTTGATCACTGGATTGTTTGGTCCAGACTCGATTATTTAGCCGCCAGTTAGCTGGAATATTGCTGAGTGCAGTATTAAACAACAAACCAACCAACCAATCTTATTTATTATGGAAAGTTATCTTGCCTATCAATTCTCTCACATAGTGGAGAATTAATACTTTACAGAGTTATGACCCTTGTCATGTGTCCAGAGATGTATTATAAAGGCAATGATTATATTTCAGATACTTACATAAGTGATAAATGTGTTTTAACACAATTCACTCATCTTAAAGACCTATCATGGTCTAACAAAGTGATAACATCGACAGGGTAGCCAGGCTTCAGGCTTCATCAGAAAGATTGGCTACATCCTTTACAGCTCCAGACCTTATATTTTGTTCATTGTACTGTGTATATACCGATATGTCATCTATGAGATACAGAGGAAGATATGGGATATTTGTGGGGGTGTTGTTAAGTATCATAAACAAAATCTCAGGTCTGCCCCCCATTCGGTCAGGTTAGGTGGGATCTTAAATCACCCAAAATACCCAGGGGCGTAGAAAATGTGTATGGTACTAATAAAGTACATGATAATGCAACCTTAGAAATGTTCACTGAGAGGGAAAATGATGTCCCTGTGCCACATTTCGTTTGTAGTAGTTACGCTATCTAAAAACGAGAGATTTGTCCAGATGGTTCACTCCCAAAAGACAGACCTCCCATAAGACAGACTCAATGAGTACACTTATTAGCTGTGCCATGCTGCCCACCCCTATTTAATTAATGAGCTAACCCAGAGTAACTACAGAGTATAGTAACAGCACACTCCTATCTCCTGTGTCCTTCTCAAAACATATTACTAATCCTTTAACTGAACAGAACAGAATAGAACCGAAAATTTATTCTAAAAAATCACATATAGTGACAGAACATACAGCATATTGATACATATTAAAACATTGAGCAAAGTCCAGTTTTGATACATTTGGCAACTTTAGAGTTAAGTGGTGAATAATCACATTTCATTAGGTAAACAATTTTTCAATAGTACGATGTTTACAGAAATATTGGGGAAGAAATTGATTTCTGAGGGCATTTAGTGCTGGACAGTATAATAGAAAGTGAAGTTCATCACAGACATCTAAATTCACACTATGTTTCCATTCTTTACAATACTGGTCAAACACATGCAATCCATCACTTGTTTCAGTTAATATGACAGTATCGTCAGTGTAATGTAATATCAACAATTTCATAAAGATACCAAGCTGGTCCTCAATAAGCTTATTTACATGTTGTTGAATTAGTTTTTGCAAATAACTGGAGAACAGGATGTTTTTATTACTGAAGATGAAAGTGAAATAGTATTTATAGAATTCAGTATAAACATGTTTTATAATAGTTAATTTTCCCATGACTTTTTTTCCGATCAACCTTCTAGATGGCTACCTGTATGCCAAGAGCAAGGTGAAAGGAGAAAATGATGATGTTCAAGTGACTTTCTAATAGGTGTTATCTGTGCTCTTATCTGACATGTGATGTAAAATAATGTGGTGCTTGGTCTCATATGTTTGATAGGTACATGTATATGTCAGGGTAGAGACTGCGATCTGGTAGAATCCCCGATTCTACCAGTAGAGACTCGATCGGAGTCTCTACTGGTAGAATCTCCGATCATTCTAGTAGAGATTGTAATCGTAGTCTCTACTGGTTGAATCGGAGATTCTACCAGCACATTTTCAAATTCAACTGGTAGAAACTCCGATCCTACTAGTAGAGGCTGCAATCGTCTTCAAATGGTAGAAACTCCGAGTGATCTGTGGGTAAACAACAAAGACACTTTTTCTGAACAGTACTATGCATTTTATATTAAGGACTAAAAATACAAATGTGACTTGAGAGATCATATTACAATATATACATATATTACAAAACTGATTACAAGCAAGATCAATTGCATATCAGTGTTTGCCCTAGGCATAAAAATTTAGGAGTCATCATGACTCCCTGGTGTCATGAGAGGGAGTCATGGACATGTTTTTGGGAGTCAACTTCTTTCATCAAGAGATCAACTGTTATTGTTTAATAACAACAGGTCCAAGTAAGGCAGGTCAGGTATTTAATCAGCTCTGAGCAGTGAACTGGCAAACATTAAACTTAATAATTTTAAGCAACAATAAATTACAATATGTACTCAAACTTAAACTAAAGTAAAGTTATCTGAACTAACAGCCCCCGGTCGAGCATTGCCTCAACAATGACACGAGCTTATAAATTCCCTGCATATTTGAGATAATTTGTGAGTCAATTACGCAGGTTTTCTGCGTCATGGCAAACACTGCATAATCATAAGTATTAAACTTTATTTTGGCACACGTTAATTGTTGATGGGAAATAATAGGAAAACATTATCCCCATTTAGTATACTTGCTTGCATAAGCTTGCACTTGCTTGCATAGGTTATTCCATATAATCGTAGTCTCTACCAGTAGAGACTACGATTGCAATCTCTAGTAGTAGGATCGGAGATTCTACCAGTAGAGACTCCGATCGCAATCTCTACTGGTAGAGACTCCGATCGCAATCTCTACTGGTAGAATCTCTGATTCTACCAGATCGCAGTCTCTACCCTGACATTTTATATATAAATGATTGTTTTTGATAATATTCACAAGTAAATGTGATCTGGCAAATAGATGTTGATGTACATATATGTTGAATCTGTTGATGCAATATGTCTTAATTTATAAATCATAATTCATCACATGAACTGATAAAACCATAGTTAATACCTAATGTTGTTTTTTTATCTGGGCACATACCATTATTATCAAGGGTACAGCTTCATTAAGCCTTATGAAACCAACCATAAAATGTGTTGTTTTAAGTGGTCTGTCTTATGGGAAGATACCGTCCAGATGGTCTACTCCCATTTGTGAGAACTCCCAGTTGTGAGACTCCCAATTATGAGACAGTGGAGTAGGTAATTAACAACGAAAACACACCATACTCGCCTGTCTGGTAGAATGGATTCATCCTAGCTAATTACTGATTTGCTATGCAATTGAATCTTGTGGAGGTAACTTAATGAAACTTTGTAAGATAAATTGATTAACATACTCAGGTAAATGTCTTTAATAAGTAAACACTTTGTGTAGGTAACTTCGTGATCAAAGAGAAATTAATTTACCTACTCATATTTACTCCGTCTCCGAAACTACAAGCTATAGTTTAAGAAATAACTCTGAAATAACTCTGAAATTTACAGTCGAAATGCCCCTTATGCCAAACCCTATCTACCCGACACAATAAATTTATGGAATGCCCTACCAAGTTCCAAAGAGTCATGCAGTCTCAAAGAATTTTAAAACCTAATTACAAAAAACCGAACCAAGATTTATATTGATCTTAAGTATGGCTCTTGTTTTTGTCAAATCGTTCATTGCTGCCTCAGGCTCGGATCTAGCGACCCAAACGCCGATAAGTATAACAGACATTTTTAATAGACAGCCCATGTTGCTCTTGTGGATATATTCCCACAATAACTTGTTAGACACACACAACTTTAAGTCTCTAATGATGACTACTTAGAGAATAGTTGTATTTGATGTAATCTGTATATACTTATATGTACTTAAAAATATATTTATGCAATAGTCAATACCGATGACGTCACATCCTCCATTTCATTTTATATTTTATGTTGCATTGGAGCGGTGTTAACATAAGCAGTAATACTTCACCAATCACAATTCATTTTCATAAATAATAATAAAATATGTTTAAACCAAAATGACTTTCAAACTTCATAATAGTCAATAAATAATTACATATTCTTCTGAATAAATAAAATATTCAATGAACTATTTCTTCTGTGTAAATATAATCTTTGATAATCTATTTCATTAATCAACTCATCAATGAACTATGCCTCCTGTGGGTACTGGGCTGGGCTGATCCCACTTTCATTGTAGGGATGTGGAAACACCACCTATGTGCACTGAACCATTAATTAATGTGTCTCACAACTGGGAGTTCTCACAAATGGGAGGACACCGTCCAGATAGACGATGGGCGAGCCGGTGTTAATTGACAGCCGAATACGTCGAGGGCGTAGCCGATGTTGATTGACAGCTGAATATGTGTCTCGGGCTAAGCCCTCGACATATTCAGCTGTCAATTAACACCGGCTCGCCCATCGTCTATCTGGACAAACCTTGAGTGATTGGATAGCGTAACTGCTTTGTACCAGGCCCACATTGCGTGTTTTCAAAATCTGCGCTGGGTGTTTGAATTTGAAATCATTCTGTTTCACACCGCCGCGATGTCAAGTTACGAGTGGCATGACACCATAGACGACCTTACATTGTCACAATTAATTGACGAAGTTGAAAGTAATGGACTGGAATGGGATGATACAATCAAAGTCACAATTTTGTCACAAGCTGCTGAGGTTATGGAAACTCAAT